AACCGGTCTGCCTCCACCCACCGCAGCTGTACCCGGTGCCTGCGCTCCCACGCTGCCAGCTTGCCCTCAAGGACTCGGCGGTGCTCATGCCGCATTTGCTCGGAGAGCGATTGCTGCCCCTCAGCTGCGAGAGTCACACTGCCACCCAGCGCGTACAACTCCTCCAAGCAGCCTTGGTAGTGGTGCTCCCATGTAAGACGGGCCTGCGAGTAAGAATCCTGACATCAGTGATTCATGCATCTTTATGTATCTTCCAAAGGTGTGCATCCCATTTGCTCTTTACAAAAACTCCACCAGTATGCACATCCTGTCATGTCTTGTCCTGTCATGTCATAAGTCACATGTCAAATGTCCTATCATGTCATATGAACAAGCACCAGTACAGCCAACTGAAGGTGCAGAGTGGAGCAGCACCGGGATGGTGGGCGCGCTTGTTGATGCCCCCTCAGACGATGTCTGCCGCTGCTCCCGGGCAGACCCCTGCGTGCAAAACAAACAATCTGCTTGCATACTTTCTTCTGAGGCAGCTCTTTACTCTGAGTCCTCTGAGCACCTCCTTCTCACTAGCATACCCATTGATACTTATTCCATGCTAGAGAAGAGCCTTCAAAAAGGACCAACACACCTCTGCTTCGTCACTTGCGCCTGCACCAGCGCCGCCTTGGAGAGGATCCTGGCCTGCCGGTGATGGGACGCCTCCTGAGCCACCGCCACCCTGCACCTGATTCATCAGCCAATAAGCGAGCATGCAAAGCATTGCAGACTGCAGGATATATCAAGATGGCATCTCCCCAGAGAATCAGTAGAGACAGGTGCAGCAACTAGGAGGGGTGCATTTTACCTGCAACTCGGGGGCTTTGATTTGGGCAATCTCCTGCTTGAGGGCCCCCGTGGACTGCCGCAGTTGTGCCAGCAGTCGAGCAGCCCTCCTATGCCACTCAAGCAGCTGCTTGGGCAACCTGCGCTCCTTTTTTCGCTGCCAAGCCATCGCCTGCACATGGACCAACATTGTCACTTCTCGCACCTACAGGGTTACAAACTGCAACATCGAGCAAGGCTACAAGAGCTTGCATCATATGAAAGGAGAACTCACCAGGTCCGTCATGTAGTCCTCCCGCGTGGCAGTCGCCATGCGCTTCAAGATGTGTGCAAATTTCCTGTAATGTGCCCAAGCCTGTTCAATGTTGTCACCAAAGGAGTTTCCTGCCGCTAGCATGCGGCGGGCGCCATACTTTTCTTGGCATGCCGGAATGTGAGCCTTCACATGCCACGGCCCCACTGCCAGGCCAGGCATACCCTCCACGTTTCCTTGAACCATCCTGCCAGCACAACACATCACCATTCAAAGGGGACGCTGCTGTGCACTCCGACGAATCCACACACTCATAGCATGACTAGTACTAGACACTAGGAGTGAAATTGTTCCATGCAATAATTGTACAGGGCACATCTTGACGTAAACGCCAGGCATGATGGACGAAAGATTATACCTTCGCCAATATGGGTCAAACTGGCAAGCAATGTCAATGAAGAAGTACTTCAGATCCTTGCCCTCCTCAGGCTTGAACTCCTTCAGCAGACGCTGCAGGAGCAACTCGTAGTAAACAAAGCACTCCGGTGTGAACAGGTTTGCCGCCACGAGAACATACCCGTGGCGGCAAACTGCTGCTGCCACGCCCTACGCACAAGCACATGCGGGAGTGTCAGACCGGCTCCAAAGCACCAGCACATCTTCTTGTTACACGCTTTCCTGCCAAGCAAGGTACATCCTGCAGAGCTGCAATTTAAGGCTGCCATAACCCTACCCCTTGTTGAACTCGCCAGATCCAAGCAAGACCCAATCAACCGTGGGCATGGTATTCAGTATTTTTACCACCTGAAGCAAGGCACGCTAGGGTGCTGCCAAGTATTACCCTTGCCAGCCGGGGCCAGGAAAAAAAGAGAAAAAAATCATGGATATATGAGATGCATGCCAACATCAGTAAGCGCAACAAGATCCCAGAAAAATGCGAGGAGACTCACTTGCACATATAGGCGCAGCTGCGTGTCTGAGGCGGTTGGCGTGGCAGCAACGAACTGAGAGCAGACCGGCCGCTCCAGCGCCGCCGGGTCCAAGGCCTTCCGTTGAGCGAGCAAGGCCTTCACCTCTTCATCAGCAATGAAGGGGCTATAGGGCAGCTTCGGCTGCAGGAAATCAGAGGCTTTGCCCGCCGCCCTGAGCTGCGTGAGTCCCAGGCAGGCGTCAGCAATGGCTGCCACGCAAGTGCGAAAGCAGCAAGGACACTGCACAGTGGGGCCCCCGGAGGCACGACTGTCCAGAGATTCCTGGGTCGCCGGGCCCACCTCAGCTGCATCTCTGCCAGTTTGAGCCGCGAGGCTGCCTGCTTCCATTTCTGGTGGCGATGACGACGCTGCTGCTTCCCTCTGAGTGTTCTCCTGGGGCGGCGGCGGCTGGCCGAGCTGCAAGTCTGAGTCACCGCTGAGCCCTGCCTCCGAACAGATGGGCTGCACGCCAAGCCTGTTGAGGTCATGTGTGGCGATGTCCATTCTGCGCCACTGTCTGACCGCCACTGGGAGGTTCCTCCAGATATTTTTGGGCAGGCCACTCAGTTGCCCGTACGGCACACAGCCGTTCCTGACGTGCACCTCCTCCAGGGCGCTAGTCCAGGCGACCATTGAGGTTGGGCTGGCGAGGCTGAGCTCATGCGTCTGCAACATGAGCGCTCCAGAGTAGTAAACCAGCGGCCTCTGTGGCGTTGCAGGAAAGCATCCCATGCTCACAGGATCGACTGTGAAGGCGGCACTGCACCCGCCACACCTGAATGCTGGGGGGCTGACCTCTGTCCTGCCGCTGATCGAGACATACACAAGCCTGCTGATCGTCTCCACCTGCTCCCACACTGATCCCACCCTCCCAGCCTGACTGCATGGACTGCAAGCGGGCAGGGCTGCTCTGGCAGCTGTCAAAAACTCTGCCTGCAGCTGCTGCTTCAGTGCTGCTTGGCGTGCAGGCTGACCAGCTTGGAAACATGTGTTCCTGAATACATTGTCATCAAAGCACGCATCCCATGCTTGGTGCAGCCGTCTATTATCCTCTTGAGCTGCCTGTTTCCGCAGACGCCGGCGTGAGGGCGGAGGCTGATAATAGGCAGCAGCGGCTTCTCCATCTCCATCTGCAAAGCCATCCTGCTGTTCTTCCTGCTGAGCTGTGTTTCTTGCAGGGATCCGCCAGGATGGAAGGGCGCTGGCCGGCCTCCGGGGTCCCCTCGGTGCAGATGTTGCCACAGTGCTGCCTAGGTTCCTCCCAAATCTGCGGCCTGGCTGCAGCAGAGCAGGAGTGTCGGCTGATGGTATCACCTTGACACTGACCCTCCACCTCTTGTTCCTGACCATTCGTCCTGCATGAAGTCATCACACAACGGTTTCTGCAAGTGATCCACCAGGACATTAAAGGAATGAGAAGTACATCAGCAGCATGCCTTCTAGTACAAGTGATACAACTATCCTTACAAGCACCTGGGCTACTTGCTACTCTTTGGGGTGCACAGTCCTCTCCAGATGCTCCTCATCAGATTGGCATTCCAAGCAAAGCCAGGTCAGGGCAGACACCCACGGCTACTCACAGCAGCAGAGGGATCGTAACGCTCACCAGAACAATTGAACTTGATGTTGGTTTAGATTGTAGACGACTTCAGTGTCTGTCCGGTGCATCAGTGCTCAATTCAGGTGAACGCTCTGTGTTGCCTGCACGCATTTCATTTCAAGGAATTGGCTTGGCAGGGCATGCAGTCACTACGAAAGAAGTAGACATGCACGTCGATGGTCGTGACATTCGATTAGCTGAGTCCAAACAAGTCAAGGATGGGGATGCCAAAAAACCGGCAAAAGTGCGAACCTCACATGGCCAGCGACAGAAGACTTCAAGAATTCGTTTAAATTACTCCCATAAACATTTGCGGCCGTCCCACCCCCCTTTCAAATCCTACTTTGCAACGGTAACCTGGCAAATGGCATTGCTGTCTTCGCAGAAACGAGTAGCGCACGATCCTATAGATACAGGCTTGACCGAAATAATTAGCTTGACGGAGGTACTATGCAATGCTGAGATTGTTGTAGGTAAATCTGAAGGATGTGCAGCATTGCTTTTGTTATTGCACGCCCCGAAGGGGCGTGCTCAGAAAGAGAGCCAAATCCACTAATGTAGTGGAGTGCATGTCCACCAAAGTAGTGGATTTTGCCCGACAGAGTAGGATGCTCCTGTGCGTCTGCTCCGTCCTCTGCCAGCCCAGGGCGCGCCTAGTAGCGCAGCCGTGTGCGTTGTCTCACTACCACTGTCCTATCATCAACTTCACTGCCGAGGTACGGTCTCCCTTCTGGTCTCTACGGGACTGCAGACATGCCTGTTTGACATCCTCGCTCGAAACGGCAGGGCTTGACCCGAAACGCACGGCAAGATGAGGCGTTGCGGGCTGTGAGCACTGAACGTGATACGTTGATTTTCTGGCTGATGAGGACTTTGTTATTCATATTGTGACTCTAGACGATGCTGCCGATCAGACGACAGTCTCCGCGAGCAATTTGGCTGCTTCACTCAGCGGGAATGCGAAAGTGCTCTTACCCCAGGGAAAGATTTTGTGGATCTTGGTCAAAGCATCTTGACCGTTAGAATCCCTGACACTAAAAGAAAAGTATTTGACGTCTTATAACGCATCACCCTGCACTGATTTGGCCGCACACTGAAGTGTGTTTTGGCATTCCGCAGTGCGGCCCTGGTTAGACCGGCGACTATGGACACTTGCAGCAGCGGAAGCAGGAAAAGAAAAGCCTGCTTCGATGCCGAAACGGACTCTGGGGCGACTTCAAAGGGGGCAGGCTCGGCTAAGGGAGCGGCACACAGCGACTTCCAATTGTCAGCGAGTCCCAAGAGGTTGGCGATGGACAGCCGGGGCAGCGACATATCTTGTCAAAGCCAACTGATGTGCGGCGATTGGCTAGATAACATGAGCCTGGACTCAGTCCTCGCTTTCTCACCATCCGCGGATATGAGCTGCTCCGAGCGTCTGGACGAGTCGTCTGGATCGCCCTCAAGCTTCCTGTCGGTTACCACCGCCGGCACGTCGAAGCCCCAGCTCTCGGACGAAGGTGAGTCCTCACACTCCTTGGATGCCGGCAATGAGCAACAATTCGATCTGTAGTTTGTCAAGATCACTCGCCCTTGCCACAGCCTTCGGCCGAGGACCCACGCGTGCCCAGATTTTTTTGTTGCTTTTTATGTCCTCAAGGATTTTGATGCTAGGATCTCTTCAAGAGTCATTCAAGCAACATCAAATGAGCGTGAACGACCATCAGACTTGCCTTATCCTGCCAGCTCCTGAACTAACCTTCAGCCCTGTTGGCCATTGTCCAGAACAAAAATCTTAGGCGATTCTTCCCAGGGCGCACAAAATTGCTCCTGCAGCTGTCAACACTGCTCCCAAAAGCCTGCAAGCAGGGCCTGACTCTCACATCAGCTCCTAGGGCATGCAGCGAACCACAGGTAAAATAGGGTGAAAGAACAGAAGCCGAATCTGAGTCTGAAACTGAATGGGGCTGCTGCAGGCGCCTCGCAGCTGTGCGAGTCACCTCTGGAACCGGACGTGTGCAGCAGCGAAGACGGCTGCTGCTGCGAGCTGACAGCCGAGCCGCCGAGCTGCACCTGCTTTGGGACGCGGCTCTATGCCTTCTCAGAAGACAGCCTGGTTCGCAGCATGGCTGCCATGTACGGCTTCTCTCCGCAGTGCACCTCCGTGGGGACCTCCTATTTTGCGCGCCTGGCCGCCCGGGATGAGGTGTGTGATTTGCTGCTCCCAGAGATGCCCCCTTGACCTGCATCAGATGTCATTCAGGCAGTCACGTTGGACTGTTCCAGCCACCTCAGGGATGATGTCATGCTTGACTGGGGCAGTGATGAAGGCACAAGATAGGTGATGCAGCAATGCAAAGACAGGCCGGGCTCGGGCACAGGCACGGTTGCCCATTCAGACCCTGTCGATATCTATTTGAGCTCGTTCCTTGCACTGCCAATATTCACCAGTTTCTGCTGCTTGACTTGCTTTTGATTGCTTAAGGACCCGCAGCTGCCTGCACGGACGCAAAGTTAATCCTGCAGCATGCACACCACTTTTGTACCTCTTCAATGCCCATCTCATGGATAGCTTCGGCCTCCCTAGGCAGGATCATACAGCTGTGCATGTGACACTCGCTGACAGCTGGGGTGACTTCGCAGAGGCTTATGGCGACGGCCATGGCGCACCCGGACTTTGCGCCTCTGGTGGAGGGAGTCTGCGTCGACCCGGAGCCGACGGCGGTGCCTCTGGCGCAGCAGCTGCGGTCGCTGACCAACCCCAAGCAGTGGCTCATGGCACTGCACCTCTGCTGCAACTACCTCGCCGCCAAAAACATCGACAAGGTGCGCTGCTTCTGCTCTCCTCCCGACCCTTGCAGATATTCACTGTGGCAGAAAATATCGCTGTCAATAGTAGCAGCGCTAAGATGCAACGCTTATCCTTGATTTTTGCCACACGACATGTATACCATGCAGTACCATCTGTGGCCGTCGAGCTGAAGTCCTCAAAAAGATGCATTCTCCAGCCGCTATGCCCAGAATTGCCCCTATACCACAGTAGGCAGAGAAGACGAAAGAGTGCTCATGGGGAGGCATGCATGCGCGCAGGTGAAGTACCGCAATCTGCTGACGCTCATTCTGAGCCACGCGCACGGCCACGAGCTGCCGTCAAGGGTGGCCGCGTCGCTGGAGATCGAGCTGCTAGAAGCCCTGCGCTGGCGCCTCGGCCCCTTCTTCCACACCGTGCCCCGCTGCGCCGGGGGGCCTCCCCCTTCCTCGGCCGCGGCGGCAGATCTGCCGGTGGAATCCAGCGCGTGACCGGCCGCAAATCGGCACCCTCGGCGCCACATCAGCGCCATGTCAGGGAGCCATAAGCATGACATCAGGGCCCGGCAATCGGGCCAGATCAGAGACAGACAGATGTGCATCGCCGCTCAGACCTCCGGCATGCACGCATGGCCCCGGCAGGGAACACCATCTGACGCCCGGCGGCCAGCGCCGGGCTCCGACGGCGTCCCTGCGCCCGGTGGCATTTTTTGGCTGCGCATGCTGCCGGCGATTTATGTAAGCGCGCCGTAATGCTCGGCGCCGTAATCTCTTCTGCGCGGCGGCTACGGAAACCGGCGCGCGGCGCCCGGCCGGCCGCAGCAGCTGAGCTGGGTGCTGACGCGCCGGAGGATCCAGTCAGCTCGCGCAGCAATTTTTAAATTTAAATTTGAATAAGTCCCCTCTGTCACACTACAGCGGGGGCGACAGGGTGATGACCCCAGGGTGTGACAGACTGCATCCAACAGGCAGTGCTTAATTCTGCTGCCCTTGGCTGCAGCCCCACAGGCAGTGTGCCTGGCCAGGCTAGGTACTGGCTAGGTGTAGAGTGCAGCCTCAGTGCTGCGTTGCAAGTATGTGCCCCCTGCGGGGCTAGCAATAAGCAGAGCGCATGGATTCGTTCTGCATGCTGCTTGTAGCACATGGGTCAAACCAGGAACAACTCAGCTTTACCCTGCAGACGGGCTCTGCAGGGAGGGTCGCTTAAATCTGTGAGGCACAGGAGAGATGTGTGCGCATCATCTGTTTTCCTTTCTTGCGTCACGCATGTGGTCTTACTCCGACAAATGTGCCTCAGGAAAATGAGTGCTGACAATAAGTCGTCGATTTGTGCGAAGCCGCGCTTGTGTATGTGTAGCGTGTATGTGAGTCTTGAATGCCATGACTGATCTCTTTTGCCTGAGCGGGGCTTCTTTTACAGCGTTGTGCATGCCCGAGATCGCGCGTCCGGCGCAGCAGTTGTGCAAATTTGGTTTCGTAACTGACGGATCCGCACTCTCAGATGTGCACTCAGAGGCGCGGATTCAGATTTCAAAACAGTCCGATCAGCGTGTGTGGCGGGGGCAACAGCCTCTGCTGAACATGGCAAAAATTGTGTGTGGCCACGTGGGGCTTCCTTTTTGCATGCAGGCAACCGCGCATGGCCAGACTGGTGCAGGACAGAGGGCAGCAACTGTCCCAATGCAAGTTCCTGGTGAATCAGTCATGCACCCTGCACTATGCGTCTGTAGAGGCACCGCCCAAGTCCTTGTGGGTGGTGACCCAATTTTTCTATTTCTGTGCTCTCTGGGTTGTCCTGTGCAGGCTCCTCTTGTGCTGTCCGTTGTGATCTTTAGACCCCCCAGTCCTGATGCTGGGCAAAACTCTAATAAAGATGCCAGCTGGGTGTCACAACAGCACCCTAGGAGAATGGTGTCAGGACATTGAATGGCACGACCATGTACAATGTACAACAGTGGCCCTGTTTAGGATGTGGGTATGTCGACAGGAGGCATTTGCCTACCTGGCGCTGTGAGGTAAGACCAGGGTATTTGATACAAGTATCTGCTGTCAGCTCGACTGGGGAGCTGCAGAGTATGTTGAGTATGTCTAGGTGTGACACTTAGGTGAGGAATGTGGACAAGCAATCAAAACCTGATTGAATAATGCGTTTCTGGCATGCCCGTGCGCTTTGATGACAAGCCTGGATATGCAGCACGTGTTGAGGGTTGACTGGCCAAGGACATGCATGGCTGTGTCCTGCTGTTGAAGTCTGAAAAAGTTCCTGCAAGCAGCTGCACAGTGCATTTGTGGTGCCTCTAGGTGTGCCAATGAAAGCCTGTCATGTGCTGGTGACACCCGTCATATGACTGCATTCTTTTAGTATATTTCACTTCTGCAGGTGTTACCTGGTGATTTTTAAGTGACTGGCAAGCAGCTGATGTGCTTATAGGGTTGTGTGTGCCGGGTGATACTGTCAAGACTGCCTTGTGAAGCAGGTTGTGTCATGCGCCGGTGCAATAAAACACAACCATTAAGTGTGGTATGCTCGAGTATGAAGCTGTGTTGACCAGCGCTCTAGTGTGGAGTGTAATTAAGAGGAGCCTTCCTGACCGGTCTCAGGCATGCTTATAACGGCCTTGGGTTGGACCCCGTTGTTCTGCATCCTTTTCAAATTTGCATACATGGCATGTTCTATATCAGACGGCCCTTTTTAAAGCCTTCAACTATACAGCACACATCATTATTGGGAAATCATGCGGACACAACCGCTGGTTAAAGTTCCACTCATAGATGGACAGCAAAAAATAATATCACTTGGCAGTTCTCGAACAACAGTAATATTAAAGTATGTGCAGCGCTGCCCCAACAGACTGAAAAGCTGCTGGGTAGTAATCGTCAGAAATCCTCAATAATAACAGTAATCCTGAATGACACACCCTGCTGCATCACAAGAGCATAAGGGGCTTGACAGCAGGCAGCTTCCCCTGGAAGGCCAGCCCCTTGACCCCAACTGGGTCCCTGATGAATCCCAGCTTCTCATAGAGGCCCACAACATTGGGCTCTGCAAAGAGTGTAATATTAGGGATCCCCTCTGCCACAAGCCTGGCAGTCAGCCTCTCCAGCACCCCTCTCCCCAGCCCAGACCTCTGCCACGCTGGGTGCACCTGCATGCATGCACTGCATGAGACTCAGATGTACATTCTGGCATATGTATGGCTGAGCACTCTGTGCAAGCTGAGACTGTATCAAAGCCGCCATGCCCAGAGTGATATCAGAAGCCTGCCCAGCAATGGTCACTGTTTACGCCTCTTAATCTCCCATGCCTCCTATTGCCTCCTACTAGGGGCCTTCGGCATGATGTGTGGAAGACCACCAGACACCTCTTATCACAGGCCCTGCATTGGCGTGTTCTTATGGAATATCCTGAATTGACCTGTTGGCGAGGGAGGGAAGACTTGAATATGATATCCTGAACAGGCAGGTGGGCGCGGGAGGGAACGCGCGCACCGCGACGTCCCAGATGGTGGCGGACAGGGCGCCGTCGCTGGTGGCGCGGCAGAATCCGAGCAGCTGCCCCGCGCGCGCCATCCGCGACTTGCGCGTCGACCGGATCCACAGCGTCCGGTGCGTGTGCGACAGTGCCCTCACCAGCTTCTCCGGGTTGCGTGCCGGGAACCCCACCTGCCGCCACATGCGCGCACCTGCCTCAGAAGTGCATTTCTCCCACGCCAGCTTTCAAAACATGCTGGTGACCCTTTGACCACTTCTGATGATGTGGGGCACATGCGCGTGTTTGCGTGACGTCTGCAATGTTTCTCGCATGTATGCCTCGCAGATTTCGCTGGCATTGACGGTGGATTTCTAATATTGCCTTATGTTGCTTCTGAGAGTTTCAATATTGCCTTCTACATGCGTGCACCTGCCCCGATCCATGCAGGCCATGCATGCATGCAAGAGAAACCACAAATCCTGGCAACCCCTGACTAGCGTTGGCAAAGCATCATAAATATCATTTGAGTGGTAAGTCAGCTTCTGTGAGGATTACCAGCTGGGTTTGACAACCATGAGCAATTGCCGGGCTGATGTAGCTCTTCGAAGCGACACGAGCTCTCAAATTTCTCAGACTGTCCATATGCATGCCATGCCACATGAGAAGGCCACCAAAGGTTACTGACAAAGACTAAGCGGCTGTCCGTTCTGTTTATAAATGTCTTGATATCAAGGAACGCGTGCCAAAGAGGGTGCGCACCCTGGAGAACAGGTCATTGAGGTCTTCCAGGTTGATGTCATGGTACCCCCACACGAATTCCACGCCCATCTTCTCAAAGTCCTCATCGCTCTTTGATATGCTTGGCGATGGGTTCTCCCGGAGCCCCAACCCTGCCTTTGCACTGCTCATGCCATCCGTTGCCAGCAGCGCCGCGGCTGCATGCGTGCATCCACACACCACAATTACTGATATACTTGCACTGCGCAGACAGTGCAAGGCAGAAGAGAGCTTGCCTTGCATGCCCTCTGACCAGCTTCACCGGATCAAGAAGCATGCAAACATGAGACTGAAGAGGGGCTGCTGACGCTGAACGGCCCTCAGCACGAGCTTCCGAAGTAAATGTGACTTCTGCCTATATAGACATGTGCTGGCAAGCTCTTCGTCTAGCGGTAGGTAGAGCTGATCTGATGGATGCTCACCTGCGGCCTGAACGCCTACATATAAGAGCTTCGGCTTGATCGGACGGCGAGGTGCCTCTAAAAGAAGAGCCTCATTGCCTATGACAGGCCTCCACCTCCTCGATGGACATAGAACAGTATGGACCAGTCTCCTGCTTGTAGGGTTGATGGCGTGAAGTGCAGTTCGATCGGGGGACAGTGCAAGGAACTGCGCTTCCATAACCACTACAACCTTATAAAAGTCATGTTGATGCCATATGGGCCCGTTGTTGTTGTACAATACTACTTGTTGCGAGGCAAGGTATGTGTAAGATCTGGCAAACGTTACAAGCTATAAGATTCCAAGGGATTAGAGGTTGCTATCCATGCTGAATCAGAAGAACTTTGGATTGGAATGTACTTGCCCGATGCTTTGCATCATGAACTTGCATCTGAGTCTATCCATGAAGCACGTGGCTCAGAATACCCTACCTAGCCACCTCGCAATGCACTGGAAGATCTCGAACACCGCGAGTACATTTGGCAGCACGCCACAATCAAATCAATAGTGTGTTGATCACATCGCCGGTTCAAGCTGTATTTGTTTTACAAATACAGCGATCTTGCTGCATGCTTTCTGCTTGCAAAGCATGATCTCGAATGGTAGCAATTTAGAGGTGAATGGAAAAATATGACAAAGCGAAAATTTGATGTGCACTCGTTCTGATTTTTTAAACGAAATTGACGAACCATCAATCAGCCAGCCACCTGTTACAAAAGTTGACCAGAGCAGCTGTGCTCGCAGGTGTCTGACAACTCTGGTGCGAAGATAGCTCAGTGCATTCAGCAGAGCGGCCAGTCCTGGGGGATTGGCGACACCATCACTGTCGCAATAAAGAAGGCAGCCACCAAAGGTCTGCTCCTGCTACTTCGGCTGTCGAGCTGCCCAATGTAGCACCTCTCTACACTTCAAGAGGACGGTCAGATACATTAACTTGCAGCAAATAGACTGGCTGCCAGCCTGTGATCAGGATCTTATGCGGCAAGTGTTTCTGCTGCAGGCAAGGTAGCAGCGGGCAGTGTGCAGAGAGCTGTCATCACAGAGACCAAGAAGCAGCTGCAGCGGAAGGACGGGAGCGTGATCAAGTTCCACAAGAACGCCTGCGTGCTGGTGGACAGAAAGACAGGGCAGCCGCTCGGCACTCGCGTGCTGGGGTTTGCAACACACGAGCTGCGCGCGCGCCAGATGCTCAAGATCCTCTCGCTGGCATCCAGAGTGCTTTGACCCAAAGCGTTGGCAGCGCAGCTGCTCAGTAGGTGTAGACAGCTCAGACAGGACATCTAGCTGCCGATTGACCTCAAAACTCAGTGGAAGCCAGGGGTGCTAAGTCTAGCCTTTTAAAAGAAGTAACAGCAGAAAGGGGGCTGGAACAAGAGAGGACCAGAGGGTGAACAATGGGGAAGGCAAGGGATGCGTTCAACCTGACAGTGTTTGGGCTGGTGGGCCTTGGGACGCTGGCAGGTGTTTTGCTGACCAGTCAGACCAAGAAAGTAGCGATGGGCAAGAACCGAGAGCCCACATTTGAGGAGAAGATGGCAGCCTTTGAGCGGAAGCCCTAGGCTGGCTGTCATGCCATGCATGCGAGCAGTCCGGTACATGTCCCTGATGTTTCCAACGGCACATTCAATGTGCAACAGTCCCAAGGACTGCAGCTCTAGATCTAGGGCGACAGAATTACAATGTGCACGGTCCTTTCCGGAACAATGTATCGTGTGCTGCAAAAGAATTTTGTATTGGGGCACATATGATGGGCTGACTGATCATACGCAGATCTGGTCAGGACTGATCATTGAATATTGTGAGTGGTGATACAAGTCTCCAAACTGACAGTACCTGTAAGCAGTTCATTTGCCCTTCTTATATGCAAGCCTGTGCTTGTATTGAGCAGCAACAACATGGCTCTTTGCAAGCTCTGCTCTGCTGACATCAGGAGAAGCCTTGATCGCATGCAGTCTCCCATTCAACTTAACATTTGCCTCTTCAATTGCCGCCTCAGCTTGTTTCCTGCGCTGGACCGTGGACGCAGGGTTGATTTTGGGCATCTGCACGCAGCATAGGAAAATGCATCAGCGGCGAATAAGCACCAAATGGCACACTGGTGCTTGATGACACCTGGCGCAGGCAAAGCTTCTGCATCCTCCTCTAAATCGGGGTGGCATCATGACAGATGAGCGGAAACAATCCATGGCGCCAAAGGTTGACCCACCTTTTTGGATAGCTTCTCCACCCAATGGACTTTCCTGTGGCTGATGGCCATCAGGCGGGTGACAGTGCGAGCATTCTCTGCTTGTATCCGCCACAGATGCTCTGGGGTGTGGCTGTAGCTGGTCTTGAAGTGAGGCGCTGCCTGCATTACAAGTTTTGCTGTGAAGATGCACAAAATTGTCGCCCTGCCAGGCAAATGAAAGCAGCCATGCACATGTCAAGGATGTGTAAATGGATCCAGAAGCATGGTGATGGAAGTCACCTTCGGGACGTGAGGAGGAGAGCTGAATGTCAGGGTGATTGCCCTTGTTGTGTGCTTCTTTGGGACAGGAATTTTCAGTCGTGGGACTCGCCCTGTTGCAAGCAGAATTTTTTACAGGTGCTGCCCTCAGGTCCGCACTACAGCTTCTGGTTGTTAAAAGGGCAGTCGAATGATTGACTTGCCTTGACTGACAGCCTTCATTGCTGTAGGAATAGCAACATGCTGGTGGACCGGGGCCTGCCCTGCAATCTTGTCCGGGGAGGTGGCGTCTCTGTCAGAGACTACGGCAGTCTCCTGACTGACAGTATCGGCTTCTGCTGATTCATCTGCGCCTGTTCGGTCTGCCACCTCCGCTGGTCCAGGCGAGGCAGGGTCACTGGATTCTGCAGCGCTGACGCTGGTGACATCTGGCTCTTCCAGTGCTTTAACAGTGCTTGGCTCCAGAGATTGCATTTCCCTCAGTGCCTCAGACTGCCGTCTACCACCCAGCATCAGTCTTTTTACCGAACTGACAACTTAAAACACAGTTGTTGACCTATTGCCTGGTACCTAATTTCCTCAGTATGACACTTCAGATCACAAGTGCGCTGAATAATGCACCTTTAGAATGCTCAGATCAGCTGGCAACGAAGTAAGGCTAGTTCTGTCTGTGCTTCGCCTCGTTTGCCTTGACAGATGTGTGATCAAGATGGGCAAGAACAGGCTTCAAAGTTTAGCGATCTAGCTAGGTGCGCACCAAGATTATCGAGGTGACAACGGAAACAAGGATGAGAAGCTCATCATAACCACGCTTCAGCGACGGCCTCAGCATTTCGCGCTTGTGTCTGAATTTAGCCAGAGCTGGTGCCCAGTGGGCAAGCAGGCTGCCCGACTGCCCCGTTGCGCAAAGGGGTGATTCGGCTCCAAATTTTCAAACACCTTGGCGGCAATTGCCAGCGGAAACGATCGCGAGCACAGACTCTGTTTGATCCCAAACTGCATCTCCTATTTCAGAACTTCTGCGAAGTGAGGGACTGTACTCGCCTTAAATTGCGTTCCTTCTGCATCGCCCTTTGAACGAGCTTGCATACGTTATACTTTCCTTTGTCATCCTTCCTGAGACCTACCCCGCCTCGGACGCAGCCTCGAACCCGCGATCCAACACCGATAGTTTTTGAAGTGGATTGGACGTTACACGACTTCGGATTTTGCTGCCAAGGCTCTGGGGAACCCTCTGCATTGTTTGGTCAGCTCTGAGAAGGAGGGATTTCAACTTCGCTTCAGGGAACATCGGTAAGCTCTATTCCAAACACAAATGCATTGTCCTCTGTTATCCACTATGTTAGGGACTGTGTTTACTTGTGCAATGAATGGCGCACTCTTACCATCTGTCCAGCTGGAGTGAGGTCCTCTGCTGTATCTCCTCAGATGCGCTATGCAGTAGCTTGCTGCAGTTTCAAAATATCTCATTGGATTATATACGTATCTTTCTCGAAAAGATACGTATATACGAGCAGGGTGGCCACGAACACGAGGTTCTGTGTGTATGCAACTATAGACTCTAACCTGCATCCCAGAGAAATCAACTGCTCAGAAGGCATCAAATCCTGGCTTACCAATGTCTCACACCCCGTCATATCCCCGCTGTGAAAGTCTGTCAGCAAATCCTGACTGGTTGGCAGTGCTTGCAGGGGGGCGGGATGGAGAGCCAGAGCTCGCCATCCACCAGTGGCCGAGCCATGCTTTTTTCAGCATCCAGGCCGGCTGTGGTGCTTTGTATACTTCTGCTGTCCTGCGCTCTAGCATCAGCCCAGTGGGTTGTTGAGACCAACAGCTTCCGCATCAAAGAGCCATCCAGTGCAGCGGGAGAGCATGATGCGGCTATTGGAGATGTGAGTGCCCCTATAAAAGTTGCTTACAGACATTCTCCCTGCGCAAGCAGGCTCACTGCAAAACATATGTTGCTGGTTGGAAGCTCGATCTCGGCGCTGCTCATTGATGACTCTTTGCTTTGCAAGGTCTGAAAAATTGCTGGGGCAGTGCTAACATGCAATTGTTGGTGTGCAGTTTGGAGTGCCTCTTTATGGCGGAGCCTTGACAGGGGAGATTGTGTACATGGAAAACAACAAGCTGGGCTGCAATGTGTTTGAGCGCCCCTTGGTGCAAACCACGCTGCCAGTCTTCCTGCTGGTGGAGAGAGGAGGTGCGCATGGTTTATTCTTTCAGTGACTGTAGTGCTTGCTGCTTGTCCTGCACATGAACTCACCACATGAACAACATCAGAAGGCGATTGGGGACTGACATGGTGGTGTGGTGTGTTGGGGCTCTACAGATTGCTACTTCATCGAGAAGGTACGCAGCATGCTCTTGACTTTTCATCTTGCGCTAATGATTGAGCAGAAACTTGCACAGACCAAGCGTTGTTCGTAGCTGCGAAATATTTTCCCATTCTTGCCTGCATTCCCAAGACCCATCATATTGATTGACTGCTTGTACCAGTGCCTACCAGTGCTTCCAATGCACCACGCACCATCATGTCCAAGCTAGAATGACTCAAGATGTGTAATCATTATGTAATGGATGACACACAGGCATACAATGCGGAGAAGGCGGGCGCGAAGGCCATCATAGTGGCGGACTACAAGGATGAGCGGCTGCTGACAATGGCGGTGCCGGAGGATCGCCCCGAGATTGCTGCCCTCAAGAATGACATCACCATCCCCACCGCTCTCATCACCCAGGAGGTCGGCCAGAAGCTGAAGGATGCCCTGCATGCCAAGGAGGCCTCCCCAGTCGTGGTGGAGCTCGACTGGAAGGAGTCCGTGCTGCACGAGGACGACAGGTGCGCCTTTTAATTCCACTACAGCGGCATGAAGATCGAATAAAGATAACGCACACGATATTGTAAGGCACCTTGTACACATCATTTTCTTCGATTATCCCATTGATCTCAAGAAGATGCAGCCATGTCAACATCAGGAAATTTCAGACGAATTGAGAAAGCGGCACGATGCTCGCTTGTGGGACGAGTTTTCTCGCTTGTAGGGGAGTGCAGCATTGCTGCGGGACATGTGACCATATGACACTGGAATGCAATAGAGCTTGTCTAACATCCATCATCATCATCATGTCATTTGCCGGGTCCTGCAACAATGTTGCATTGCTTTGAAGAGCCATGCCCTTAGGTGCGCTGTGACTGCAGGGTGGAGTGGGACTTCTGGACCAGCGCCAACGACGGCTGCGGCAACGGCTGTGACCAGCAGACCGACTTCAAGAAGAAGATGCGCGACACCGCAATCGCTCTCGAGAAGGTGCCCCTTCTACCTCTCATGCCCTGATCATCACAGCAGAGACCCTGTTTTGCTCGCTATTATTGTTCTTGGTTGACCCTTGGGTCAACCATAAATTCCTGCTTACGAGTGCCTTTCTCACGATCAGTGCTCTGACATGCAGTCATGACAAGCCTAGCAGCTTTCAGGAAGGCACATTGTGCATGCATGCTCCAAGGCGTGCCGGCGCTTCTTGGTTGCTTTCTGCATGAATATCCAAGGAGGCTGCCTAATTTGTGCAGGACGGCTTTGCCAAGTACACACCGCACTTCATGACCAGGAAGTGCAGCTATGATGCCGACACGCCCGAGTGCACCACCAACTGCATCCACAGGGGGCGCTACTGCGCGGTGGACTCCATTAGCGATGAGTTCAGCGGCAAGTTCAAGGGCTGGCAGGTCCGTGCTCATATTCCCGGTCAAGTATGCCACTCATCATTGGTGCAATGCGCTAGCCTGAAGCTGTGCATTTCATCACGACTTCCAGAGCTGAGTCCAGGACAGCCTCAGATATGTGACAAGTGTTGAGAGGTCGGGAATTTTGGGACACTGATGGCTGACTGAGTCTATTCAGCTGTCTGATGGCTAATTGCATTGATGACTCATAGAATTGCTGGCCGTGACGGATGGCTGAACAATGATCGTAAACCCCAATTGACCCCAATTTTAACCTGAACAGGTGGTGGAGGAGAACAAGCGCCAGCTGTGCGTGTACAAGCTGGCCTCTGACAGCAAGGAGCCCTGGAAGTGGTGGGACTATGCCGCCGGATTTGCAGAGCAGTGCACCATGCAGAATGGCCGCTACGCTGACAGGTGTCCATCAGGCTCATGCACAACTGGCTGCCTTGCCTTGTGATGCATTTCATCCAGCACAGGAACCTCACAGATTGAAGGTCTCGGCCGTGTATTTGCCGTCAAGTTAAAGTCTCGAGCAGCCCATGTCAGGTCCACCCTCTGCATTGCAGGGCTACCGTGGAAGGTTGCATATGTTGCTTTTGCATGTGACTGTCTTCATAAAGTCTCGATCCTGAGCAATGCGTCGTTGTTTTGGCAGGTCCTGCATCCGTGCCCAGCTGGACACAGTGGGCATCAGCGAGGATGAGGTCAATCGCTGCATGGGCGACAGCTCAGCCGACAGCACCCACGACCTCCTGGAGGTACAGCGCATTTACTCTTGACGCTCTTCAAAGTCATTGTTATGTGTAGCACCAGCCGTCTTGTGCAAACATACATCATGTGAAGCCATGCACCGTCAGACTACAATACAGGCGCTGCATGCTTCATATGGCGATTGGATGCAGAAGGCAGCTGGTGTGTGGGAAGCGCCTGGTCTGCATCTACATCAACTCTTGGTATTGGGCATGAGCATGCAACAGCCCAGCAGTGCAAGAAGAGCCCGCAGTTTAATTTAAAAAATTTTACATTTGCCATGACAGGCCTTGATCACAGCTGCTCACATTGTAGCCCATCGTCACAGCCCCTCAAGGAGAACGTCTCCTTAGACATGTCCAGAAAGGACCAGGATTGTGAATTTTGAGTATTTTCGTGTTTCGCCTTGTGCAGGCGGACTATGTGGAGCAGGGCAACGACCAGTGGGGCAACGGCAAGATCCTGCTGCTGCCCACCATCATCGTGAACAAGCACCAGTACCGCGGCCGCCTCGATGTTCCCTCCGTCCTGCGTGCCCTCTGCGCCGGCTTCTCCGAGACCACCGAGCCCCAGGTGCGCGCGCATGCCAGCACCTGCCACAAGTAGAAGCCTTACTCTTGATGGTTTTGGCTGCGCTCGGAGAGACATTGGGGTCCCTACCGTGCTGTCCATCTACCTTTCCTCTTTTGCATAAACTCAAAAGCTTAGCTTTGGTGCTGGTGCCGGGTGGAACCACCCGGCCCATGCATGCATGCATTGCCTTGGGATGGGCAGGACTCAAAATTTGGTGAGGCATGCATGCAGCATTGCACAGTGCATAATGCATGCCATCTGAAACAGGACTCATCTGGGCGCTGGCTCTGCTGAGCATGCTGATGGTCATGCATGCATGCATGGTGGTACAGCCATGGCTGATGCATGGGGCGCTGTGGCACATGTAGGTGTGCTTGGCAGGGTCGATGCAGGAGGATGACTGCAAGTACAGCACGCACGGCTGCTGGACATCCGGCTCTGGGGACAAGGGCGTCACCGCCTGCAAGGACACCTTCCGCGGCTACGTCTGTCAGTGCCCCCCAGGTTCGAAGCTATTCACATTCTAATCACGAATGCCAGGCCACCCTGAGGACGAGCGCATCTTCATTTAAGTGGCGCCTGACAGGAGGGCAGACATGCCAAAGCAGGCCTGGCGCAGGCATGGTGCAATTACAGACATCTTGTATGTTTTGAGACCGGACATGAACAGAATTAGCAGCCCACAATCGGATCAGGAGATCGCCAGAGCACAGGATACAACAAGTATTGTCCGGAACCACACTGCAGAGTTTGCTGTGGATCATCGTGGGGGGGCATTGCGCTGGCTGCATGGTCAAGAAGGGGGAGTCAGCAGCTGGTGAGGATGTCACATGAGGGTGTAGCGTAACATGTGCTGGGCTGATGCGCAGGCTGGAGGGGCGATGGGACGCACTGCGAGGACATCGATGAGTGCGCGGAGGGAACAGCGCAGTGCCAGCAGACCTGCACCAACAACCCCGGCGGCTACGAGTGCAGCTGCCGGGACGGCTTCACCCTGGTATGGGCATCTCTGTCATGCAGCACCCCCAAGTTCACAGACACAATGTCTTGCGTGGCGAAATAGAAATTGAATCCAAAATGAGCCTTAAACATTGCAGATGCACCACCTGCAGAGCTCTGCAAATTGGTGCAAGTTAGGGAACAATAATCAATTTGTGTCAAGAGTATCTTACTGACGTATGTTGTTGTGTGCAGCTGGGCGGCCACTCCAGCACAGGCATCTGCCTGCCCATCGACCAGTGCAAGAAGGATGCGGGCGGCTGCGAGTTTGGCTGCAACAGCCAGGACGGCCAGGCCACCTGCTCCTGCCCGTGAGTGCTCTACCCAGCTCATACTTGGGCTTGTGCATTTATTCGTCTCTCTGCAGTTTAAATACATGCCTCGAGTCAATGGCTGTAGTAAGCAGCATGCCAACTTTGCCACCGAGAGTGTGGCTTGGCTAGACATCACAGCTAGTCTCCAGAACTTTAAGTCGGTCGTGTACTCTGGTAGAGTGCCGCCCAAAGGGTCCCCTCAGAGTGCAGGGACTGACGAGACGTTCTTCAGATCCTGAAATTGTTGAATGTCAAAAGAGGGTAAAGAAGCTTTGTTTGTAAGCGCTAAGCGATGCAATGCATGGTCTAGCTCCTTTGGTAATTCTTGTGTCTGCAGGAGACTTCTTCGCATCCCTGCCTACTGGCGCACCCTTGTCAGGCAATAGTTGTCAGGAATTAGGGAGGCATGGTGTCTCGGGCAGACACAAGCATTCGCTTCCCACTCTTAAAAAGAAAGAATAGGCTAGGCTAGGACCATCGGTGAGCGGCCTTGCTGGTGACCCTTGTGTCTGCAGGAAATTTGCTCATTTTCTGTTCTATGGCACAACCCTGATGCGGGTGCCTGTGTCAGAACGCCGAGAGCGAGTAGTCTCCTGCAGACACAGTCACTGGCGGTTCCTCTTGAGGGGAAGAATTGCTCCAAGGATGCTCGATTGAGCGGGGTGTGGGGTGCCATGCACAGGGCGGGGCTGCGGCTGGGTCCGGACGGCAAGAAGTGCGTGGACATTGACGAGTGCGCGGAGGGCAAGGCGCCATGCGAGCAGGTGTGTGAAAACCGCGACCCGCGTGACACCGGGCTGCAGTACGTCTGCAAGTGCCGCCCCGGGTTCAGCATCGACATCGACAACCAGCACAAATGCATCCCCAAGGTGCGCCCACCAATGACGTGAATTTATCCAATGTGCAACACTTCTGGCCTGCCCTTCGGTGGTCTTAATGCTTCTGGTTTCTGTCTTGACTGTCAGACATGCGGGCGCATGAAATTGGACATTGCATCCGCCGCAAACATCTGCCAGCCACTTCATCCCCATGCATCACCAAATGACAGGTCTGCACAATGAGAAAAAGGCCTGGCTGTGGTGGCGTGCTGTGCACTGTGCCTTTCTCTTGACAAACTTCATTGCATGCATGCAGGCGGTGTACATGGCGAAGCTAGGCCTGAAGAACAACAAGGTGAGCGCGTGGACGGTGGCTGGCATAATCACGGCCGCCACGCTGATCGCCATCGTGGCCGGCTACGCGGTGCACAAGCTGCGCATGCGTCACGTCATGCAGAACGAGATCCGCGACATCATGTGCGTCATCTCCTCTGCCTGAACTTTAATTTGAATTTGAATTGAAAATATTCGCGCGGGCACAAAAGAGGGATTATCACAGAAAGTCAATTGCAGCATTTCTCCGGGCGTTTGCATGAGATGTGGGCTTGACCCATGGGAGCGAAAATGTGCAATGCTTCCTATACCCCTGACTGCACGGGTGTGCTTGATAATTTATTTTGTGATAGGTGAACAAGATCCGCCCATTTGTCTGAAGATACTGTATCCCGTACACCTGCACAGAAGTCACCCATCTGGAGCTGCTCGCAGATCTTACACAATTGTTCTACGCGCAGGCGCCAGTACATGCCACTGGAGGGCAACAACATTGATGAGTCACTGCTACCCAACTCATCGCCCAGGATCAAGGCTGGCAAGGGACCCGTAATGCCCGCCGACCCACCAGCCGACAGCAGCGTCTAGTTAGGATGCTCTTCTTTTAAATGCCCACGTGCATACTGGAAAGTAAAGGATAAAGTGCAGCCAAACAAGAGGACGGTGCTGGGGGAAGTGTGGAGGAGTATGAAGGAATAGAGCTGCTCACATGTGCACCAGAGGCTTTGCCTAAGATGTGATGTCCTACGTGCATGCTGGTGGCAAGCAAGAAAGTGTATTTTATAGCGTAGGGCATTGGACGGCTGTGAAGGTACAGCCGTGTCGAACAAATGCGAACGTTGTCCTTATAAACTAGACGGAGTTTTGAAGACTCTCATGCCAAGCAGAATTCTCTTGTTTGAAACCCCGTGAATGCCATGTGAACGATGTGAGAGCTTCCTTTTGAACAGCATCACCATTTTTGCCTGAAATGAAAACTGGCTGTGCAGCCTTCTGTAGCATTAGGTTCCCCTGAATGACGCATGACAGGAGTGGCCTCAAGTTGTCACATGCGCGTGGTGCTTTTGCAGGCATCCAGTGAATTGTAGTGAGCTACTAGGAATGTAAAATCCATGTACTGTATACATCTGCAATGGATACCGGCACTTCTGCTATGCATAGCATCACAGGTCCGTTCACATCTGATTGAGCTTGGAGGAACCTCACAGCGCTCTGCAGCTGCTCCTAATGCGCTTTGATATTATTCCAGCTGCTCTGCATTGTTTATTGTCCGGTCACACGATTTGTTCTGCAGGAAAGTTTTCAACATGTACAAACATTTTGAGACGCTCTTTGCATGCGGTGCTAGCTCTTTTGACACTGCAACTACTCCAAGTCTCTTTATTGCTGCCTGCGCGGGCTAGCACCCCAAAAATTTCGCTCATCGCCTTGCAGAGAGGAAGAGCATCTCCAAATTGGTCTGCAAAGCGCCCGTTTTGGCTGAGGTGACTAGGCTTGGCTCGAAATTGCGGCTCAAGACGCGTCGACTCCCACAATGGAATTGATGACGCCCGTTACTGGTCTCACTCATTCTCATCACACCGATCCCAAGTCTGCCCATAAGGGAGGACCATCAGGTCTGCTGGTCTACTATATGCCCAGCGCCGGTGATAGAAGAGTTTGAGAAGAGCCTGTCATCTTGCTTGATTGCAGAGCGGCGCATTCGTCTGGCCGCTGGATTCAAGAATCCCTCGTACCCTGTGCATGCACGGGGCAACCCGATTGACATAGCCTGGAGGCATGCAAGGCCTGTCTGACAAAGGTCAGGATCAAGATGCTCATGCAACCTGATTCCAGGACCAAGCAGAGCACAGGAGGTTTGTTAGGCTTCACACCTCTCACAGCATTTCCCCGCAGGTTGGACTGCTCCAGATATCTCGTTTCAAGCTCATAGATCTGCGTTGCAGCCAAAGGGGTTCAGAGTTGCATGTCCAAAAGAAACCTCCAAGAAGAATGTGCAGAGATGGCCACTTCACTGTTGCTTGTCCATAATGAGGAAGCATCCATGATACTCCACCTGCTTCTCGATGGTCCAAAGGTTCTCTTCAAGACGTGATCTTTTCTGCTCTGCCTCTTGCACATCTTCATCTGGCACGCTGGCTACAGGAGGTGCAGATGTCTTTTTCACTGGGCTACGCGTCTTTGGTGGCGCAGAAGCTTTCTCGGCCTTCTGGGCCTTCTGTTTCTTGACCATCACATCGCTTCATGACACTGAATCATCTGAAAATCCCACGTTTGCCTCGCTCAAGGCTCCAATCACAGCATCAAGCCAAATTCTACACTGCCGCTGTTCGATCAACCAGCAAAGCTATGGCAGATAATCAACTAAAACATTTTGGGACAATATTTGACCCTCCAAACCGACAATTAGATTGTCAACCTTGAGGCTCGGCAAGCATTTGAGCAGAGAGACAAAGAGACACACGGCAGGAGAACAACAATCTACAATTAGGGTTAGGGTCTGGCCAAAACAGGCAACCATAGGCTCATTGCGCAAGAGGCGACCTCCAATACGATCAATTTTGGACGCACGGACCGTCGACAGGAATAATTGGGCCAGATAGGGAAGTATACAACGCGATGAGCAATCAAATAGATTAGATCGAGCTCTGGGCGCTTCTCTGCGCGGACGCATCGCCTGGCCTGTCTCGGCCAGGGCGTACTATGAGCGTGTTGCCTCTGCAGCCGTGCACCCAATTCAGATAAGCGGCGGGGTGATCGCCGGGGACCATGGCGAGAGAGCTTGATGAAAGCGATCTGGGACGGCTGGACAATAACAGGGAGTGTGCTTCCGACACAAACTCGGACCTCTACAGCGAGCTCAGCAGCGCTGACCGGCACGAAGGCAGCAGCTCGGATGACCCGGTGTGCACCGATCCGCAATCGAATCGTTTGCCAGGAGTGTTTGGTTCTGTTTGGGGCGAAGTGCGCGCGCTGCAGCCCTGGTTGTGGGCCTGGCGGGTTGACGCACCGCATTAAAGCAACGAGCTCCCTGTCTTAGCCTGGGTGCGAGCGGGCCTCAGAGCTTTGGTGCCAAACGGAAGAAGGGAGGGTAATGCATGTGGATCAGATCAAAAAGCATATGCAGGGGACGCTCTCGAGCAGCGGGAAGCTCAGGGCTCACAGCAGACGCATGACCTATAAGACCTTCAGCCGGGACAGAAGTCTGAGTTGGGTGGCTGCGTATGATCGCAGGGAGGAGTCCAGCGGGAGCTGAGTTATAAAGGGGAGAGCAAGCGCGATGCTCTGTCCATTTTGCTCAGGTACGAGAAGCTGGCCAAGGAAAGTTGTTGACAGCCTGCTTTTGTGGACGAGACGATGGAAACATGCAGCTTTTCAAGAAAGCTGCAGTCAGCCTGATAACGCACAGATGCTTCTCCTAAATGACATCGTTCTATCAAAAAGCATTTAGTATGTGGCTCTTCCTCACTTGCAGTGACAGTGTGTGCCCTAGTGGGATCACTCTCTCCTGTGACATCCCACTGGCCTTGTTCTGCACTGCTCTGGGCCCAGGGTGGTGTCTGGTGGGTCAGGATACGTTCCTATGTGCCCAAGCAGCGACACTCGGCGTGCATGCTTCGTTTCAGCTCTTTTCCAGCACAGGCGTTTAAGGCAGTGGCAGCCTTGGCTGCCAGAGAAACTGCTGCATGTTGGAGCAGCCAGATGCGGGAAGGAGGAATTGAGCACGATTAATTTTCAATGGCGCAGGCTGGCGGATGCATTGGAGGACAATGGAGGGAATGAGGGCGGCCAGGATGACTACTACGATGACGCAATGGATAGCCAATTGCTCACATCGAGAGGGAAGGAGGTGCGTGCCTGCACACAAACAGAAGGGCAGAATCTTAGCATTCACCTGGCAACGCGTACACGCCTGCCTTGCAGAGACACATGGCAAGGCAGGCTTGTGCAGGACCAGGCAAATGCGAGGAATCAAACGCAACATGAGCTATCCTGGATATGGCGGCTGTGATGCAGTTTTGAGACTTGTTGGGCATTGCTGACGTACGTACTTACAGGGGGCTTCTGATCTGCTGTTGCTGGTCAGGTGACTTCAAAGGGCAGTACGCATTGCAAAGGTCAAGATTGGCGCTTGATGTGTGCAGGTGAACTATGACCTGCTGGACACGTATCCTGGGGGCCCCTACAAAGCCAGGGGGGGCTACATTAAGCGGACGCGGTTTGCGGCGGAGGAGGAGGAAGAGGATGAGGAGAACGAGGAGGGACAGGTGCACCAAAATTCATTGACGCCCCCTCTTAAGGCACATGCATTTCTATCTAGAAGTAGGAGATTTTGTGGCCCGTGTTGACGCAAGCGGCCTCTTGCCCAGACAAAATCAAATGATATCCCGCTTCCCTCCAGGCCGCATGGGACTTCTGTACCTTTTGGTAGGGACTCCCAGCCGACCAGATGGTACTCTCATGCAGCTTAGAGGGTGGGGTATCCAATCAGTTTGCGTGCGCGGCTTTGCGAGAATTGATATCCCGGGGCGATGCACTGGCGGTGGCTTTGTTGTGGCGATAGAATGCTGAGGGTGGTACATGTGCAGGTGTACATGGCGGAGCCGTACAGTTCGGAGGAGGACAGGTTGGAGTCCCGGGTCGGCATGAAGGGTGCCAGCTCAGCTGCAGCCGTCCTGCCGGACGAGGTGCCGGCAGGCAACACCACCTTCAGGTGGGCCCAACTTGCTGCTCAATGAGTCAACACTCATGTTCTGCTGAACGAATCCGCATTACCTTGCATGTATCTCTGTGGCCGAGCTTCTGGAAGGCACTTTGCATGTGCCGCTTGACTGGCCGCTCCTTGATGGCGAGCTGTTGGAAGATTCTGGTGATGCAGCCGCTTTTTACAGGCGCTGCATTAGCAGTGTATCTGGCCAGCTCTGTTGCAGGAGCACCTGTCAGGCTGTACAAATGCAGCTGCATGCTATGAAGGCATAATCTTTTGCCATAGGCGCTGATGTGGGTCTGTGTGCGTCGCTGCAACAGGCGGTACCGGCAGCAGACGCGGATAAACTGGGTGGGGTCAGGGGTGATGTTGATCTACTGCATAGCGCTGGTGTTCTACCTGTGGGTGCGCATCACCAAGACGCTGGACCTGGGGCGTTACCTGCCCTACGGCATCTTTGTGCTCATCGTCGAGATCATGGGCGCCACCACAACTCTGCTCTACGGGGTCAACATCCTCTGGCACCCAGTGAATCCGCCCCTGCCCGAGGATTTCAACAACCCCGGCCTACCCAAGGCATGCCCCCTGCAATGCTTTATGTCTCCTTGAAATGCACTGTGGATAACCTCGTTGCAGGCATAAACGGGAAATCTGGAGCATGACACTACTGATGACAGACAAGTGCAAGGGCTGTAAGGCGCTCTCCTGTAGTGATAGTGTGATTCATGGCATTAATTCTATGCATTGCTGTTATTGCATATATGTGAAGTGGAGGAGGCGGGGTCATGAGGACTGATGTGTCATGCATTGTTTGCAGGTCAACATGCCGTACCACATCCGCGTGCTGGTGCCCTGCTACAAGGAGTCCTATGACATTGTGACTCGCTCCTTGGAGGTCAGCACACACTCAGAATTGCCTTTGAGTTACCCGCACAACCCCCAAAGACCAGCCGCACTTATTGTCTACTCTCAAGATTGCCATGCACTCTCTGGGGCTATGTGTATCAGATGATAACATTTCGATTGATATGCTTGCTCCTGTTTGGGCACTGCACTTCATGCAAAAACACACACCTGGCCTTGTAGTTGAATGCGCGTCTCATTTTTTCACACGCTGAACAATGCAAAAAATCTCGCAGGCGGCCCTGAACGCACCGCTGCCGGCCGGCTGCCAGCGCACGATCTACCTGTGCGATGACGGCAAGAATAAGCAGAAGCGCAAATGGTGCCTGGGGATGGCGCCGGATGTGGTGTATGTGAGCGGGCGCACGAGGGCCAAGGGGGAGATGAACGGCAAATCAGGCAACCTGAACAACTGCCTGCGACAGATCTACCCCGATGACTCGCCCATCCCCTCCAACGAGATCGTCTGCATCTTTGATGCCGATCAGGTGCGGTGCTGATCAGCTTCTGTGGGGTCCACATCCCGCTTGCATTGAGCTCCTTGGATCTGGTGTGCCGTAGCATTCTTGGGAGGTCAAACAGCATGCATGAGCAGCCCACTGGATTGATGTAATGGCAAAGCATGCAGAGTTCACTGTGCGAGGGTGGGTGACCAGGGCAGAAGGCACAATCCATCTGTGTCCTATGACCAGACATTTGGATTTGGTGGAGAGTAGCTGGAATGGACCAGGGCTGAGCCAGGGCTTCCTAGCCAATATCGCTTGCAGCATGTGGACTACAACCATTTTGAGGATTGCCTGCAGAACACAGTGTTGAGCTTCAAGATTGTGAGGATCGCCTGCGGAGCACAGCGCTGATCGTTAGTAATGCTGTGCAGGTGGCCAACCCGGACTTCTTCCTGAAGATGGTGCCGCTGCTGGACGGGGGCGACGACGTGGGCATGGTGCTGTCGCCGCAGAGCTTCCACAATCTGCGCAAGCATGCCGACATCTTCAACCACGCCAACGTCCAGTTCTGGGAGTACGCGCAGCACGGCTACGACGCTGTCAACTTCATCTCCTGCACAGGTGACTTCTTACTTGCATGACACTTCCTGAGTCTACTTATGAAACTCGGTATCATCTCCTGCACAGGTGCTGGCTTCAATGCCAGGCTGCTCGTGCACCCGCCTTGCTTGCACCAATGTAGAAAAGAAGGCTATACATGCAACAGGTCACCCCATAATGCAAAATCTAAGGATGGTACTGTCCTGGTGAAGGTGTTGGCCTCCATTTTTACTATTGTACTTAGGTCGTCCATTGTGTTCTGGTGCACTGACTAGGGCTCAGCAGCCTCTGCTTGGAGGCACAACATACAGGAGACGGCAATTCTTCACAAAGATCCCAGACAGTAATCTCTGTCAGGAGTATGATCGAGGCTGACAGCTCTGTTTACTGTTGCAGGAACCAACTTCTTGATCCGCGCGGCAGCGTTCAAGCAGGCTGGCTGGTCGCCAGAGTTCACGCTCACAGAGGACTTTGCGCTGGGCATGCTGCTGAAGATGCACAAGTGGCACTGCCGTTACGTGGAGGAGTACCTGGCCGTTGGTGAGGCGCCCGATGAAGTGCGAAACTGCTTCCAGCAGCGATCCCGTTGGTGCAAGGTGCGCCCCCAGAACCATGCTCCTCAGAGCTCAATCTATGTGACCATTCATGATCACCATCTTCATGAGACACCCAGGATTGCTCATTGTGACTCACTCATGATCAGATATACCGAAAAGAGCATCCAAAAGAGCTTAAATTTGATGCATGCAATGCTGGCTCAAGAAGTGAAGCGGCATGCTGTCTTCAGGCGATCAGAGAGTGATGCTGCTGGAGGGAAGGATTGGATTGTCTTGCCAGCAGCAGAAGTCTGATGGCTGCATGGATGTTGTCCGCAGGGTCACTTCCAGATCATGTTCTCGAAGTACTGCCCACTGGCGCAGCGCAAGCTGAGCCTGTTCATGAAGATCATGTACTGCTCGGGAGTGTGGTCGTATGTGGTGGGAGCGCTGACCGCCCCCCTCTACATCATCATCCCCCTGCTCACCATCTGGGCTGGCATGTTCCCCATCGTGGTCTCCTGGTGGGCCGCAGGTGGGGCCCTTTCACCTGTCGCTTTTGTTAAGTTTTTTTGGTGTGGGGCATGAGTTCAAAGCAGGTGTGAGGGACTGCTTGCATTCGTATCATTATGACCACAACGTGTGGACTCATGGGGCTGGCCACTGCTTCTGTTACGGGAAGAGGCGGCAAATTCAGCAGTCTTGTGCTGCATGCATGCCGTGAGAAATAGCCTAAAGAGACACCATCCTGGGATATTTCAAGCCCATGGGAGGCCTTCTTTGTGCTGTGCCTTACTGAGAGAAGTGGTTTGGAATGCGCAGTGGCACTGACGGTGTACATGGCGAGTCAGACGCTGGTGCTGAACTACTCAAGGAAGCTTCGCGACATTGAGCCACTCTGGTTTGCCAGCATTGCCAACAACATCCTCTGGTGGACCTTTGTCAAGGCCTGCGCCCGCACCGTCTATGCCGGCATCGGTGAGCCCTGCTTGCTTTTTTGCCATTTTTTGGCCACAATTGGCATTACCGTATCATGTCCTATCGTCCCTCTAGCAAGGGTTGTAGATAATACACATGCATTGTTAAGAACAGTCTGCGGCATCCCCTGGATTCTGTGTTGTAGTGGAGACCCCCCTGTCTGACATGGTCCATTTTATTGATTCTATCAAGACAGTGTTTATTACAGTCAGAAATGGGCGTGCGCCAAGGAGAGGGAAGTGCTCATAGAACAAGTGCTTCTGCGGCGCAGGTCTGAAGGAGATGAACTTCAAGACCACGATCAAGGGGGCGGCGAGGATCGGGCAGATAGCGATGGGAGATCTGTGGGTGCATGTGCTCTCCTTTGTGCTGCTGGTGGTGTCGCTGGGAGTGGGAGTGCACAAGCTCATCAATGGGCCGACTGTGATCACCACGCTTGCCATCTCGGTGGTGTGGATTGTCTACGCGCTCATCCCGCCCTTCCTCCTCATCTGGTACACCTTCATCGGCCGCGGCGGCACCCTCAAATTCTGGTGCCGGTGCGTCGCTCTCCCTCGCTCCTCTTCTCTGGATACTGTCCTTTCGAAGCATAGTAGATTACTTTTCCCTTATGCTGCAATTACAATAAAGTCTAAGCATGTAAACGTAATGAAGCAAAAGCCACCAGCTTGTTAGGTGGACAGTTCTTCCAGGATATTATCATGGGCGCTTTCCAATAATCTCGAGCAATGTAGACTCCTGCTTATTGTTGTTCTTGACACTCTTGTATGCTGGCTTTTCCACTTCCGTTTCTGCGCCTGACTGCTTCAGGGGAATTTGTGGGCTGCAGGGTGATGTTCCTGCTGAGCTATGCGGCGACGATTCTGGCGCTGCTGCTGTTGTGGGCGGTGTACCCGCAGGACTACAACTACGGGCAGGCCGCGGGCAAGGGGCTACTCTTCTATCCGGCCAACGCCGTCGGACAGCTGCCGGCAGACAACCCCATCCCCTGGCGCAACGACAGCCTGCTCTACGAGAAGGCGCCCAAGTTTGGCTTCGATGACCTTACAGGCGGCTGGATGGTTGGCGGCATTGCAGGTGCGCAGTGCGCGCTCTCTGCAAATTGTTTTGTATGTTTATGGCAGTTGTGCAGCTTCCTATGGGTGTCTGGTGATGATGGCAAGGTCATCTGAGAGCCGCTGGCAGGACTGCCCTGTCTCAACAAAGCCTTGGAAGAGAGACTAGCAAGTGCTCATTGCACTATACGACGGACCGCACCAGTGCTCATCATAAGCTGAATTAAATTCGGGCGGAAGTGCACTGGTCGGGTTTGTTGCGAAGTTGCAAAGGTGAAGCAAAGGGTATTTGCTAGTCGCTTGATCTCTTGTGGGCAGCAAGGCAAAACCTGATCTGGTGCATGTGCTGCTTGCGCTGCGCAAGGGAACAGCAGTCTGAACTGCTGGTTCCATGGATTCTTCGTGGGCAGCAGGTCACAACCTGGTCTCATGCATGCGCGGCTGGTGCTATGCGAAAGGATCAGCAGTCAAGGGTTGTTTTCCCAGGGTCATGTGAGGAGTGAGTCAGAGCCTAATCTGGCGCTTGTGCTGCGCAGGCGACCTGAAGATGACAATGCCGACAGCGTTCACGGTGTCCATGCTGGCATGGGGCATGCTGGCGTTCCCTGACGGCTACACCAAGGCGCAGCAGATCGGCCCCGGCCTCGGCAACGTGCGCTGGGGCTCCGACTACCTGCTGAAGACCTTCAAGCCCGACCCCACCAAGGGCAACCTCATCGTGTACCAGGTGGGGCCTTGCTTTCACTCCTGCTTCTTGAAAGGAAGCAGCTGCACCCTCCAAGTCATGCATACTTTAGCAGCTTGGCTGGGCTTCCTCGCACTCAGGAGTTCCACCCTCCAAAGGTACAGGAAGGGGATTAATAATATGCTCTCAGCATGAGGCGAGGAGCGGGTGCATGCATCCAATCAGGCCAGCTTGGTGTCAAATTTGCTGCCTGTTCATGCGGCTAAATTGGCCAGGAGCCGGCTTCATAGAGTGCTTCATTCACCACCTTTCAGACTCGGGCTGTCTTGCTTTACAAAATCACTCACAGGCTGACATTCCCCTCGCAGGTGGGCAATCTGACACAGGACATTAAGTACTGGGGCCCGCCAGAGAACATGACAGCGGCAACCATGAAGCGGCCGGCATACATTGTGCGCACCGCGGACGGAGCCTCTGACTTGGCCGGGTCGATGGTTGGAGCTCTGGCATCCACGGCGCTGGCGTGGCAGAGATTTGGCAATGACAGCGCGTACGTGGAGCGCCTCATGAAGGGTGCAACCGCGCTGTACAAGGACGCCAAGAAGTTTGAGGGCTCCTACACGTCCAAGTTCAAGTGCGCGCCGCTCCTCTCACGTTCTTTCCTTTTCTTCCATATGCCTGTGATGTGCCAAGGCTAAAAATGAGACGATACTGTCAGCTGTCAACTGTGCCTTGTTGTCTGGCACACTCGGACTTTGTGCATTGTCTGGACATCCACCATGGCTGCATTCTTCCATGGGAGAGGTTGTCCAAGTGTGCAGCAATAAGACTTGCGTTGCACGCTTGCAGAACTACTCCATGCAAGTTTACAGGTCCACATGGCACATCACTTCTCACAGCATCCTGCCCTTACGGGGCTGCTGACTCCACAGGTATCAAAGCACGTCCTAGTGGCCTCATCTTCCCATGAGCTTCCAGTAGCATTATTGTTTTATTATTACGCGTTTTCCAGTCCTTAAGGACTAGGTGCGTCAAGTATTATTTCCAAAATGAATGGGCCTGTACTGGATTGCGCAGGTACTCGTGCACGTCCAAGTGGGCCAAGGCGCGCGCGACGTCCAAGACACCCATCCCCACATGCGTGCCGCCGACATCCTACGGCAACGGATCCGCGCTCGTGTTTTACAACAGCACCTCGTACCGCGACGACCTCCTCTGGGCCGCCGCCTGGATGTACAAGGCCACCGGCCAGAAGGTATGTTTGTGCTGCAGTTTTTTCCCTCAAGGTCATCAGCACGCTGTGAAGAGCATATTGGCTAGCTTGAATTATCAGCTCATCAGCTGGCTTGTCCATTAAATTTGCCCGTTCTTGCTTGCCTGCAATGCCTTGTGGGCAGGATTACAGCGCTGGTCCAAGGGAGCCCCTGGCACAGCCACAGCATATGCATGACAACGTGTCAGTGATCGAGTACTGGAGGACCCGTACTGGATTTGTACAATTGTATTGGGGGTGGAGCTGTGCATGCATGCGGGTGGCAGAAGTTGCGTGCCTGATCAGGCGGTGGTGCTGTCTGCGCAGGCGTACCTGGACGACGTGAACTACTACTACAGCGCGCACGTGAATCAGGAGGGCCCAACAGACGTGGACCTGGTCACCGACTGGGACCACATGTTCTGGGCTGCCAACGTTCTGCTGGCCGAGGCCACAGATGAGGGCGCCTTCCACATGGCCACCCAGGTGTGCATTGGTCTCCTAAGAGAACTCATCTGAACAGAAATTTATATAATAGCATTACCTGATTTTTCCAAAACTCTGCAGAGTTGACAGTGTGTCTGGGATATCATTGGACAGCATGTAATCAGTTGGGGCGCCCATCGCCTTCCCCTCGTCTGTGTGGGCTGTCCCAATTCCCTGCTGAGAGCTAATTCGACACTCGTTCATTGTGGTGCCATGCCAAATCAGTGCTGGAGGGGTGTATCCCAGCACGGTGTATGCGGGGGGAGCGCGGCGGGAGATATCTGTGATGGCAGTCATAATCTACTACCTCCTAAGCACAGTTATCTCACACCACCTATGTGTGTGCGCAGGGGATGCTGAAGCAGTGGATCTGCGCGACGACTGGCAAGGTGCTCTTCACGCCCAAGGGCCGCGCGTACAACCGGGTCGCGCCCTCGCTCGGATCCACGGCCAACACGGCGCTGCTCAGCCTCATCTATGGCCAGATGACCACTGCCAAGGTCGCCCAGGCCAAGAAGGACCGCTACACCTGCTTCGCGCGCTCCCAGGTGCGCCTTCCTGGATTGTTACTGTTACATAAGTCCCTTCTCTTTCCTTCTCTTTTGCAAGTCAACGAGCCGGCTCCCTGGCCATATTCATACTGCGGCCTTTGCAGTAGAGTGACACCAAGGACGTCTTGGCAGGATGCCTGTATGGGAAACTTGTCCTTGTCTCCCTTAGTGTACATTGGAGGAGTCGAGGTGATAGTGCAGCTTCTGAGTTGTAAAAAAGAGGGAAGAGGGACTTGATCCTGATGTGCTGATGCGTGTGGTTTGTGGCTGTGCAGATGCGGTACATGCTGGGAGACTCGGGGCGGTCGCTGATTGCCGGCTGGGGCAAGAACCCGCCGACCCACATTCAGAACCGCGCCGCTTCCTGCCCAAGCCCCCCTGAGCCCTGCACACCGGTGAGCTGCTCTCATCTTCCCGTAATCGCCACCCTGCTTCCTATCGAGTGGCCTTGTCTTGCTTGAATTTGCACTGCAACCCTGCAACCAGCATGTTGCAAGAATATGTTTCCTTGGTCAACCGCTTGCATAGCCTCACATGTGCTCGGACTTTGCCACTTCAGCGCATTCTTTTTCAATCGTTGCAGGGAGTGGCGTGCATTGGCCTGTCTGTCTTCACTTACAGTACACCGGCTTGATTATGGCCAAGTTCCCCAACATTAATCTGACATGGCATATGATTGTGCGTTGCGCAGGAGAACTCGCTGCTGAACCGGTGGGGGAACCCGCATGTGCTGACGGGGGCGCTGGTGGAGTTCAGCAGCTTCAGCGACAGCCTGTCAGACAACCGCGCGAGCAACGACACGCGCGTCAGCATCGACAACAACGCTGGCGCTATCTCTGCTCTGGCTGGCCTCAACCAGGCCACCGGCTCCTGGGACCAGTGCCTCCAAGTGCGGCGCCTCACTTCACCTTGTATAGATCATGTGTCTCCTGAAGGGGATAAAAAGAATCCTGATGGAGCATTTAAGGAAGTTTATCAAGGACGCAGTCTTCAAGGCATGTTTCAGGCCTCAAAAGTGTATTTCGTGAAAGCACGGTGGTTGCAAGGGATCACCAAAAGTGTTCAAGAGGTGTGCGTGTCGAGAATGGCACAATGGAAGCAGAGCACAAGATTGGGGAACGTTTCTCTTTGCTTGGATTTTGACTTTGAATTGCCCTTCTTGCCATGCACATGTGCGCATACTCTAGTGACCTGTGAGCACGTTCAGTCTAGAAACAAATCTAGGAGGGAGCACACCCCACATGAAGAAAGAGAGGTAGAGGGTTCTCTGATCCGCTGCGTGCTGTGCAGGGGTTTGGAGTGCTGACGCACGACAAGGCGGTGTGCGACAGTGCAGTCATGTAGGCACCTGCAGAGCGCATGCTTCCTTTTAAGAGGAGCTTGTCATGCAACAGTGGCCTTAAGGCATGGGGCATTGCTCGATGACCAGGCAGCTTGCTGCTTTGTGAGCAGAGTGGGCTGGCTAAGAGTTTGGGACGTTGTCTCAGAATTCATCAGCTGTGCACGCCGAGCAGCATTTGGAGAGGTGGCAGCCTGCTGAGGTGGCATAGCATGTGGAGGATTGGAGGGCGGGAGCTGAGCTGGCCACTGAGGAAGCCGAGGAATGTTGTACTTCATTATTCTTGGGTTCTGGGCGTCGGTGCACTTGAGACTTGATTGCCGAGCACAACGATGCTCTGTGTACCTAAGGTGGGCTAAGGACAAGGAAGGCTAGAGGAAGTTCCCCCTCAGTTTCAGACAGCGTAGGACTGTATTTCCAGTTTGCTTCAAGTTCAGACTAGGGTAGATGCACAACGGCTGAGCTCATTGGCAGCCTGATGAGAGGTATCAGCAAGGAATGAAGCACGAAAGTTTACTGAACTTTCAAAGATGTTAGGCTCTCTCCCAGGCAGTAGGGTGGGCAAGTGTTCAGGAAGGCAGTGTATCGAGAGAGGGAGATGAATTATCTATTTAGCAGCAGCAATTCGGCTGTTGTCTGTCATGGGGCGTCTCTACCACATTTTGGTGAGTCAGCTTCGTGCAGCGACAGGCAGCAAAGGAATGAGCCAAAGGTTTTGGGCACGCCAGAAACAAGAGCAGCGCTGCCCGCATCAGAATTCCTCATGTTTTTCCTTTGTCATCCGGTCATAGTGGGCCATCCATTTGCCATGAAGGTATTTATGATCAGGTCCTGTGAGCTGTCGCTGTTCTCAGCGAGCTCCGCCAAATCCTGTGTCTGGGGGTGAAGTGGTGCACCCTGCATAATTTGGCAGTATTAATATTATAACCTGTTCACCGTCCCTGTTGAACGAACTGGACGAGGGAAAAAATGTCACTCTTAGAATTGGTGTGCGCACATATCCACGAGCGAGATTTTTGACGTACAGTGCGCCGCACACCGGTGCAGTCCCAAGTAGCCCCTGTGACACAATGCCCCACATAGTCTAGGCTCTGATGCCCTGTCAAGTTTTGTCGGTGAGGATCTGAACACATTTGCAGAGTGTCAAAGGACTTGTCATCTTCCCAGCCCTTGAACACAAAGCCCAAAGGCTCCCAACCTTGGGGTCCTTCATTGCCGAGCATTGCTGTGCATACAGCTGACCGGGCCTCCAGTCATCAGGGTCTCACCATCAGCTAGGTAGTCCCACTGCAATGCGGTAGATCAGTGACAGGAGATTAGCTCAGGGCCAAAGGGTGCTGTACACATGTGGTCTTGAGGAACGATGGCGAGGGATGTCTTGAGGATCTCCTAGCAGGCTCAAGGCAGCTTGAAGCTGCAGCCTCTGGCATATTTCTATGATGCTGTGAGGAGTTTCGTGACGGTCTAGCTTCTAGATTTCCAGCAATTGGAGTACAGTGGCAGGCGTTCATCGTGTCTTGCTTACCGCTAAATTTCATTGAGGATGTAAACCTATCATGATCAGGCACAAAACTGCCATGGCTTTCTACTAGACCCCAGACATGCTGAGCCAGAGTGCTGTATGTAGACTACGCGTCTGTGCTATGAAGTACTACACTGAAGAATCATTCAGACCCTGCAAATTGCTAAAGATCTCTTCGCTGCCTTGTCGCTCTACTAGCAAGGCCATGCCAACTAACACTGCTTGCGTGCCAAACAGACTTGGCAGCTAGTAAGGTGCCTTGAGTCCTTGCTGCAATGGCCTGGTTCCCTTTACTATACAGGGCAGTATATGCATGTTTGCATCCATCTATGCACGATTTTAGGCGCTACAGTGTTGCACCAGCGCCTTCAAGGCACAAAATGTACAACTCAGGGATCATGTTTGTGTAGCCGCTGTGCAAAGGGCCGCCACCAGCATACTACTTTGCTGTCCACGCCCCGCATGGGTCCTCACTCTTCTTTCAGATCTCTTTCACACTAGTGGTACTTAAGGTTGTGGGCGGAAATCGAGATATACCGCTGTCGTCCTGCTCCACTGGTTAATTTGACGGCGGCCAGTTGCCAGGCATTATTCATTGATGTCCACTCTGATCCGATTCTGCATTCTTACAAGAGCCAGCATCTGCCGCAACCAATAATCCAGCAATCTAAGAGCTTGCGAAGCGTCATATAGGCAGGGGCAGGACTATAATCTGGACACCTCTTTTGTGCAGATGCAGCTGCCCTACTGGTCTGGTCTGCAATTTTTCCAACATTGCAAATCCTTTGCCTCGATCAGGGTTCCGTCACAGGAACACTGAAGAATGAAGGGCAGAATTTGCAATCTTAAGCAATTGACCTAACCATGAAGCTCGATCTCAAGACATCGAATGTGACTCACCATATGGCATGACATCATTGTGCATCTGCTGAAAGTCTCCAATTACCTCATCATCCAATCTGACGGCTATTGGGATTGCACAAGAATCTTCTGACAAGATTGAAGGCATATGCAACATTCCAAATAAACCATCACTGATGGTTGTATCTGCCCCTACATTTCTGGCTCATGTCTCTGGGGAGTACGGCAGCATGGCTTCGCCAAGTCAGCAGCCACAGCCATGCAGGACATTTAAATAATTCTGCTAAACAACTGACTATTAAAGTATTCAGGCAACAGTTTGCAGCTGAGCAAGGCACATTCCCCTCAGGTGAATTCAAAGTACAAATCTTGCTAGCAAATAGCGCTATGCCTTGATGCATCATGATGATCATATGAAGCAGGTGATCAAGATGTGGCCAATTCCTCGCCAACTAGTCTTCATCAAGCTGTTGGAAGCTTCGCTGCTCCTCTACATATTCTCTATACTGGGCTGGGTACACAACTAGGAACAGAAACCACCATGCGCTGATTGGGATGCCCACGACAAGCGTCCAGAGCACAGATCCATGGGACACCAGGTTTGCGAAAGCAGTTAATGCCGCTCCAGTGCCCAAAATTGTCCAAGGCTGGCACCTGATACCCATGAAATAGTCAGACCCCTCCCTCATGGCCATGTTGAGCTTGCAGCACACCCAGAGGATGTAAGGAAGTCTGCTCACACTGGGACTTACCAAAAGGGCTTGTAGGCCCACACATTGGTGTCTAGTTGCTGCTCTGGCAAAATGTTCTCCCTGTTCTCCCCCTGTGAACATACATTTCCTGAAGCAGCATGTGAAACAAGCAAGCAGGTACAGCTCAGTCCTGAGATAGAAACTTGTCTCAAAGCTGCGACGAGACGTACCTTTGCATCAGAGCCTGATGTAGTGTCGAGTTGTGATGATGTTACAGCTGTGAATGATGACCTGCCAGATCCTCTGCGCCTTCTCGCAGGTTTATAGGTGTAGATGTGCTGTCTACGTGGTCGATGGTTGTCTTGCCGGGCTCGACACAGTCTGTATTCCTGTGCTGAATTTTGCGATGAAACCCTCGCGATACAGCATGTCTGATGAATCCATCTTCGTTTGATAGAAGTATACTGGTGCAAACAACTGGTCTGATCTGGGCCACGTCCCAGCGATCTGCTACTTCGCACCAACGCCATTTTGTCTATAATGATAGTTAGCGTGCATTTATCTCAGTGCAATTTCTATCTGATCATTCAGACCAAGCTCAAATGAGACGATACTTCGAGTCCAAGACTCATAGTTCGCAGGACGTGTTTAGAGGCGTTCCTTTCAGGCCCACCCTTTCTTTCTGGAGAAATCTATTCATTTCTTCATCGTCTCATGGCCTCATATCCTCTTTTTCACATACAGCCAGCCTCTGCTCACAGACAAGACACTCTGAAAATCATCCCAGGAAGCCATTTTCCTCCTCTTCCTGTTGCTCAAAATGGGGTGCCCGGTTCTGGGTCACAGAGGGCCCCAAGGCAGCCTCCAGGGCATCCTTGATGGTCCTGCATGGAATTATATTCACCCCAGCCAGCCTCCCAGTGGCAGTTGGTGCGCGAGTCGCAGGGACTATGACAGTGGTGAAGCCCAATTTGGCCGCCTCCACCACTCGCCGCTCTATGTGATTCGCCGGCCGCAGCTCGCCTCCCAGCCCTGCACAGGGCCACTTCCCTTTAGAAACATACTACTTTTTGATCCATGCAGCTCCAATTTATCTGCACTGTACAATTACCGCAAAGCATTCCAAGATCACCCCAGAGTAGGGATCATTGGAAGGCTGTAAGCTGTGCGTAGCAGCAAGTGACAGGCAGTAATCACTGGCCGTGCAGCAGACAATTCAAGCAATGAAGCAGCACTGAGACACATACACAGCGTTCACCACCCAACCGCTCAAGTGTGTGGTACCTGATACATGCAACAAATAGGGAGTATATCAGCATGCGCGCACCAATCTCGCCGATGACAGCAATGTTCTGCGCGATGGGGCGCTCGAAGTAGGAGGATGCGACGGCGAGAGCGACAGCTAGGTCGGTGGCAGGCTCTGTGAGGGTGAGGCCCCCCACAACGTTGGTGTGGCAGTCCACGGAGTGCAGCCGCAGCCGCACATGCTTAGTCAGCACTGCCATGATGAGGCTCAGCCGGTTGCGGTGGATGCCGTTTGGCATGCGCAGAGGCGGCCCCTGCCCCTGTGCATGCAGGAAATTGTAAGTAATGATTAGATTGCCTCGCAGGCAAGGTGGAGGCAGATCCTCTGGGCTGCAGCAAAGCCTTTCAGCAGAGGCCTCTGACCAAGAGAATAAAGAGGTTACATAGAGACCCACTGGAGACACTTCAGGGATCCTGCACTCTGCCGGCAACGCCTTTTCTGGCAAGCTTTTTGTTGAGAATTGCAGAGTCCAATCTGGCTGATACACAAGGCTAATACGCCAATGCTATCCTTGTGCCAACAAACCTTATTAGTAATGATTTAGTATTACTAAGCGGAAGCTAACCTGGTGCACGGGTGAGGTGAGTGCCTGGACCTCCATGAGCAGCGGCCGCGTTCCCTCCATGGCCACAGTCACCGCTGAGCTGGCATTGCGCGCCATCTGGCGATCACTCAGAAACAGCGCGCTTGGGTTGGCCACTGCCTGCAGCCCGCTCTCCTCCATCTGAAACACACCCACCTGCGCGCATGCGTCTGCGTCAGAGCCAAGATGCGGTCTTGAAAATAAAGGTGCACGAATTCCTAAGCAACATTGCTCTTACATTCCTGCAGTGACTTGCATGCTTCAACAGACAAATCAAATTACACAAATTCGCAAAGCTGCAAACCCGCCTGTGTGCCTTTCAAGTTGCACAATTGGAGCAAAACAGCTGAGGACAGTCACACCGACGGTGACAGGCAGCCCTTGGCAGCCAGAAGGCTCAAGGCTTCTATAGCATGCAAGGAATGCCTTCTGGCGCTACAAGTACTTCCCCACAGCAAAAGCGTCAGTCTTGGCAGCATAGAAAAAAAAAGCTTCTATTAAGCAAGACGCCGATAGGAGCAATGTGTACGGACCTCGTCAGTGGGCCCGTAGCGGTTCTTGATGCCCCTGACGAGGCGGAAGGCTTGGTGGCGCTCGCCCTCCATGTACACCACCGTGTCCACTATGTGCTCCAGCACGCGCGGGCCCGCTATGTCGCCAGCCTGCACCCCCGTAGCACGCCTGTCTTCACAAGACACGTCCACACCTAGGAACAGCCCTTGCATGGCCTCGCGAAGCCTCTTCAAGCCTGCATCGAAGACTCTTTCTGCATGTGTCCTCCTGCATGCCACTGCGATGTATGGTATTAACAACAGGACATGGAGATCAGATGAAGGGAGCTCACCTTGGTGACGTGGCCGACCAGGAAGACCGGGACGCCCTGCCGCTTCGCCACATGCAGCAGCGCTGTTGCACACTCCCTCACCTGCAATACGCAAATCACAATGCTGCCGCTCAGCCCTGCTTTGCACCTCAATATATGGTTAGAGCTGGGGCAGAGACCTGCAGTATAAGCACCTCATCCTCCTACAACCTGCCAACAACGGATAGCGGAAGGACTGTTTTAAGGATGCAAAGGTACTTCTGGTTGAGGCACAGAGAGGAATGCAATGGCACCTGGCTGACGCTGCCAGCAGAGCCGGTGACATCATCGAGGTACACGGTCTGTATGGAGTCGATGATGACCGCGCGCGGCTGCATGGCCACGATCTCCTGCAGAACTTCCACCAGCCGTGTTGCGCTGTAGAGAAACAGGTGCTTCGCCCCCCGCAGCCCCATACGCTCCGCCCTGCTGCCCACCTGCAAGCATGCACAACCTCGCATTATATTCTCAGGAGAGGGCGCTCTTACCGCCTCCTGCTAATCACATGGCAGAAGACTCTAAATAAACTGATCTTAAAAGTAAAGAAGTGGCTGAAAGCTGATCAGAGTCCCTGGCAGATTGTCAGCAGGGGGTGGTGAGACAGTGAACATTGGCCCTCGATGCCTTTTTCACATTGCCATCTGGATGCCTGTATGAGGACAAGGCAGCTCATCAAGGCTAGCGTCATCCAGTGTGCAAATAAGCAAATGTTGCACCTGTTCCACGCTCTCCTCTGCAGAGACGTACAGCACCGCCTCGCCTGCCGGTGGAGGGCCCTCCTCATCTGCGTCCTCCTCATCTGACCCGCCAATTGCGGGCTCCGGCCCCAGCATTGCTGCCACTTGAAGCAGCAGGGTGCTCTTCCTGTTCGAAATCATTTCAAACGTCAATGAGAGAAGATACTGAGACGCCATTGTCCAGAAGATCATCCAAGCAAGATATCTTCATTTTGAACAGATTGTCCCGATGGACATGTCAAAGAATGAGTGTAGCAATTTTATGCACCATGCCCAGAAAACTAGAGAAATTAACAAAATGTTTTACCAATTTGAGAGGGTCTCTCCGAGTTGCGAGAAACACAGCGAGGTTGCTCACCCGACACCTGGGTCTCCTCCCACGAGAGTGAGGCTGCCAGGCACGACGCCGCCCCCGAGAACCCGTGCCAGCTCTGCGCCATTTGCTCCCCGGAGAGGTATCCTCCACTGGCTTCCATACCCATTCCTGCCCACCTCGCTCAGTCTCTGCGGCCCTTCACAGCACTTTCTTTGATCAGCAATGTGCCTTGTCAATCCTACTTGCCAGTCCCTATAGGTCTCTCAAACGCCAATCTATTCCGCCTGCTCAAATCAGGAGAACCTGGCATCTCAGCCGAATGCGCTTGCGCATCAGAGCAAGGCCAACGAGGGGTTTCAATGGCTCTCACAACCCATAAAAATGCATATGGGGCCGATGGAACGGACAATACAAGTAAGACACAGGACACCCTCAAGAATTTCAAGGGCTGGCATGGAAGATGAGGTTCGCACTTTGGCTGACGCTGGACACCCAGCCAGTTCGGGGTCTGCTGATGGTGGGCGCTGCGTTGCGGATCCGCTCTCCTAGAGGGCGCACAGCAGCGGCTGCTGCAGCTGCAACCGCACCTCCACCCCCTCCGCCGCCACTGCTCTTTGCTGTCTCCCTGAGGACCTCCGCCTTCTCAAGCCTGCAAGGTCACCTGATGAATCTCAGCCCAGGAAAATACGTGAGATGCACTGGACTCGATGCAGTGAAAGCTCCTGAATGAACAGTAATCACTATCAAGGGAGTCGACATCAGGGAGTGAGACTCACGTGTTCCAACCCGAGCATGAGGGACACCTCCCCTTCCACTGTGGGGACTGCTCGCCACACTCGGTGCATTTGTACGTAAATGCCCGCTTGACAAAGGAGCTTGCGAAGGTCAGGCCTTTGGTGCTGAATGGTGGTCGTGTTCGTGGTCTTTGATTGAGAGCACGTAGAACACCTTGATCTTGTGGCCCACCAAGCCAGGACGCCTTCTTCAGAATGTTCGACAGTGCACCCCTATTTGATAAAAGAGCTTTCATAAGTCCGACATTGGTATGATCAGAGAATAGTAGCAAGTCGCTAGCAACTATTCCAGTTTCTGTAGAACAGTGAGATCAAGTAGAGTCCAACAACGTTATCTTCCAGACTGAATTTCACACCAGTTGCACATCTAGGCATATTAAAACTTAATGTGTTCCGATCTCATAATTTCCTATGGATCAAGTGTGTCGGAGCGTAGTCTCCGAGACTTGGAGGTTTCGCCAGATCAAGACAGGCAAAGCATGCTGCGCCAGGCGAATCACGGCGAAATACACATTCGGACAGATTGATACGATCTCAATTTCACAAGCTTGGTCAAACCAACCTGGCCCTGCCTGCAGTTGGGATGTGACTCCAGGAAATATGTTGCTCACTCTTGAGCTCTTCCCTGGCCAGGGCTTGGGGAATTTCACCCTTGGTGCGCGTCATGGCCAGGATTATCCCTCATGCATACCTCGTTGTGGCACATCACCGAGCTCTGCAAGGGGGTTCTAAGGAAGACATTTTATGACCAGGTTGTTCATCAAGAAGTCTTGTTCACAGATTTCTCCTCTCGGTATCGTACTGAAGTCAAGTCTTTGCGCTATCCAGGCATGCCCCTTTATGAAGCGGTAAATCTGATCAGGAAGAAGAGAAGTGACTTCTCTTGCGTGGAAGTCAAGTACGCAACTCAGGTGAGCAGTCGTTGGAAGCTGTCGTGTCACCCCTTAAATTTGCTTTTGACCAGAAGCCCCAAAACCTTTGCACTCCGAACACAAGTTGACGTGCTCTTTCCAGGCATTGTTCGATCAGGACATCGTGATCAACTTTCCTGAGCATGGAATGCACCTGCGCTTTGAGCCTCGGAGCCAGCGGCTAAGGCTGGTGGAAGTCTATGACGTCTCAAGACTCCAGGCAAGCTCACCTCTTGTGGAGCGATCCTTCTTTGTGCAGCAACACAAGAGACAGCAGAGAAAAGCTGGGTGGGATGGAGATGGGTGAGGAATTGGGAATTGCCAAGCAAAGCCTTGAATGCATGCAGGTCAAATATGGCAAGGCTGTCACGGGAGGTGCCTCTCACCCGTCCACATTTGTCCGGGTCTACGACATATTTGGGCCCACATATCCCGGGGAATATGACGAGCACAACAGGATGTACTCGCTCCACTACCCTGGGGTTGTCTTCCTGTTCCCCATCCCAGAGCAGCATGCTGAGCGCTGCAGCGAGAGCCACATCGAGCTCCCACTGGAATTTCCCGATGGCAGCACGCCCCTCGCTGCGCGAATCTGCGTGCATGCAGCAGCCGAAGGTACTGTCGCTTTGCTTGCACCCTCCTAAGCCGCAAGGCACTGTACACGTTGCATCATGGTATGCTCTTGAGTCCATGGCCAGCGCTGTTGTACGGATTGCAGCAGGTTGTTTGAAAAGGGCGTGTGCTGTTGTTGCAGCAACGGCACAACTAATAACAATGGCTGCGCCGCCCCCGCTGCCAGCAGACAGCCTCTACTTCGAGGTTGTGGAGGCGCGCTTGAGGCAAGGACTGCATTTTAGACGTGGGGGCCAGACAGTACGCTTTGGCGATTCGCCACAGGTGCGCGGCTTGTCATTGCCTGAAACCAAACCAAACTCGGTGCCTAAACTACGCAGTATGAGGGCACCAGAAATTCAGACCAGGAATCAGATCTTGACTAAATGTCTGTTGTGGGCAGGATATTTGGTCAGAGCTGGGCCCTCCCTCGGGCACCTCGGCGAAAAGAATGGACACAATGCTAATTCACATGAAGCAGGCTCCTGTGACGGGGGCTGATTATTTCTACAGTTACCACAGCAGGTGATGACATCATTAATATTTTGAACTATCAATTGGAGTGTTGAGTGCGTGGCAAAGCTAATCATCCTTTCACGGGCATCAAGCAAGCAGAGCACTTCTGATGAAAGCTCTGCAGCCATAGCATGGAGACGCTGTGTTATTGGTTGCAGGGGCCTTGACATTCTCTTCAGTGGGAAGACGCACACAGTCAGGAAATTTGTGCTGCACACAAACGTGCCTGGTCACCCTGACTTCAACGTGTACGCCAAATGCAATTTCACGCTCGTCTTCCCAGACACCTCGGCACCGCTTCTAGAGCCTCTGGGTGATTGCCAACGCATCCTCCCACATAGCAGTGTGCCACTAAATATTTCTATTATTCTGATGCCATTGCATGCAGCTTCACGTGTTATCAACTGGATTGTGTGATTATCTTTCTTGTCTGCAGCATTACTATTCCTCATATTCTGCTTGAATTGCTGGACATCGTGGGTGAAAACTTGCGTGGGCACAGGGAATGGGCATGCGGGCATAAATGGGTGGGGCAGCAGCAGCAACACTGACCTGACCATCAGCAGCCGCGAGCCTTCAGGCTCCTACAGTGCTGGCAGCTCCTCCCTCTTTGGCATACACCCTCTGCTGGAGCCAGAGACCGCTGCCCAGGTGTGACAGATGCCCATAGCAATTGAAGACACACTTCTTTGGACATCAACTTGTTTGACCATGGCTGTGGGTGCTATGGCATCACTGGGAGATACTACTGTGACACCTAGCTCTGCTTGTTCAGTTGTGAAAGAGGATTGACTGAAGGTGTGGCGCGCATGCAGGAGCGAGGCAGCGATAGAGCAGGGCAGGCGGGCCAGCAGAAGGACCAGCAGGATGGGTCCTTCTGGACGCAACTGTCCACATTAGGCACTGACCTTTTTGGCAGCGGATCGCTGTCACCGCCGCAGCAGCCACAGCAGCCCTCCGACAGCCCTGTGCCTGCCAACGACGCTGGGCCTGAGACAGCCAGCTTGCCAATTTGCCAGAAGGGAACGCCGACAATTCCAGCAACTCCTGTGCCGGACTTGCTGTCAGAGGACACCGCATTGACTTCTGGGTTGCAGGTAGCACTCTGCTAACCCATTGAGCGTTGTATTTATTTTTAATCCTCCACCTGCTGTCCTCCTGAGTGAAGAGCCTTTTGAAACGCCAAAAGGAGGGGTCTGTCATGGTTTCTCCCAGTGATAATCTGCATAGAACACGTGAAAACAAAGGGGGGGGTCAGTAAAATACCTACCGTCACTGCCACGGTAAGCTGCCAAAGAGACATGTAAACAAGGTGCAAGTGACACACAAACGATCTGTTGCGTCCAGTATCTCCTCTTGACAGGTGCATGGGTGTGTTGCAGGCCAGGGCAACTGTGCCGGTTGAGGCGGCAGGGGACTCGCACGACGGCTGGGACTTTGACTGCGAGTGGGACCCCTCGCTCATCTCCCCGGACGGGGCCGGCCCGGCCGCAGACGGCGCGGCGGCCGATGCGACGCCAACCGCACCTTCTACCGGCGACCAGTGCTGGGTCGGCCTGGGGCCCTCATCGGACCAGAGCACCGCATCTCACGCGCCCCCACACTGCAGGGCAAGTGCCGATGGCGCCAAGGCCGGCCCAAGGGAATCTCCTCAGCTCGTAGCTTACCCGCAGCTACTCACCGGGCGCCGAGACAGTGCCGGTAGCGGCGGGGCACTGGTAACACCCTCCAGCAAGCGCAGTGAGCAGCAGATGCCAGAGCCACAGGCAGGTGCCAGCAGAGGGCCGACCATCACTGCGGACAGCACCTGGGACGAGGTGCAGCAGGTGCTCGGGGACGGCGGCAGGGCCACGATTCACTCCAGGGGCTTTGCGTCAAACCCCTTCGGTCCGACCCTGGTATATGGCTACCGCGGCGTTGCCTTTGAGGCCCTGAAGAACGGGCACCTGGCAGGGCTCACGCTGTTCCAGGCCTGACCCCACAAGTTGGCAGCTGCATGGAAACGTGGTAGCAACTGCTCTACAGCAGCGCTGGGCGCGAGCCAGGCTTGCGGGGAAATCAATTGCAGTAGTGAGGCCCACTTAGAAGGACAGCTGAAAGGCTGGCAATTCAAGAAATGCATGCAGAGCCCTGTATATTCAACATAGTTGCTACGTGTGACAAGCAAGCTGTCTAATATTGCAATGCGCTTTCCAGATCGAAGTATCTGTGATAGAAACTGTACATTTTTGGACTTCTAACTGACAGAATATAAAGCTTCAAGAGCCGACGGAAGGCAGCAGTGCAATGCATGCCAGGTGAAGAACTGTACCAAGTCGCTCTTCACTTGCAGCTTTTGCACACTTTGTACAATAAAATCTGGGAGTTGCCAAGGCTTCAGCATGGCTCTTGTGTTGGATGTCGTGCACATCTCAAGATTGACTACCATAAAAGCAATGCTTGTAGAGTCCTATTGTGGACAATGAGGGTATGTACAGGTATGGTTTGACTGAGGGCATGACACCCTCTACTGTATTATGACTGAGCCATGGGGGGTCATAATGGCAAGGAATGTCTTGACTGCAGGTCCACAAGTATCAGTTGGGCAACCTGCCCCCACATATGAGGCAGCCATGTATGAGGTGCAAAGCAAAAACTTGAGCTTTGTGTATAATGCACGTATCGCCTAAAACCTTTGAACCACTTGGCAGAGTGCCCTTTGATCAAACTGTATCCAATAAGTAATGCTTCAAATTTGCGTTGAGCAGTCCTCTGTAATCCACTGTCTTGTAATATTAAGTGATGCATGCTTGATCTAAGATTACCTAGGTTCTCCTCAACAGAAAAGCCTACTGCCCTGTAGTATGCATGCCTTGAGATTTCTCGATATACAAATTTTTGCAGGAAGAGATCCTAAAAATCTTGTGAGATATGCAGCTCTCTTAAGATATGTCAGTGGAATCAACCTTCAAGTGGCCCAGCTGATCACCAATCACATATTCCAAGTAACCAGTAACTTTTCAAGTCGTGTGCACCAAACTGGCAAGCAAGAAGTCTGCCCTCAAGAGGTCCATCCGGCTCATCAAGCATTGCAATGCATCACAACTGAATTGCACAGGTGCATGCGGGAAGAATTCCGCAGAATGTCAAGATTTCAACATTGCGTCCCAGCCAGGATCTGTTAGGTCCAGGGCAAGCAACTGGTGCAGACAGTGCGCCACTGCATCGCTGTCCCCTCTCCGCTGGTGCGCCACCACAGCCAATCGCAGCATCTCAGTCCAGATTGTAAGCACTGCTCCTTTGCCAGCAATGTTTCCCTGCGAGTAAGGTACTCTTCAGACCAGATTAACGATATTCCATTGAATAGGAAAAGAGCGTGATGTAAGCCAAGACAAGTGTAAGATGCTCCCCAGGGCGCATACCACTTTTGGGAACTGCTGCCGAACTTCCCCAGTACTGCGGATGTCACCCTTCACAGGGTCCCAATACCATGACCCCAAGCGAGGCAATCTCTGCTTTGTCCCAAACGGCTGCATTCCACCCACGGTCTGTGCATCACTCACCATACCTGCATGCAGGCGGCGTTTAGGCCGGCATTCCTAGTGGAAGTGCAGGTTTGGAACACACCAACAAGTGCGCAAAACCAAAGTGAGCACGCACCGTCATGGCGCAATAGCCATCTGCTCAAGTCTGGTCCCGCAATTGACTGCCCCATTCCAGTATCTGCATCCAATAATTCACTCACCATGTTGACAATACGGTGGCAGAGCCAGGTATACATGCAAAGCCCATAACACTGTAGAGGTTAGCATAGATGCCGAGGTGCAAAAATTCACCTATTTGAGAGACGGGCACCGGAGTGAGGCAGATGCCCAGCCGTCTCGCAATGCAGCTGAAGAGTATGGCCAGTGAAAAGCTGAAGCCCTTCTTTGCTTCCAGCACATCCCTCAATAGGAGAGGGGCTAGTCCCTCATATGCCCACTCAAAAGGCTTCTCAATGTACTTTAGTTCTTTCACGAGCACCTGCAGACAGGAATGCGCCAGCGTGAAATACACAAAAGTCACAGTTGGTACAAGATCATCCGATCTAGCCAAAAAAGATGCGCATAGTTTTGATGGTGGAACGGCCCCTGGTTTCCTGTGCATCATGCTGTTTGCCCTGTGCAGGGTCCAGCTCATTTCAAGTACCTTGTGCAGGTACTGCAGCTCAAGACACTGCCTTGCATCATGCGCCGGAAGACCAAGATCTTGGGCTGATTTGAACAGTTCTGCAGGAAGCTGCTCGCGAACGCTATGTGCCAGCTCATCTAGTCGGCTGGATGTGGCTTCAGAGCCATTCTCCTCATCTGGCCAAAGCAGGCAGGTGTCAGATGCAGTGCAGGATGTACCAGGCATGGCATCATTGGTACAAGCTTCCTGCAGATGTCTCTGATGGAGAGGTTTAAACCTGTCGCCTCTTCCAAGGTGTCTAGAATGGACCAGGCCGGTTCCCCGGATGCTACAGCGGGCAGAGCAAGTGCTGCATCTTCTATGGCACTGCACACTGTCAGTGGCGACAGTTGCACCTGTCCATATCTATTGATCAGGCTCTGCCACGTTCGGAACGCCTGCATACGCAGTAGTGACAAGGTTTTGCCAGTTAGCCAAGCCCCAAAAAGTCCCCAGCTGAAACTTACGGAACAGTACACATCTGCATAGTCTGAAGATTCTTGCCTCCCTCGTGTGATCCTCAGCATGCTGCAGGATCTTAAGTTGATCCTCGAGCCTTGCAAGCAATCCACTTGCACTTGAAGAGCTGAGGGATTGCTGCGATCTGAACGTTGCTCGTACTGATGTACGTGGATCTAAGTACTCAGTAGCAACAGCTATGTTGGACACCCTCAAAAGCGGGATCTGCTCCCTATTGAAAGTATTCAGGAGCCTCAGAAAGGATCTGTATTGGGAGGGCAGCAGTCGGCCGGCGCTCATGCGTCCTCACTTAAAATGTAAGCTTTGTTTAATTTGGTGCAATATGCTTTCCAATGTGTCCTGGAGATGAAACGTTTGGGAGGGAATGGCATCAGACACGTCACGGAGAAATTTCCGACACTGTGATGATGACTTGTAAGTGCCACGCAATAGAAGCCAAAACAGGAGGTTGCGCCACTTTTCAAAGGCCGTTGGGAACAGATCGTTGTCTCACAACACTTTGTCAACAACGTCCACTCAGAGACGCAAGAATTGAAAGTGCCCCATAGATTGCAACCTCACGAGACCCTTCATCGCAGAACCACAAGGCACACTTAGTTTGGCCACTCGACCGTTTGAATAAAACCAAAAGAATAAGTGATGTGAGTATTTAACGTCCTGAAATCCACGAATAAGGGCGTGCTTTTGAGCAAGAATACATCTCACACATCTGCGGATCCCAAAGCCTAAATTCTGCAAGGTGGAGTGACCCTGCCTCCAGCCATCTTCCCCATCTTACTGTTTGGAATCATGTTTAAGCACACTCTCGAAGTCAAAAGTGCCCTTCTTGAAGAGTCCAGATGTCTGGTCATTGCAGGGAATAATCGTTTCACATGCCCACCACGCGAAACCAGAATAAGGGGCTCGCAGCTGGGGGTACCCTGACACAGGGACATGCAGCCAAGTGTTCTCGACTGGGGAAGGTCACTCCTGGGAAGACACAGCCTGGCAAGCAGCAAGACGATTTCCAGCGACAGATCCAACAGCTGAAATCATCATCAGGTGTCAAGAGGAAAGCAGCCTGTGACCTGCCTCCAAGGCCAAAGAAACAGAAGTGCCAGTCAGTCACCTTTGCAGACGAGTGCAGCGCTCTGGACTCACAGTGCTTAGATCCCGCGCCACTGCCTCAGCTGAAGTGCAAGATCAGCTTGCAAGGGACAGCAGAGCAGGGATGCAGCGCAGCACAGACACACTCTCCGATTCAAAACAAGTCACAAGCAGCAGAGCCCAAGACACCAGCCACTGCAGACAGGCGAAGAAGAGACTCAGGTCCGCTACTTTCCTATGCATGCTCTTGTAATAGATCCTTCTATGACTTTGATGGATTGTTGATTCTCCCATGCTGCCTCAACACTCTTCAACTTGCCAATTTCTGAACCAATGCAGGAGTTGGACTGCAGCGCATTGGCTCTGAGGCAGGGACCTCAGCTTCGGATGAGAGGTGGTTTGATCCCAGAGATCCACAGAAGGTGACCATCTTGCACATCTGGCGCGCTATCTAGCAACATCGATTACTTGCTGAGATCAGGAGAGCAGAGTCCCCTGCTCCCATTACTCAATGACATTGCACATGCATGTATGTTATTTCAAGGGACATGTGTGGCTTCCACCTGTTACGGCTTAACTGACATCCTACATCGGCAATTGCCTCAGGTGAACAGGGTGAAGAGCGTGCTGCACACGTCATACGCCCCTCCGGGGGCCAGGCCGCTCAGCCGGGAGGAGCAGGTGCAGGGCCTCAGCGACCACCTGAGGGCGTGCCTGCTGGCTGGCGAGGGCGGTTCCCTCTATGTCAGCGGCCTGCCCGGCACAGGTGCCGCCATCCATCCTATAACACACCCTCTACTGCAGTCAAGGCCTTAGATAACAACCGCTGATCACAGTATTGCACCACCAGCACTTCTGCAGTCATTGAACCCCCAGCTCCTGTCCCAATCAGTACATCATTTCCAGTGAGGATGTCAGGAGCCCACGCGTGGTCCATACTTAGCCAAGGATGTTTCAGTCGATGAGGTCACATCATTTCAGTAGTCCTCGGCAGCACTGACTAATGGAAATGGGCTCTTGCAGGGAAGACGCTGACTGTGCACGCGGTGGTGAGGGCCTGCTGCCAGGACATGGCCGGGGCGACCGAGGGGGCGCCCGTGCCGCTGTCCATCAACTGCATGACGCTGGCGGCGCCGCAGGCCGTCTTTGCACGGCTTCTAGACGGCGTGCAGGCGGCCGCGCAGCTTCCCCTCAAGCCCCAGTCAGACGGCGCAGACCCGTTCATCCAGCCAGGTACCGCGGCGTCAGCACCCCAAACAAAGCACAGTATTGTCCCAATGCTCATTGCCAGGAGATTGCTTGTACTAAGTGACTCCTGTGCAGTACAGCCTGCCCCCATAGTGTTGCAAGGAGAGATCTGAGATGTGACTCTCTGCTACTGCCTTCTCGGAAATGACTTAGTTTGCTTGTTTGAATGCTAAGAGCAGTGAGGTGCTAATGGCAATTGCATTGCTGGGACTGACAGGGGCATTTTGCTTCTCTTTGCAGGGGCAGGCAGCAGCGCCGGTGGGGACTCAGTGATGAGGGAGTTGAGAGCAGCTCTGGGCGCGACGCAGCAGGACGCTCTGGCGGACGCGGATCGGCGGCAGAGCATGGGCGGCCGCCGGTCGAGCATCGTGGGCGGCAAGCGCTCAAAGCGGATGATCGTGGCCGTGCTGGATGAGATGGACCAGCTCATCTCGCAGGACCAGAGCGTCCTCTACGAGCTCTTCACCCTGGCCACTGTGCGTCTCCTTTGTTGCAGTTCCCCTCTCTCAACCATATGCATCTGCGCACAGTGGCAGAAATGCTAGCCCAGATCCGATACAACAATTCCATGTGTTTTCTTCTCACAGGTACGCCTGCACAGAAGTTGGAATTGATGTTCATGTGACTTGCATATGAGCACCCAAGTCTGTGAGGGCCCCTTATGCACTGTCAGCCAACCTGACCGGCCGTCCTGCACATTTGTCACAGTACTAAATCGATTAATAAAGGCATGGCCTGCCAGCACCCTTTGTTTGAGCACTGCATGGGACACAAGAATCAGTAGTTGTGGCCTAACAGAAGCTGTGGGGGATGTGTGTGTGCAGCTGAAGGGCTGCCGGCTGGTGCTGGTGGGAATCGCAAACTCGATCGACCTGACGGCGCGCGTGCTGCCTCGGCTGCAGTTGCTAGCGCGCCGGCCGCAGCTGATCACCTTCCCCTCCTACTCCGCTGCGCAGCTGGAGGCCCTTCTGCACCAGCGCCTCGCCTCCCTTCCTGGCCCTGTTTTCCATCCCCAGGCCATCCGCCTCGTCGCCAAGAAGGTGGCTCATCCTGCTCACCTCTCACAACCTGACCATCTGACCTGCTGCCCTCACACATCAACACGCCATTCAGCAGACAGAAATGAGTTCAAGACAGTGTGCAATATAAATTTTGTTGTTGCAATTCCGCGATGTTTCAAATTGGGGGCAAGAGGGGCAAGGTGCATCTGCATTCAACCTGGAAAGGCTGCCAAATGTCCTGCATCCGGAAGTTTATAATATATTACCTTGCGATTAGGGTGAGGCCGAATCATGTGCTGGTGCATGCAGACGGCGTCTAGGTCTGGAGACATGCGGCAGGTGCTGGACGCATGCGCGGCTGCAATTGACATTGTGGTCCAACAAGCAACCGAGACAGCTGCCGCAGCTGAGCCTGGTGCGCTCAGCCATCCTGTGTGCAACCCCTGTGTATCAATCTGGCAGTGCTTTGCCCCGTTAGGGTGATTTGTATGGGTGCAAAAGTGTGATAAGTTGGGGAACATCGCATGCATGCAGGTGACGACATGACAGAGTCCACCGAGGCGCCCTTGGAACAAAAGCCGCTTGTAAGAGTCGGCATCCACCCCATGTTCAAGTCCATCTCGCAGCTGCAGGGTGAGCCTTGCCCCCTCCCACTGCTGTGTCACACTGTGCCCGAGTCTGCATATTCCCAGTAATGCCTCCACAGTAAGTTGCTCTGGCAGCGATATTTAAGACGAAAGTATGACAGAAGAACTGATAAAATTTCTATGGCGTTCAGGTGGGGGCTCGACGGCGGTGCTGGCGGTGAAGGGGCTGCCACCTCAGCAGCAGCTGCTGCTCTGCGCAGCTGCCAACCTGATCGGTGACGCCTCAGCTAACAGTGTGCAGACGCCGCTGAAGGGAACACCCTCCCGCCGCCTCAGCGGCCTCGGCTGCTCCACACCCATGTCTGCCTCCAACAAGGTGATGCCTTGCTCACATCTGAGCTTGCAAGTTCTCCAAATAGAATCGCAAAGGTTAGCGAGTCTGCACCCCTCTCAGGTGCCCCTGTCTTGCAAGGCTTGCCGAGTGCCGTTTGGAACTGAGTGCTGCTGTCAGAATCCCTCTTCTCAGGTGTCTTGAAGAAAGGGCACAAGAACGGCGGCTGCATGCTATACAACACAGGATAAACATGCAGTGGCCCGCGTAGATTGATCATGCAAATGCTCCTGGGCTGGACTGAGATATAGAGTGGTCGGTGCATGCAGCGGCGGCTGTCGTTTGGGTTCTCGGATGGCGTCGGGACCCCCGGCAGAATCAACATGTCCAGGCGGCTGTCCATTGCATCGGACGCCAGCACAGGGTCTGGTAGCCTGCAGCGCAAGCATGACTGCATCCTGGGCGAGCTGCACTCCGCGTATGAAGACCTCTGCAAGAAGGTGAGCCCACACTCCTTCTTCCTGCCATCATATGCCCATCAGTCAGTACACTATTTCATTTCTACCAAGGGCCTGTGACCTCAGAAAGCATTGGCAGCATGCCTTTGTCTAACCAACCTGACTTATCATGGGCCTTGTTTGCTGTCAGAGGATAGTACTTTAGAACAACATGGTTGACGCACTGTCTGGGTGCTGCCGATCAAAATCAATTTCACCCTTGTAAGAACCTTCTTCGCACCAGTCCTCGGTCAGCACCTCCTTAGATAGTTGATTGCTTGTCAAGAGCAGCAGCATCTCATGATGTGTGCATGTAGACAGCTCCAGTAAGAGATTTGATTGTTGGCTAAACAGGTGGCGTTCAAGGCGCTGGCGCCGTCGGAGGTGAGCGCGGCATGCAGCACGCTGGCGGACATGGGCCTGCTGGGGCTGGGGCATGCGCGCGAGGAGAGGCAACGCCGTGTGACGCTGCGCATGGCCGTCGCTGACATCGCCCTCGCCCTTGCTGATGCGCGCCTCATCCGCGGCTGCCTCACCTACGATGACGAGATCAACGCCTGAGACTGAGCACAACAAATTGCAGAAGCCGAGGACCTGCACATGCCGTAAAAGATCCAGATCTGACAATTTTTCACAAGAAAGCACTGTGTGCTGACGTCCAAGGTCCTCATGAGTGCCCATCCTCAAGCAAGCCCTCCATTTGGACCAATCTGGGCTCTGGAGTTGAGATCAATTCTTCAAGGAGCCTGCAGAACTTATAGAGAGCTAGGGATAGCTGTAAGACATTAAGGTGTCAGAAGATTTAATGTCCAGCAATGCATGCATTTCGAGATGTTAATTTATCACTGTTCACGAGCACATTGTGCCTTCATGCTGACATAGGGACATAGGAACTGCAGCACTTTTTGGATGAAGTGTGAATTTGCTGAATGACTTCAACATATAGTGGCATAAATGTGGAATTCCTTCGAATGACCTACTCATGTAATATGGATACCTGTAATGCATGCACCTGCACAGATCGATTCTTCGGAAGAGTTTCTTCCAGAAAAGTCTTTTACAACTTATGAGATGCGGAGCAATTGGCAGAGAGCTTGCAAAGTCTACATGTAATCACAGTGACAGGATTTCTAAACTTCACAGGGGTTTCCATTTGGCTCCAAGCTTGCAAGCGCTTGCAGCTGCCAAGAGAGCTAGCTTCCGTGCACATGCATCGTCGAGTCCTGATCTGGCAAGTTATATTAGCTCAATGTAGCGCTCGTTCTGCCAGCAGACTGTAAAGTGATCATTCGCTAAGAGCCTCCGCCAGCTGTCCATAGCAGGACCCACAAGCTGAGGCCTGAACACCTCGCTGTCATTTTACAAACGCTGGATCTGGGGCGGTGACAATGCCGCGAATTGGGCACATCAGATCTGCAGCGCTGCTGTGATGGGGCCAGCAAGGCTGATGACCTCATAGGGAGCCTGGCCCCGGATAGCCTCCACAGTGCGCGGGCAGGAGTCGGTGATCCAGAAGTACTTGAACGCGTCGGCTGTGCCGTTGGCCTTTGTGAAGCGCCGCCAAGACTCCTTGGGGAACACTCCGTGCGTCACATACGCGCTCACAGCCTCCGCTCCCTGCACAGCAACACGTGAGCTGGTCCTGTCCCTCCCATTTCTGCACTTGTCTGCAGTTGCCTTTTGGCAGGAAATGCATGCAATACAATTGGCAACTGCTGCAGCACAGTCCCTAAACAGCGACCCCCTGCACTCCAAGTCACTTGAAGCATGTGTGAGGAAGGAGTCGAGCGAGAGTAAGCCCATTCAGTAATGTGTTTTGGGTGATCCTTGATTACTTTCTCCTAACAGCCAGGAGGTTCAGCATTAGGTGCATGTGTCAAGAGCGGCACCTGGGTTTTGAGCAGGCGTTGGCACTCGATAAGGGTGCCGCCTGACTGGACCAGGTCGTCCACAATGACCACATGACGCCCCTTGGGGGAACCCTCCTTCAGCCGCACTATGCGCTTGTCCCCGTCGCGCACCTTGGTGCATATCACCTGCTCCCACCATGCCCCCACCATCACATGCTTGCGTTGCATTCATTCTGAATGATGTCTGCAATGTCGGCGACATTTGTGAGGACAGCCCGCAAGCATGAGCACCACACGGTACAGGCATCTCCGTGGTCACACGGAGAGCCCAGGAGTCCGGATCAACGAGTCATCATATTCCTGCTAATTCCTGGCAGCTGCGCTCCAGAAAAGATCTTGACAGTTCGGCAAAATCCAGAAATTTCAGGTCCACAGACATTGCGTTACCCCCTGAACATTTCTGGGCATCTCAGGGACACCCCGAAGAGTCAGTTACTAGTGAGGTAGCGCCCCTGCCCTATCTAGGGGCTGGCCTGATAATTTCATGAACCCCTGTCAAACTCTCCAGGGCGCACCTCTGGGTAGTCTCCAAATTGGTAGTGGAAACGCTTCCAGGCGCCTTCATCTGGGTATGCAATGGTGATGTTATCTGCATCCGGCAGCGACTGCATCCGCTGTCGGACCAGTGGGATCCCGCTCTCAAACAGCGGCAGCACTGTGTCGCCAAAGTAGAACCGTTCCTGCAGGTTCACAGTCATTCTCAACCATCCAGTGCTGCTGAGGCCTGCTGCAATATCACGTCCAGACAGTGCAAGTATGCTGACCATGCCTAACGTCATAACAAATAGCAGAAGATGGGTGGGACACTGAAGGAGTAGAGCCAGAAAGAATGCATTGAAGAGGAATGTACCTGCAGGGCATGTATGTCAAAAATGACGACACTTGTGGGGCCACCCCGGGACAGCGGAATGTTGGATAAGATCCGGGCCAGCGTCACTGCTGTTGCCACATCCCCCTCAGCTTCAACCTGCGAGAAAAGGCAGAGTCCATCCCCCCTTCAATCCCATGCAACTCCTTTTGATCTACAAAGCACAGCAGGGACTCCATACAAAAATCAAAAATCCCAGAACACAGAAGCATCACACAGCGAGCAGCGCACCCTCTCTGCAGTGCCTGTTGGGAAGTATGGCAGCACAAGAGTGAAAGAGCCCACAAACATGCGCGGCAGCTGGTAGATCACTGACAGCTGCTCAAAGATGGTGGCTGCATCCTGGAAGGATGCCAGGAAGGCCACATGCCTATTCCTGATTCGCGTCGCATCTTTGACAAACACATTCGGAAAGCCATCATTGAATTTCCTGCGCACCCAAGGAGAGCTTTAGTGCTATGATCTCAGCTGATGGCGTGCTATGCATGCAATTGTTAGAAGCTTGGGAATACAAGGTGGCGAATACTCACGCCCATTTGATGTCTCCTAGCTCCACCCTTCCCTGGCTTGTCTCAGCAACACTTCTTGCCAGGGCCTCCGTTTCTGGGTAGAAGAAGAGAAGGCATTGCTTGGTCAGGTGAAGAGGGAATGACTCGAGCTCCACGTTTGGAGCCGTGATGCGTATGTCGTCGCTTGTTGGCAACCTTATGCGAGCACTGATGCCTGGCTGTGTTGCCTCTTGCAGTGCCATGCCCGAAGGCCTAGTGCTGGAACGTCCAAAGCGAGTACTTAAACGTTTGTCAAGAGTCCGCTTTCTCAAAGATCGGCTCTTAGGATCATAGATACGGCAAACTGCGCCTCCACCTAGAGATGATGCTGTTCTACCTCTACAAACAGGCTCATGCAAGGGCTGGCCAACAACCATTGAGGTGATTGAGACCTCTCATTGAGTTCCCGGCATATGAAATGCGTTTGCTTTGTCTGCTTTAATCTTGGCAGCACCGATCAGACTTTGATTCCGTAGGGGAGCTGTGCAAATGGAGAAGGGGCATTTGAAATTTGCCGAAACAGCTGGAAGGAAGCAATCACAGTTGCGAGAAATTCTAGCCAAGTATTAAACATCATCGAAAGCACTTTATTTGTTGAGCGATCCTTCAAAGTGGTAGCGTGGACTTGTTGGAGCTGGTTCTTTCACCTGAGAAATAAAGCTCATCCATCTTGAAATTGGTTTTCGTGGATGGCACCAAATCGACATGCGACCACGGGGCTGCTAATACAGTGGGTGAAGCACTATAAAGACGAAAATGGCGGCAGGCTGCCTACACCAGACAGCATTCCATCTGACCTAGGTTGTTACCCCAGCTGACCTGCATTACCTTCGCAGTAAAGCTCGCAAATCACAGGAATTTGACACATGGATTGGCTGCGCAGCTCCTGTATATTCCGAATGGCTCGCGTCAGTACGGAAGTGTACGGGCCCACAAAAGACAGCAGCTTCTTCTGGTGTGGGACCCCTTGACAGAGGTCTTGTGGCTACAGACAACAGAGAAGGCAGCTTCCACACACATGGAGGGTCCTACTCCGTAGACTCACACGTATCAGACACACCCGTTAAGGGTACAAGGTCACAGAGAGAGTTTGAATGTACCTCAGCGCTCGGTGAGTTGCCTGTACACAAACCTTCGAGTTGCTTGTGCACATGCTCAAAATTCAATCCTTACAATATTCTGAATTTTTCCTCACATCTGCCATTGCTGCAGATCCTGCAGTGCCCCTCTTCCATGATGACTTCCAGAATGGGCGTACAAGACGCCTTTCAGAGCCGAGCAGCACTTTGCCCAGCAAGGCCAGCCCCGGATTCAGGGACTTGCCAAGAGCCCCTGGAATACAGAGCCCTCCCAAGCAGCGGAGGAGAAAACGAGCTCCAAACAACGGTACACTTCGAGGCTTCACATCCCATGCTCATTGATGAAGGCAAATGTTGACCAGGTGGCAGAGGCCTGAGCAGCCTACACTTGTGTGTGTTGCAGAAAACGACGCGCGGCTACTTAGTCCGCCTGCGGTGCAATCACCGTTGTGCGATGTGCTGAGGAGCCCACTGCTGCAATCGAGGGGACCAATTGCGCAGCACAGCCCCTCCAGGGTCCGGCAAGGGGCTGTGAAGCGGAAGGTGCAATCCCCGAAACTGCATCCTACTCTTGGCATTGTCATTCTTCTGCTGTTATTTTGCTGTATGAATTGTGTTTTGCACTCATGTGTTCAATCCATGTAAAAAGCATTGTTGCTGACATTGCAGGTCACCTTTTCAGCGCTTGCTAGGGGTCAACAGCCCCCATCCGCGGCTCCAGTGGAGCCATCACCAGTCATGGTTACTGTTGTCAGCAACAGTGACAAGCAAGAAGCAGCTATCACCTTGCCAGAGCAGCAGCCGCAGCAGGAAGTGGCCATTCTTCCTCAGTTGCCAGAGGAGCCCGCCATGCAGCAGAGCGACAGGGGACAGGAAGATCCACCAGAGAGCAGTGGGCGCTGTGTGAGTGCTGGAGACATTCCGCTTGAGTGCACTGTTGTGGAAGGTCCCTCAACACAGCAAGTCAGCAGGAAAGCCCAAGCGCCCGTGCTTGAGAACTTCAGGGATGTGCATCGGCAACTTGGCGCAGCACTAAAGAGGAAGCGGATGCAGACAGAGCGCAAAACGCAGTCTTCTGGTTCCGATATCAGCCTGGTGTGCAGCGAGGCATTAAGCAGCGACGCAGACAGTGAGATGAGTGAAGATATGAGCGAGTGTGAGAGTGAGCCGAAGCCTAAAGCAATAATGCAAGCTACGAAGAGGGCGAGGCCATCGGGCAAGAAGGGCCCTGCTGTGGCACAGAAGAGCCTCACTGTGGCGCAGTTGAAAGCACGGTGCTGCTCTCACTCAATGCTTTAATGAATGACAATACAGTATCAAGAAGTGGATACATATCACCATCAACGTGCCTTCCAATCATCTGCAGGCAGAGCATGTGTGTTTCTAAGGAGAGCTGATTGATGCTTTCTGTGCCTCTTAGGCTGTCAGAGCGGGGACTGAGCACAGCTGGGAGGAAAGCAGATCTAGAACAGCGCCTGCAGGGTGCAGGCCAGACTTTGGAGAGTGGTGAAGCCTCACGTCCCTCGGAATGTGCACCTCAATCAGAGCATGGACATGGTCAGGCGGCCGGGAAGCAAGACTCCCTGCGTGCCAAGAAGGCCCCGGGAGGCGTTTTCAAGGCTGGAAAGAGGAAGAATTTTGTCCGCATCAATCTGAAGGTAGTCTCACTCTTGCCCAGGCATGCGTGACATTTGACATTTTAGCTCTGAGAGACTTGAGAGCTTTCCATGCTATACACAGAGGTGAGAATGGTGCTGGCAGCAGCCCCACTTGGAATATCATCAATGCATGTTTTAATTTTAGGGGCCTAGCGCGAAGGGAAAGTTCCAGAGCAAGGGAGCTCGGAAGTTTGGCAAGAAGCGCTTCTCGCGGTTTGGCCGCTTCCAGACAAAGTAAGCCCATGCACTTCAACTTTGGTGACTTGAATTTGGATCCCTTCAATAAATCGCATGTATGCCTTATTTTGGGAAGTGCCATCCAGGAAATCAGTTACAGTGGTCTCTCTTGGCTATCGTTAGAATTGACACAGTGCCTTTAAGCCACACATACCATGACAACCATAGCATAGCCTCTGTACTCTGAAGTACATGCGTGCACAGTGTGAAGCATTCCCAGAGGCACAGATCTGTCATGTACTCTAAGAAAACGGCTGCCCATTGAAGGCCATTGCTGGTACAGGATGCTTCCGCAGGCAGGTCAGGGGGCTGACTACGTGGAGGGCTGCAGCAACCGCTCCAGGGCATGCTTCAAATGCGGCGCCGAAGGCCACTGGGCCCAGAACTGCCCTGGCCTCCCCGACCCTGCCGCACAGGTGCGGCAGACTCTTCGCAATTCTCAATTTTGCTGCCTGGCATGGGGTTGCATGCCTGCGTTCAAGCTTGTCAGGCTTCCATTCCACAGTACATCTCCCCTCAATCTGCATACTAACAACGCAATTAGCGATGCACTTTCTGAAACCAGGAGACAGCATGCCCATCAGAGGCAAGAAGCGCTCAGGACAGTCTTCTAGATAAGCCAACTTGAGAACTTGTATGACGTGATAATGGTTCTCTCTACAGGGGGAGTTGGATGAGGAGGGCACAGAGGAAGCGGGGCAGACTGCAGTGCCGGTGGCGCCGCCCCTGGCAGTGCCGGCGGCGGCTGTGCAATTGGCAGAGGAAGCCATGACAGAGGAGGCGCTCACAGAGAGGCTGCACAGCGTGTTTGGGTTCGCCGCCTTCCGGGGCCTGCAGCTGCCTGTCATCCAGTCTGTGCTGCGCAGCATCTCCACGCTGGCCGTGCTGCCCACAGGTGCTCACTTCCTTCTCTCATAGTCGTCCTTCTTCAAGGAGCGTCTGTCTTTAGTGGTGGGCAGACCTCATTGCACAAGCCCACCTCAATGTTGCCCTCTGCCTGGAAGAATCGGATTAGAATGTGAAATAGAATCTAATTAATTAGGATGTATAAATTCTTGCATGGACCAATGTCTCTATGCATGCACTGTATCGTTTGGATATTGTGATATTCCCAAGATTTTTAGGATGTGGCAACACTGAGGGACTGACGGCTTATGTGCAGGCGCGGGGAAGTCGCTGTGCTACCAGGTCCCGGCTCTGCTGTGTGGTGGGCTGGTGCTGGTGGTGTCCCCCCTGATAGCGCTGATGAAGGACCAGCTGGCCCACCTGCCCAAAGGCCTGCCCGGAGCCATGCTGTGGAGCGGCCAGCAGGCCGCGCAAGCCATGCAGACGCTCCGTGACGTGCGGGTGCGTAACAACATACAATGCAGTGCTCTCATTCGATGTCTGCACATTGACGAGACTGTACTTGGACTGGGTCTGTACAGGGATGCTGCATTGAATGATGTGTTGTGCATGCGATGTCAAGGCACAGCATGGAAGAGCATGTAAGGTCAGAGGTTGGGAGATGTAAAATATCAATGTGGAAGAATTTATTGGTGCAGGAGGGGAGGATCAGGGTGCTGTATGTGGCGCCAGAGCGCATGGGAAGCCCCAGCCTGCTGTCTGCGCTCGCGCCCATGATGCCGTTGCCTCTGGTGTGCATCGACGAGGCCCACTGCATCGCTGAATGGGGGCACAACTTCAGGTGCGCTCCCTCTCTTCGACATGGATCCCTCATGCATCGATTTCCTTCTAGGCTCTTTCCACTTTGCCAAAGTGTCACCACGCATCAGCGCAGCATGCTATCCTTGAATTGCGTCCTGCTGCACATTACATTTTATCTTAGTGTTCCATGAAATTTGGTACCATTAAGAGACTTGACTTATCATGACACCTGATGTGTGGCGGTGAAGGTCGGCGTACTTCCGGTTGGGGCGCATGCTGCGTGAGAACATCCCCTGCCGGGCGGTGCTGGCGCTGACGGCGACGGCCACCAAGGCGACGGAGGCGTCCATGGTGCAAGCACTCGGCATCGCCCCCTCCGCCGTCTTCCGCGACGCGAGTCTGAGGGACAACCTGCGCTTCAACGTGCACCACACCAACGGAGGTGAGCTCGACACGCCCAAAAATGAGCTGCTTGCATGTCTACATAGTCAGCGTTTCAAGTTCAATACAAACACCCTAAAAGCCTGTCTGCTTCTGTGACGATGGACAGGACTGCACACTTCTGCATGGCTTGGTCCCAATGAGGTATGCCATGAGATTCATATATTGTATTATATGGCTCAGCCAAATGCGGCAGGTATCCTGCAGTGGTTTCAGGTGAATAAAGCTCCCTTGAAAGGTGTCCGTTGCCACCGGCGCAGGCACGGAGGCCGGCCACTTCAAGGCAATGCTGCTGAAGCTGCTGCGGCCAGGGGGCGCTCTGGCCGACAGGAAGGCTGTTGTGGTCTACACGACCTTCCAGATGCAGGCAGAGCAGGTCGCTGCGCACCTTCACTCCCACGGCATCCCTGCCGCGGCCTACCATGCCGGCAAGCACTTCAAGGTAGGTTGTTAATCACCATATTGAGTGCTGAATCGTTTGGCGTAAGTACTTGTACTGCAAAGATCCAGGCTTGCATGACAGGGTGGCTTGAGTATGTCTTGGCAACTCATTAAGACATAAAACGATGTCAAGGAACCCACTACACAATTTGAAAGGTTTCTTGCATGCAGCAAAGTGTGCATGTGATGTGATTATTTCAGAGTTTGTGAGTGCGATTAGGCTGTGCACGGAGCGCTGTGTGCATGCAGGAGCGCGAGAGCGTGCAGGACATGTTTGGGAAGGGGCGGCTGCGTGTGGTGGTTGCCACGGTGGCGTTTGGCATGGGCGTGGATGCCGGCGGTGTGCAGGCAGTCGTGCACCTCACCCTCCCACAGAGCCTGGAGGAATACGTGCAGCAGGCAAGCACCCTCTCTCTCTTAGGGCTTGCGCCTCCCTGTGCCATCATAATGTCCTGCAGGACCTGTCAATGTCTCTGCACTCAATGTCTCTGCACTCAATGACACATGCCACATCCTGTGCAGAAGGCAGCAGTTGCCTCTCAACAACTTTCAGCAGGTGCAAGGCAGACTTGCTGCTCTCAGCTCTCTATGGCAAGACTTCCTGTGCAGTGTTGGCCTGTCTTCAAGCTTCCCTGCTTTGCATGTTCCGGGAAGCGTGCTCCCTCAGAGCGTATCTGTGGTAGAAAATCCAGACGAAATCAAGCACTGCCATAAAATTGTTTTACATTTATTTGGCGTGCTTTGTGCAGGTGGGCAGGGCAGGCAGGGATGGCAGCGAGGCGTTGTGCCACCTGTTCCTGGACGATGCAGACTTCCGGCGGCTGCGGTCTCTGAGCCACTCAGACGCCGTCTCCGCCGCCTCCGTCCTGCAGTTTCTGGATACCGTCTTTGTACTGGATGAGACTGAGGGGGAGGCATCAGAGGGTGACGGCAGCCGCTATGCTGTGCTGGGCGCTGACGAGCTGGCCTGCTCCCTGGACATGAAGGCCGAGGTCATGGAGACGCTTCTCACCTACCTGGAGGTGTGCTGAGCACTTCGAGGCCCCCCTGGACCTCACTTTGCATTAGTGCTGAGTTTATCTCCTGACAAGACATAGGTTGTGAACGCTGTGTGTTAGGCATGACAGGAGAATTTTCCAGGAACCTGGTTAAGAGAGCTACTCTAAATCACAACACCATATTGACAGCTTCAAACATGCATGCACATGCTATGATGATGCTTCCATATGAAAGAAACTCGTTGCAGAGAGACTGACATTTGAAACTGTGAAATCCAATGCAGGCGCACAAAGAGACATACGTGCGGGTGCTGTCGTCCGTGGGGCGCACAGCCAAGGTGTCCTTCTTCAACAGCACCTGCCAGGAGCTGGCGCCCAGGCAGCCCGCGCTGGAGTCCCTCTTAGCCGTCTGCCCCAAGCCCCGTGCCGGCAACTACACAGTACACATGGCCAGGTCAGTGACCTTGTCACTACGATGCACCACCTAGCCAACTCAGTGCCTCAGTTCTTTCGACACCAAAATTCCCAGCACTTTTGAGGCGCAGGCGCTGCTGTTTGTGCTGCTCATGAGCTCAGCGTCGGCTGTGTATCAGCTTGACCTGGATATCAGCAGCACTTTTCCATAGCCAGAAATTTCAGGACTGATCCTGAAGAGCGAAATTTAACGCACTGTTGGCGCCGAGAGGAGGGGTCAATAGGTGTGTGTGAAGAGGACAAAATGTGGTTGTGATGGCTTTAATGGCTGGTGTCGCTGTGTCAGGTGGGCGAATGCAGCGGGGATGGCTCCGTCAGTATTACTGCAGCAGCTGGCAGCACTGGCGCGGCGAGACGAACTGCGCTTTGAGGTGGACAGCAAATCCACCCTCACCTTCCAGGTGCATTTTAAATCTCCTTCGCCATGCTTCCGATGGTCCTAACATGCTCATGAAGCATGGTGTCTCACAATGCATGCAGGGTCACTTCTTCTGAAGCAGCAGCTGCTTCCGGAGCAGAGCATCTGAAATTTTAACCATGGTGATTCTTATGGAGCTGCAGTGCCTTCCTCAACAATTGCTGAAGTTTGAGCTGCAACCTTGAGTTGCAAACGGCTTGCTGGGGGTGCAGTCAGGCCTTGCAAGTGCAAGCAGCTTGAAAGACACATACAGTATCTCTGGTAGAAACCTACAAATGCTGACGCTCTCTTCTGGCCCAGGTGGTGAAGCGCCCTGATTGTCTGGAGGATCTGGCAGAGGAGCTCGCCGCAAGGCACACCGAGATCGGCCGCCGCCGCCTGCGCCGCCTGGACACCACATACAAAATGCTGGCTGCGGCTGCCTCGAAGCCAAATCAGGCTTCCCAAGTAAGCGCATGCTCCTCACTGGTTTTCCTGCAGTATGGTGCATGAGCACATCTCCCAATTCTAAGTACTTGTTGGGGAACTGGCTTTAAGCAGTCACTGTATGTTGATTGCAGGAGCACCATATCAGAGATGTTGCGAAGCAGTACTTTGAGGCGGAGGAGGACAGCAGCGGGGCAGGGCAGAGCGCTGAGGCAGAGGAGGCTGAGGGGCTGCCGCTTGAGACCGCCAGCAACTTCATGGCCAAGGACGTGCGCATGCTGCTGCGCGAAAGTGCTTCCATAAAGGCACGTGGCCCTCAACATTTCCTTGGACTGGGCGGGCCCAAGACCTTTCACTTATTTGCAAGGATTGTTGCAGCGGACATAAGTCATATGACTCAGTGCGTGGTGTATCCGATATTTCCTGCTTACGTCAAATGTCATGTTTTTCTGGTGTCAATCATGTGTCTGACATCCGAATCACATGCTGTATGACAGGTCGGAGCACAGCTGACTGGACGCGCTGTTGCACGCATCCTGCACGGCCTGTCAAGTTCAGCATTTCCAGCCGCACAGTGGAACAAGTGCGGCTACTGGGCCCGCTATGGCAATGTGGACTTTGATGCTGTGCTGGCCGTGGCAGAGGCCGAGCTTGAGGCATGCAAGAAATGATGCAGCAGCAGCAATGGGTGGTCTGTTTTGCTTTGTGCGTGTACGCATGATAAAGTGATGCGCATGTGCAGGTAGGGTCTTGCAGTTGCCTATAAGACAGGAGGACATTAAATTGCCTGTGACCGGTCCTTGCTCTGCCGAATCCACCCCTACAAGCGCCGGGAGCCAGCCGGCAACAGCTTAGAGCTTGAACCTGACGCTGGCTGACAGCTGAGTCATTAATTTTGCCTATATACGTTGTTTGCTATCAACAATGCGCCCTTGCTTACAGATAAATGTTTCTTGCCAGTGCCCAACCTCGGAGGGTATGTTGACAAAGTGTAAGTGTTGCTGCTGTAAGACTGCCCCGGGCAGGAATGCATAGCAGCTAGCAAAGTATGCCACCTCTTGGCAGGTGGGTGATACTATTTTAGCATGTGTATCACTGCCAGTGTGCACAGATGCATTATCAGCTTGTAATGTTATGTCACAATTAGCATGGCAACAACCTCAGGCACCAGGCTGGTGCTTGCCATCTTTAAGAAGTTCAAGGTAGTTAAGGCCATAAGCCAACACTGGCCGCTTGACGTCAAAGAGCTGCACGCAGGCCACACATAGCTTCAGCCATCACATGCAGCCTTCATGCATCATGCCGAAAGCCACTTCTCAAGAAATATTCACTTATTCAGCATTCTGTCCATGCGCTTCCATAGGGTATAGAGGAAGACATTTAAAATAGGGGTGCAGAAGGAAGGGTCGATAGAGGGTGCAGCATGGCAGACTGGGCAGGCCATAACAGATCTCCATCTCGAAGGCTGGCAGCGAACAGCTCATCCAGAGCATTTCTCTGTAGCACCCTGCGTGCACAAACCAGCAAAGATGGCGATCGTGAAACGCCAGAGAGGATCGCTGCAGGGCAGCATCGCTTTGGCGTGTCTCCTCTCGATCGCTGCGTCACTGCACGGTGAGTACTAGACAGAAACTCGGGCGATCCCAGGCGCTCTAAGTGTGCCGCAGTGCTGGCATCTGCTTGGGTCTATTTCTGGCCACACTTGATGTACTGCACGATGCAAGGGCGCTGGCTGGCATGCTTCATGGGTGTTGGAGGCGTGATCGATGGCCCTGACGGGTGCCAGCATCTCTGATCACGCTGCCGTGGACGAGCTGACTTGGTCATTCCTTTGGCTCGCAGGAGCCCAAGCATTTATTAGAATTCAAGGTGGCACATTTGTGGATGAGAACTGCAAGGAGTTCTTCTTCAGCGGATACAACACCTGGCAGGCACGATCACTTCTATCATCAGTGCTGATATTGAGTTAAACACTCATTGTTCTGCTTTCAAAGATGTTGTATAGTTTTTGCGAAGTAGAGAAGCTGATTGCAAGATGTTATCTGTCCTGTGTCCTGACATCTCCTCATTTCCTGTACAGCTGCTGGAGAATGCAGCGGGTGTGATTGGCAGTGCGAGCGACCTCACTGCGCAGTTTGATGCCGCAGTGGCAAACAGCCTCTCTGTTGTGCGTATGTTTGGCTTTGGAACGGCTGGTGGTTTCCAGCTGCAGTATAGCCCTGGCTCGTACAACGAAAAAGCCTTCCAAGCCTTTGACAAGGTAACCCAGCCGCATGCGTCCATGTGCATTTCTAGTTATAAACTGTTGACTTTATTAAGCAGTGCCATGTGCTGCCTGCTGTCGTACATTGGGTGTGCTTGATGGCCATTGTTTTGAGAAAGGGATCGCCTCAAATGACAGACACATTGCATGCAGGTCATTGCTGAGGCTGGCAAGCGCAAGTTGCGCCTTGTGATCGCCTTTGTCAACAACTGGGACCAGGACTCCGGCTCAGACAACAAGTGAGCCATACTTGTTTGCTTCCTGACATGCAGCTGTCCAATGGTTGTTCTGTTGTAATGTGGGTGTGTGGCTACAAGACGCATGTGCGATGTTTTTCATGTGCAGTCTGGGTGCTCTTCTGACTGGTTGGCCACCTTTGCATTGCAGGAAGTTCTATGTTGGAGGCGGCAACCCAGATGACTTCTACACATCCGCAAGTGCGCGCCAGGCATTCAAGAACCACATGAAGACTGTAGTCAGCCGCAAGAACACCATCACTGGCGTGGTAAGTCATGCATGCCATTTGTTAGCTTGTTCCTATCACTGCAGCTTTGAGGGATCTCTTGCACTCTCCTTGAACGACCACTCCTCACGTCGTTGGCTGCCTGTCAAGGTTGATCATTGATGCATGCATGCTGCGAGTCATGTCCAAGGACTAAAGCATCACCTTTGCTACCTGGCAGGCATACCGTGATGACCCCACCATTCTGGGATGGAACCTCATAAATGAGCCGCGCTGTGATGCCATCGGGTGCAACAGCGACATGCTGGCCTGGATCCAGGAGATGGCACCTTACCTCAAGAGCATCGACCCCAACCACCTGAACACTGTCGGTGAGACATCAGCTCCTTCCTTTAGCACCTCACCTGTCTACTCAGCAGCAGCATTCCACAGTTTACAGCATGTCATTTTCTGCCAAGCTCAAACTCCTGAAGCAGACAAGCCATGCATAGCTTGGGTACCACTGTACACAATTCATTGCTTATAATTGAAGACATGATTGACATGGTATTATGGCCATGGCCTACTGTGCACTAAGATGGCAAATGTGCTGCAGGCATGGATGGCTTCTATGACAGGCGGAGCTGCCTTGCGCCGACAGGCAACCCCAGCAGCTGGGCAGGCTACACTGGCCAGGACTTCCTCCCCCAGCACGCAGTCAAGGTGATCCGCTCTTCTGTCATGGCATGTACCCTCGTAGCCCAGGCAATGGACTTTTCCTGCAACCACAAAGGACGCCATTTTGGCAATTTGTTCTCCAGAAATTCTTGTGACGACCGGTGGCAGGATGTTGATGGGAAGCTGGCATGCTGTGTGAAATGCGTGGCTTCAAAGGTCCTTGCATGTCTGTGCAGGGCATCGATTATGCAGCAATTCACCTGTGGCCCGACAACTGGAAGCGTGTGGATCTGGACTTTGGCAAGGTGTGGCTGACCAACCACAGCGCCAACGGCCAGCTGCTTCAGAAGCCCGTTGTGCTGGAGGAGTTTGGAAAGGTGCAAGTTCACCCCGCCTAGAAAACTTATCAGAATGCCGCAAAGACTGTTCTAAGTCTCAATTTGTGCCCTCAGTGTGCCATACTGTTGATTGCGAGCAAGGCGGCTCTGGCAGTAGGCCCTATGCCGCATGCATTGGGCATTGCCTTATGGGTTACAGATGAGAAGTTTGTGATACGAGGATGGGCATTGACAGACTGCCTACAAGACCAATGAGCCTCAGGTGTCTTAAATATAATGATAATATAGAATTAGGTCAGGTGCTCAGATGAGGATGTTCTGCTAATGATGATGTGCAGGGAGTGGGCGGTGAGTTGGCGAAGGGCGAGACGGAGACACAGCGCATGGACTGGTACAAGTTGGTCTACTACCTGGTGGAGCAGAACATCGACAGTGGCACGTGCGTCAGCCCTCCAGATTCCAATATATTGCTGGACATCACCAGAAAATGGCCTGAACCCAATCACAGACCTCGTCGCAGCTGCCTGAGATCACTTGTCATGTGGACATCTCTGTTGATGCTGTTCTAATGGGGTTTGGGGAAGTGACTCACGATGCTCCTCAAGTTTGCTTGACAATTTGGGAGACCATCCAGAACGAGCTGATGGTCTAGAGGGGCCAGACATCCAGAAGTAGACTGATAGGACTCGTGTTTCTGCAGGCCGCTCAAGGGCATCTTGTTCTGGAGGTGGGACGCTGTGGCTGCAGCTGTGGACTCTCAGGTTGGAGACAACGCACTCACCCTCGCCACCTCCAGCTCTGTCTTCCAGGTGCGGCCAAAACTTCTGTGTGCATCTGTCCCATAGCTCCTTTTTAGTAATGTCAGTCTGAAGTCTTGTAAGCTTGCCAAAGATAATGAAGAATGCATTTTCTGAGATGCATGGTCATCATCGTTCATAAGAGGAGCTTGGCATCTGCATTTCTCAGAGTGGTTGCATGCATGGTCGCTGAATTGCATTCTGAGTGATTCTCTTTCTGGCGCGCAGCAAGTCGTGAAGCCATTTTCGGCGCGCGTGGCCCAGAAGGGCAAGACTGTGGCCGGCTGCAGTCCATCACAGGGCACTGTGTCCGCTGCATCCATCAGTGATGGCAGCGGCAGCGGCCCAGGACCCGACTTCTTCACAGCCCCAGACTCCGCCACCTGCTGCGCAAGTGCGAACCTCCCACACTGCCAGTCCTGGCTCATGTAGTAGGAGGATGCATGTTGTTTAAACTGGCAATTCACCTTAGATAAAAGCAAAAATGCCAACACTTTTCGGTCATTGTGTTCCGTGGAAAATGCCGCATGCGCATGTGCATTGGTTCTGCATGCTCGAGTTCGAAGGTGCATGTGGGAATGTGCTGAAGCTCGGGCTGTGACAATACATTGTGCGCGCTGCCGTTAAGGCTGCAAATCTGTTGTTGATAGCATTGCTGTGTGTCCTGGGCAGAGGACTGTGGAACCATGTACGGGAACCTGGAGGGGACGCCGCTTGCGTCTGCCACATCAGCGAGTGCGGGCGACTGCTGCGACTCGTGCAAGGGCACGGCCGGATGCAATGCATGGAACTTCTGCTACTGTGACCTGGGTTGCGCCGGGCAGCCCAAGGGCACCTGCGTGCTCAAGAGCATGAACAACCCCTTCTATCCCAGGTGCGCCAAAGCTCCTGCAATCCCAGCATCTGCCTGGAAACGCATGTGACCCATTGCATTATTCAAGGCCTTGTGCAACCCGTCATTTGAGGAATGACACATCTCTGGCTGATCACTCTACAGTTGTGACCACCCGACTTCAGTGTATTTCAACCTTGCGCTAGTGCACTTTTGCTGAGTAATTGCTCGTGAATCTGTAGATATGAGGAAGTGTGACGGGCGTTGTCTCATTGGGAATGGTTGGGATGATGCAGGACGCAGATTGTGGGGGACAATGCGGGCTGGATTGGCGGCGTGCCAGGGCAGAGCAAGATCACTCCCACGTGGCTGTGCCAGCCAGGCGGCGGCAGCACATGCGCGGGCACCACCGGCGCAGGAACATGCTCAGCCACCGACCTGCAGAATTCCCTGCAGTGCCCCGACAGCTCCTGCAAAGCCAAGAACGTGCGCACCTTGCACATGCACCCTCCTGCTGTGCCCTGAAAGCTGCTCTGCTTCTCAATTGTCTGCCACAGTCACCATAATTTTGCCCATCAAAAAGCTTGCAAGTGCAGCCTGCAAGCTGCAGTTCAGCTTGCAGGCTGCACTTGCAAGCTTTTTGATGGGCACCGCTCAGTGTTATATACCTGTCTGCACCGCTCAGTGTTATAGCAAAATAGGCGGCAGAGGGGCAAAGTGCTGAAAATACATTTTCGTAGGTTCTGCTTTCGTTGTTGAGCAAAAGGGGCTTCCGTCAAGGCAGCAAGGTGATGGCTGACTTTGGGACTTACAAAATTTGAATCGTGCAGCAAAACGTGGGCGGCGACACGCTGGTGATGGACGTGAACAGCAACTCGCCAACCAAGACGGTGTTCACCGCGGCGGACTGCTGCAAGGCGTGCAAGAACCAGGGCGGCTGCAACACCTGGACCTTCTGCGGGCGCCCTGAGGGCTGCTCCTCAGACTGCCCCGCCAACGTTGCCAGGTGAGTTCCCACTCCCATTCCATTTCGCAAAGGATGCCCTCAGCATCTCTCACAGAACCACTATTGAAGCCCAGGCGATGCTGTTTGCCTGCTCCAGGCACAGTGTGCACTTGAATATGAGTCTCCTGCTAGCAGAAGGTTGAGTGACCTAGCCAAGGCGTTTCGCTGTTTAGAGCTACCGATGTGAGTGTGGCAATCGACTGGATTTGTCTGAGATCATTGTTGTGTGGCCCCGGCTGGCGGGGGCCAATCTAAATACGGGAGCACCGTGCCAACAGGTGATTGGGTCTTGCAAGGCCGTCAAGGGGTAGGATTTTGGCAGCCTTAAACTGCAGCTTGTCTGCACACGCACCTTGCCTCTTGGCAGGAAGAAAACATGTACTAAAAATATGTGTTGCTTGGTGCAGTGCCAAACAGACGGGTGGCAAGACCTTTGGGCCGTACGGCGGCTGCCAGGGCAACCGTTTCCCGTACCAGCAGTGCACACTGAAGACTGCAAAGGACCCCAGCAAGGTGCAGGTCTACGAGGCTGGAGAGTTGCAGCCCTGGACCTCCGGCTCTGTCTGATCTGGCAGTTCCTGATCAGATCGTACCAGTGAATGAGTGTGTGTGTGTGTGTGTCATGTGTGTCATGAGCGCGAGCAGGTGAATGTCTCGCAGCTGATAGGTGTAATCAGGGCCAAAATGCAATAATTCAGGGCTGCGTGAACAATGAAAGCACGAAATTTTGAGGGCTGATGTCCTTGCGAACTGTTATTCTTGGCCCTGAATGGCCCCTGGAATGATTGTCAGTGGAACAATCTGATGCAGACCTGTCAGTGCCAAATTTGCCAAGAAACAAATATTAGAAGAGCCGTCTGTTGGGCAGCAAGTGCATGTTTGTGAGGGGGTTATCTGGTCGCCCCTCCAATCTGCAGATAGATGTGCATTTCATTGTCAATTGTCAGTTTTGTTGCTGTTTCTGTTGTGTTTCATTATGTCGCAGCTCTTTCCACGGGATGAGTAGCTGTGGAGCATTCTCTGCATAAAGCAACTTTCAATTTGGTGTTGGTGGTGCTCTTGCCTTGCAATCCATTCCAGCAACAGCAATTGAGTACTGCCTCTTGGTCAATTGCAGCGTTGTGGGCATAATGTCGGTCTGGTGCCTCATCTGCTTGAATGACCAATTGGAATGATGTTCTGTCTGGGTCTAGCTGCATGGGTGTTGCTTAAGTCTCAAAGCCACTTATACATGTCGAATGCGCAGCAGGAGCTTGTAATGAAAGCATGAAGCTGGAGTATGCAGATTTGGTGATCATGACCACTCGTGAGCTACACCAGAGTGCGCACAGAAGAATGTTGCCAGATAAATTACAGAACAAAACATGCATGGCACTACAGTACACAATTTATTGTGGCATAAAAGAGCTTCTGAGGCGACTGAAGACACTTTGCACCTCTGTGTCAGAATTCAAATCCAGCATCTGTTTGGCATATATCATGTTGCCTTCTCTCTTCTCCAGGGCATACAGCAATTCCTTGTAGGCCAAATTATCCTGCTCTTTGGGATCATAGATAGCAAAGATGACGTCCACCTGCACAGGGGTACCAGGGCATGTGATCAGTCTGAACAGTTGAAGCATGTGAAGACGGCCTTCACAGAGCCCGCAGAGACTGGACTATGCCTCACGTCAGGCTATTTTCTTGTGCCATCTTTGCTGAGCCGCTCAGGGGCCCAGCCAAAATGGAGGTAAAGCCATGAATAGGAGAAGCCCACAAAGGTGTTGATTCTTGAAGACTCACCAAGTCCTCAGCAAGTGTGTCTCCCAGGATCTTGGCCACAGCGCGTTGGAAATCGGCGCGGCCTATCCGGTCCGTTGTGGAGTAGAAGAAATCCAGGGCAACCGCCAGTTTGTGCACATTTTGTCGCAGTTGTGCAAACTGCTGGAACTCTGCCCATGTCACCTGATGTCAAGATGTGCCCCTCAGTCAAACCGACCAGTGCACACCATGCCCCGATTCATGTCAGCTCTTCACAAACACAATGGAGCAGATACTATGACAGGGGTTTGGCTTTTGCATCCTGAGGTGTACCTTCAAGGCCTTGATCTTATCAGGTAAATTGTCAATTCTGCTCAGGAAGTGGTCCACATTCCGCATGTTGCAATGAGAGACCAGGCTGTGGGCAAAGCTCGTCCCAGATATGTAACCCTGTGGCAACTCAATTATTCATCACCTCATGTCATGTGACAGATGAACTCTGACGATGACATCCCAGCCGGAGGCACACCTGTCCCTTGATGTCATAATGGAGAAACTCCAGCCTTACAAGCTCTGCGTGCAACTCTGTGCAGAACGCTGCAAAATGCTTCAGGTCCAGCTGATCCTGCCCCTTCTTCCCAAAGAAGGTCACCAGCAACCCTTGTGTCTCATCCCTGCAACACACTTGCTTCAGAAGTTACGAGTATGCCAACACAACGTTCCTGGCAGTCCTGACGAGCTGCATGCATTGCAACAAGGAGCATCTGCATATAGGTGGCTAGTGCAAATGGCAGGACAGGGGAAGCTGCACCCTGTGTCTGTCTGCAGTCCAGTGCGTTGTAGGTGGCTGACCCGCCTCAACCGTAATCTCAGAGCAGTGGTTACTCTCCTGAACTCTTGCAGAGAAATCGCTCCACTGTCATCGTCATCAAACATGGAAAATATGATCTCAACATCCTGCAAGCACTTTGATATCTGAAGAAGTGGATAGGTTCCTGGTTGACTTTATCAGACTTGAAACCAGAAGCAGATGTTGTTGACATTCAAAGCTGCCCAGAGCAGGAATCTTGCCTCCAAGGGAATTGCAAGGAAAGTGACAATCATCAGGTATTCTGTGAAGGAAATGTAGCCGTCGCCATCCGTGTCAAATTGCTTGAAGAAGTCGCTGTTCTTTGGAAGCACAGATCCAGGATTGATGAGCCATATATAGGAAGTCAGGAAATTTAAGCTCTTCACAGCATTTTTGGCACAATGAAGATGGGACTTCAACAGCGCACATGCACATACCTTCATTGAATCAGGGATCTGGGGCGACTGAGCGCGTCGATCTCCTTGCAGTGCACCTGAGCGCTCTGCGCTTGACCCTTCAGCTGGGTACACAGCCACCAGGGAGTGCAACAGATCTGCTGGCGTCATATACCTGCAAGCAATGACACCCATTGTGTTCTGTGCAGAGCTTCCAAGGAGATGGGAAACCACTTTCCTAGCGAGTGCGTTCATGTAAGATTGGCAGCATGCATGTAGCATGCATCCATTCTGCATACGTAAACATACCCTAGATGGCATGCTTAATTGACATAGGAGCAAAGACGGCTCCTATGTTGGAGGTGGAGGATAATTGACATAGGAGCTTTCAGAACTACCTATTGCCATCAGCGCCAGTAATGGACGCAAAATAGTCAAACACTTTGTCTGGAGGGGACAGGTCCCTGATGCGCTTCTCATACTTGAAGAACACCTTGCGTCGGCTGTTCAAGTCGAGCAAGTGCCAACCTTCCTGCTTCTCCTCGGTAAGAGCATACACCGGGACAGCAACAGAGAGTGCAGCCAAAGAAAACCACCTGCGCGAAGGCGCACCGCAAATGCTCAACAACAGTGAGGGAGGACTGGTCACCAGCTCTAAAGTCAGAAGTAGTTTAAGCTGTGGTGAAGGCTATTCGTAAATACCTCAAATTGGGGCCAGAGGTCTCCTGATGAACACGAAAAAGAGCCACATCTGCAACAACAGGTCGTCCTTCCCTCCCCTGGAAAGATCTCCTAAGCGTCTGTGCAGGCGGACACAGTAACCTGGCGACCCTTCGCCACATTATGCAGTTTAATGGACCATCATCGATGTCAATTCATCTGTGCATGACTCTGAGATCGGCATGCACTCGATGACCGCAGATAGGGTTTAACAAAATGGACAGAGTCAACGTGGAGTAACACATCAGATATTAATCGACTGATCCATGAAACGTTGCTGGAGGATCTCAAGAAAGGGCACAGAGATTCCAAAGAATGTCATGAGAACGCAGGTTACACGTGGCAAACGATCACGTGCTTGTTGCACAACGTTACGTAACGCCAGCTTCCTTTCGCGTCGAAGGCCATCGAAGGCATGATGAAGCCATATAGATTGTTGTGCCTCACAAGAACATCTTGAATCCTCAGCACATCTCTGCTTGAGCACTGTGCAGACGCAAGGGACAGCCATTCTCCCTCGGATCCGTTGATCTACTACAATGACAGTTAAGGTTGGAGGCTCCATCGATCAGCTGCCTATTTACACAAGGTGAGGACAGAAGGAGCTTCAACCCATTTATGTTTCCCTTCATTGACACTTGTTGACATCTAAGATTGTAATCATCTTCTCGATCCTCCCTGATTTGCTCAATGCAGCCTGCCGTTCGTTTGTGTGTCAAGATCTTCTGTATCTTATCTTGTTGGGGTCGCTGCCCTCACCTCATCTCCACATAAGGCGGATCTTGAACGCACAAAGATTCGCTGCCTGCCTGACGAAGATAGTACTCGCAGGAAGCTGAAGACGCACGAGGGTGGTTCCATCAGTCTTGATGACTACCGTGGCAAGAGCAGTGTAGTACTATTTTTCTATCCCAAGGTATGGGTACTACAGACTTACTTTGGAAGCTTATGGCGCTTGACTTTTTAAAATCTCAAGTGCTTGACACTGTACATCCTGGGTGTAGGCATCTACACCAGGATGCACAAAGGAGGCATGCAAATTCCGGGATGAGTACAGCGTTTTCAAGGATGCAGGCGCTGTGGTGCTGGGCATCTCAGGTGACAGGCTCTGCACCTTTGAAAGTAATTGATTTTATCGTAATGCAATGCCGCAATGCATTCCCTTTGAAAGGCTCACAATCGCTGATAGTGTCTGTACTGGCCAGGCGACACCCCAGAATCCAATGCTGCGTTTGCCAAGGCGCAGCGTTTGCCCTTCCCTTTGCTGAGCGACGAGGGTAACCAGTTCAGGCAGGCCTTGGGCGTGAAAAAGGATCTGTTTGGACTGCTGCCTGGACGCCAGGTGTGCCCAAGTCATATCCAAGCATAGCTGCTCTTGTCATGATCACATTCATGTAATTGGCGTATATCAGCGTGATGGTATGTCTTGCTGAGCCAGGTGCCTTTAAAATTTCCCTTCAATATGAAAATAGCACGATCCTGCACCTTGCAAGGGAAAGCGCCTTGGCTGACTCGCACCACTGTTTGTCTTGCAGACTTTCGTGTTCGACAAGGAGGGCAAGGTTGCTTTGGTGTTCAACAGCCAGATGAAGGCAGAGCAGCACATTCAGGAGGCCTTGAATGTTATCAAGACACTGAATTAGATAGATTTGGGTCCTTATTGTGCTATTGAAAGGTAACAGGCACTGACGCCTGGATGATGTTTTGATTCTGTATGGCATGCATGCTATGCATGCAACTCTTGTCATGCCAAGTGGGGACGGTAGCAGTGCCAGTAGTACAACTTCAACGGGCAAGAATAGAAATGTTTACACTAGCGTATACGTAGGTAGGCCTTTGCTTTTGGGATATGACAAAATGCCTGTACACAGGGCACTTCTCGTCAAGAATCACAGATAGAGTCGCTGGGTGTCAAGAGTCAGGACAGGAGCTTGTTGTCCATCAATTGTTACTAAATTCAATATGTTAGCTCCGGACCCGGTCAATAAGTCACAAAATCAACCACTGATACGGCCTCCGAGGCTTCAAATCGAGATCCTCATTGAAGCTAGTCATGAATTCTCAAGATCCATTTGCAAACACACCCCCTACAGGGATGAGAGCAACTCAGACCTGATATGATCGCACATCCTTTGACACCACATGACTTTTGAGACTAGCACGCAGGTGAAATAGAGAGCGATAGCAGCACAAAAACCCTTGGTGGACCTTCGTCAGACTTTTATAATGTAGAGCAACAATTTTGTACACCTCTGTGTTCCGGACCACTGTATCCCCTTATTAACCAGCAAAATTGGCACAACTTGCAATGCCACAGGGGTCTAGCAGAAACCAATTCCATAACTATATGGTAAAGCCGCTTGTCTCTTGACAGCCCAATCTACGCCTGTTCTTGCTGCCGAGCACTGCGGGCTTCTGCAGAGATATTTCCAGGTTGGCTAGCGCCGGCAGCTGTTTCTGGGATGCTTTGGGGATTATTGCTGCCTGTTGGAGTGTCATTCTGGGTGTCTGCTGCACCGCCTCCCTCTTCCAAATCGCGCCCCCCACCCAAGAGTCCTTCATCAAGAAGCAACCGACACCTGCAACCCACATTGATCTCCGTGATGCTAATCACCAGTTGATACCATAACTGGTACTGTATCATGCACTTGCTCAGAAAGAAAGCTCCAAAGTTTTGAGATGTTCTCACGTCGGACAGGTGGCCTTCCTCTGCAACCACTCCTTGACACAGTCTTTGTGGAAAAGATGTCCGCATGGCAACGACAAAACCTTTGTATGAGCCATCTCCTCTTGGCAGATTGCACACTCTCTATCCTCAAGACTGTCCGCCTGCAGCAATGTACACACTCAAGAGGCATGAAGCCGCAGAAATAAACTGCTGGTCTGGACACAGATTTGGGTCACTCAGCAATTTGCACTGGGCGCAGCTTTATTGAGGTGATGGTAGCGTGCCTTTGATGTGGTGGCCAAATAGAACGATGGCAATCTGTTGAGCAGTTCGGCGGTAAGCGGCTGAACCTTTGGTTTTCTGGGTGCCCTTCCTGGTGGTGCAGAACTTGCTGGCTGCACGCCTGATATTTGTACAATCGCTGGACCTGGACAACGAGCAAACCTTGATGCTGTGAGTGATCTCTTGAGAAGAGTGTCATTGGCATGCATTCATGCGGCTTCTGACAATTCTCAAGAAGCTGTCCGCACCTCCAGGAGGAACAGGGAAGTGCAACATTCCGTACTGCCGCAATTCCCAGTTGGCTGGAGTGTGGACATGATGCTGCTGTGAAGGACAGCATCCCAGACATTGAGCTGCGAACGTGAAGATAGAAATAACCTGCAAGTGTAGGCAAAGTGTGACTTCCAGTGAAAACTGAAAATACCCCTAGATTCAAGGTAAGATTGGTTTCAGAAGATGCGCATCCATGAGTACTCACACTAACGATCGCAAAGATTCCAAGAACTAGCCACCAGGTACGCGATGACCACTCCAACATCCCCCCTACTGGCTGGATTTCACTGCTTGTTGGGAAGACCTGCTAATTTAAATGAAGAGCTCTGCCAGCACTGCTATGGGCTCTTGAGATCATTAAAAGAGACAATCATGAGATTCCGCTCAGCTTTGCGCAGGGGCAGTACAATAGTCTCCTTGCCCACTACGTGCAGATCGTTTCTGGGATTTCAGAGGCTTCCTCGGCTTATGCAAGCAAGAGAGACACAATAGGATTGTAAATTATTGTATTGCATCCGATCAATTCTGTCTGCTCGAAAGAGATCCAGAGGAGAAGCTTTCACAAGGATTCCAGGGGCACGTGGCATGAAACATGACTCACGCATGGATGGAAGGGAGATTCCACGCAATTATGAATCTGCCTTCTGAAAATCTTATGTTGTTGGCTGTTTGCGCTGCGAGGGGTATGGCCCGAAAATTGTTCTGTTACACGTAACTTGTTTGCACCATGCATCGTTCTTAATTACACATCGCGCGCCTCACCTAATTTGTTTAGATCGGTATTCCAAAGTCACAATGATTTGCTTTGACATGACATAGCCAGTCGAATGCAATGAGTGTGTGGAGCCGCATCAATGGTGTTGCCGGGAAAATACAGAGCAACATCACGCATTTCGCTGCAGAAGTCTTGGAAGCTGTTGACGAGGTAATTTTATGAACTCGCAGTACAGCATGTCGACCTTTGTCAGTGCAAATGTCAACAGCGCATCAATAAACCACAGCAAAGTCTTTTCACTCTGCCCCATGGGATCAAAGAATGGGGCGTCTCAGCACTGCTGTCCACTGCAATTTCCAGGTTAGAGCATCAGATAATGAAGATGAAATATACGAAAGGGAGCATGAAGCACATCCTTCAGCAGCACCTTCAGTGGAAGGCTCAGCTGTGGCTTCCCGGCTCTCTGCGCTGAAAGCGCGCTTGGAGGCTGACAGGTCCCGAGCTGCTGTTCCTAAAGCTGTCAGGTATACCATTGGTCCATGCATACGTGCTTTGTCTTCATATGGGTTGCGCCTCATACTTGATGGTCCTTCTCCCGGAAGAAGGACCATCAAAATGAATCACTCCAAAATGTGTGAGACATGATGAGACACATTCTGTGTTCCAGGCAGCACAGTCAGCAGGATGAACTCCATCAGAGATGGGAAACTGCGCCACCAAGCAACTATACTGGTGCATGACCCTCTTATCTTGTGTCAAGTGATTCCACGGTGATCTGTCGCTCAAGCATGTCAATAGTGACTGACACAGATTGCTGAGAGGATACATTTGCGGCATGTACAGGAATAGACATGCAAACCCAGGCAGTGGGACAGGAAAATATATTTACAGGCACAGGCCACCATGATTCAGCAGCTGTCAGAATATCTGGACGTCAGCCAGATGGCACAAGTTCCCAGATCAGCAATGTTCCAAACAACGAAGTGGACCCTGGGGATGAAAATGCCTTTGAGGAGGTAATGCTAAGCAGCCGAGACAAGCAGGTGCATAGCAGCAGCCACATCTCACATCTATCACCAGGTACGTTCCCTGCCTGCTGCCTGTTACTTGCCTCCATGCTAGTGGAAACAGCACTTGAAACCTTTGCTGAAAGCACAATCGGATCGGTGCAGATAGCGATGTGGCGCACTCTAGCGATGTTGAGCGGCTCAAAAAGCAGATACAGAGGCTCAAAAGCGAGCTTGTGCGCACAATTGCTTCTCATGAAGAGGAACAAGAGCATTTGGAAAAGGTATGGATTCCACCTCCCTGTCCATAGTATCAATGCATGTGTTCTGAAATCGGGAGACACAGGATAGTGACATTTAATTTGTGATTCAGGCCCATCAAGGTCAAACTGATGCAATGGCGAGAGAGATCTCTGAGCTGAAGGAGCAGTGCGACATCGCCAGAAAATCTGCTGGTCAGACGAGCCAATCTTCCTCCGAGGTATTGATCCCTTCTTGCTCATTCTCTTTGAAGGATGTTCTACAAAGTCCTGCACAAGTGCGTGAATAGCATGTTGTGCATGGCCAGATCCACCAGGGAAAAGAGGATGCGTTGGATGATGGTGTGGCCCATGCCCGCATCATGGAGTTGCAGGTGCGATGTTAAGCCAGACTACTGAATCTTATATGAGTCTCTCTCTTGAAAATGCCTTTGTCATTGCGTGCCACACTCCTAAAATGACACAAAATATGCAGGTGCGCATCAAGGAGTTACAGGCAGAGAACGTAAGGCTCGCGGCAGACAGTACAGCAAAGCAGGCATCGGAAAGCATCCCCTTTGGGACAGCAACAGAAGCAGCGTTCTGGTCAGCAAATTCTGAGGCGGAAAACGAAAGGCTCCAGAAGCTTCAAGCACAGCTGCAAGCTCTGCAGACTGCCGCGCAGACCGACAAGGCCTCAGCGCATGCAGATGTCCAGAGCGAGAGGAACGCGCATGCAGAGACGCAGCGTCTTCTTGCTGAGAGCCAGGCCGCCCTTCAGGAAGTTGCGGGCAGGGAGCAGGCCCGCTCCAAGTCAGCAGAGCAAGCCCACGAGTGCTTGCAGAGCGAGCTGCAGCAGGTGCAAGCAGCCCTGCACTCCCAGCAGCTGCAGGCGCAGAGCGGCCTGGAAGCAGAGCACTCTGCACATGCGTTTACGAGGCAGCGGCTGGCAGAAATTGAGGAGTCGGTGCGGAGCCGATCTGCCTCGCTGGAGAAGCAGCTGGAAGAGGAGCGCCTCCGGCACGAGCAGACTGCATTAGAGCTTGAGAAAGTCAGGCAGCAGCTGGCAGCAAGCCGGAGCGAGGAAGGACAGGACCTACAAGCAGAGAAGCAGAGGCTCAGGGAGGCTCTTGAAGAGCTGGATCGTGTGAGGCAGGAGCTTGCCGCAGCGGTGCATGCAAGGGCGGAGGCAGACAGTGCTCTTGCTGCCGAGCGCAGCACTAAGGAGGCTCAGCAGTCTTTGGAGGATCCTGCCGTTTTGGAGGGTTTGCCCTTGGTGGTGGAACTCAGGTCGCAGCTGCATGAACAGCAGACAACGAGCCTCCAGCTGCAAGTGGATGCTGAGTTGCTGCGGCAGAGGTGTGAAACCCTGGCACAGGAGAACGAGAGGCTGACGGCTGAGGCTGAGCAATTGCAGCAGATGAGTGTTGCACTGCAAGATGCGGGAGCTCGTGCCAGCGCATTGGAGAGGGATGCAGCCAGCTGCAGGAGAGACGCTGACCAGGAACGGCTGGCTCTCAATGATCTCCAGTCACGTTTTGCTGAGACCTCAGCAGCTCTTGAGAAGGGAGCAAAGGAGGGTGTAGAGTTGCAAAGGTGATGGGGCTATGCTGTGTTGTCCTTAGCTGGGAGTGTATGACATTCAATGCATTTGCGTCACTGTGAGAAACGATCATGAAGCTCGGTAATACACAAGCTTGCGATGTGCTGCAGACAATTGGATTCTGCAATGCGGCAGCTGGAGGAGACCGCGATGCAAAAATCTGCTGAGCCTGGACCGAGCTTGCAACTGCTGCAAGAGCAACTTGCAGCTGAGCAGGACGGGCACAGGAAGAGCAAGGTAAGGAGTCCTACACAGCTGACGTTGCAAGGTTTCTCCCAAGAGCAAAGGGGTCATCTTCGTGTGCATCTTGCCACCTGATGTCAGGCGGTTCTTGGTTTCTACAGGCGAAAGTGGACCGGGTGAGGGCTGATCTAGGGCAGCTACAACAGGCATTGGACGCTTCAACATCCGCGCTGACTGATAGGGACGCCTTCTGGAAGGAGGAGTTGCTGAGGGCCCAGCGTGACCTGCAATCATGTCAGGCCCAGGTGGCGGTGAGTTGTGCCCTCCATGACTGGGAGTTATCATATCTCTAGCTGACTATCTTATATAACTTCAGGCTTTCACAAGAGTCAGTACATGGTGCAAAGTGTGACAAATCTGGCAATGTCCTGCAGGAGCTGGAACAGCGCTGCCATGCCGCTGAGGCAAGGCTGCTAAATGGGACTGCATCTTCCAGTGTGCCGGGGATGACTGTTGCGTCCTCCAATGGAGTTGTGGTAGGCAGCCACTGTCTTACAGAGAATCCACTGTTCGGAGAGGTAACTTGCTGAATGGGTGTGCTCCTGTCAACATGCTTTCAGTGCTGGCAAAGGTTTATCGTCAGAATGAACGCATGAAGTATCTCTCACGCTCACAGGAGAGAAGCCCTGTGAAACTCGCGCAGCCAGAGGAAGCTGGTCCAACTGCCTCAGAGGTGGCTCATCTCAGAAAGCTTCTAGCAGCCGCGGAAGACGAACGTGATAGGGCCAGGCAGCAACTGAACAGGTGACTGCACGGAATGTCAAGGACTAGACAGTTGACAAGCTGTGTCATTGACCAATTAGATGCATGGGATGTCTTCAGGATGCTATGCAAAATTGAAATTTGCTCCGTGCTCCAAAGTGGAACAAGTGGCATTTCCTCGGCGCCATAGCAGTGTGTACATTGCTGTGCACAGGCTCAAGCAGGCGACGATGGCAGAGCAGGAAGATGAGGAGGACAAGATGAGGTGGCGAGTTGAGGCGGAGGTGCGGCTGGCAATGGAAAGCGCACAGCAGGCGGAAGCGCAGCGACAGGCTCACTACGAAAGGGAGCTGGCTAATCTCAGGGTAACGAGCGCATCATGATAGCATTTTTGGTGTTATGCTATGCATGCACATTGCTGATCAATCCCTGTTGACTGAGATATTGTTGAGGTCCTGTGTGCCTGTTGACAGGCAGACTTGGAGTTCAGCAAGGCACAGGCTGAGCGGCTGGGCACTGATGTGGAAGCCTGGAATGCTGCCGTGGCTGCCCGTGATGCCGAGATTCAGAATCTGCAGGTGATCTTTTCATTCTATTTTGTTTCCCTGAAGCCCGGGCATGCAGCCTGGTTTCTTTGGCTTAGAGTCTGCCAAACTGCGACCGGTCCTTAAGACTGTTCCGCGTGGTTGTGGAGTCAATTTGTGCATAATGTTTGGGCTTGTGATGCAGGCTGCCTTGGGTGAGCTTGCATACAGCAGTGAGGCAGCGGAGCGTTTGCGTGCTGAGCTTCGTGCGTCAGCTGCAAAGCTGAGGAGCGCACAGGACGACATTGCAGCAACTAAGAGGGAGCTGCAGGAAGGTGCCGCAGCCAGGCAGACAATTGAAGCAGAGCTGACGGCCCTAAAACAGGAGCAGCAGAAGCAGAGTGACTTTGCTGCGCGCTTGTCGGTATATGCACTGTCCCTGACAATACTACCTTCTGACAATGCAGGCGTGATGAGTTGTCCATGCAGATCACATGATGTATGAGTCAGCCTTCACTGTTCCTCGAGCCCATACCTACTGTGCCATGTATTCTTCTGCAGCAGAAAATTACGATAGCAGGGCAGTCACGAGCCCGGAACATGCACTGCTGACGCGGTTTCCCTTTCACAGGAGGAGACAGTGATGCTGAGGAGGGCGCTGGCGGAGAGCATGAAGCGGCTGAAGCTGGCACACAGCGACGCAGATGCCATGGTCGACCGCCGCATCGTCACCAAACTGCTGATCACCTACTTTGAGCGCGGCCGCAGCGACCAGAGCGTTCTCAATCTCATGGCATCCATGCTGGGCTTCACTGGTGCACTCCCTTGACTCTGACCTCTGTTTGGCAACGCCGAGTGTGTTCTGGACATTGCAGGGTTGTCGAGGCGACTCTTCTAGAAGGTTGGCACTGTCATGTCTTGCCGTTGACAAGGCTGGGGCACATGTGCGCAGAGGAGGAAAAAAAGAAGGTCGGTCTGGCGTCCAAGGCCGGCATCCTGAGGACGGTTGCCGGCGCGCCGCTGGCGCTCGTCAAGGGCCTGGCCAAGAGCGGCGGTGAAGGGCCTGGCACACCCACCAGTGGCGATGCCTCCCTGGCAAACGAGTGGGTGGAGTTCCTCATACAGCAGGCGGAGGCGGCTGATGCTGTGGAGGCGAATGGGCGTAGCTCAGGCGGCGGGAGTCAGACATATGAGCCACAGATGCCGCCTTGACTACCACTTTGCATTTGCTGTTTGTTGCTTTCTGCGCTGTTCGTGTCTCCCGGCAAAACTTGCCACGGATTTGTCTGTTTGAACCTCAAGCCAGGCTTGCTTGAGTTTCGTAGACCCTTCGAGCTTGAAATCTGTGTAATGCAAGTATGATCTTCTATCAAACCCCGCAAGCATCACTGATAGCATGTGGACAGCCTCCAGGGCCGGCCAGCTTGTCCTTTCTCAGTCCGGCCCTTGCTGGGAAAAAAATGTGCAAGAAAGCTTTTTCTCAGTTCTAAGTGCCGCAGCGCAATACTGAACATTAATCGTCATCTAGATAGACTGGGCGCAAATGGAGGAAAAATAGCCGAAAAAGGCGAGGCCAAGGAGGTGGACTTGAACCACTGTTGCCTTCACCTTCACCTTCCAAGAGAAATCAGGCACATGCACGCAATGTACATTCACAAACTCTGCAAAAGGATCCATGCAGACCGCAGCAAAAGATCGTCGCGTCGAGTTCGCAGGCGATTCCTCTGCACACAACTGTTGACGCCCAAGCCTGTTTGACTTCTGAGAGCGGACGAGAACTGGTCTTTTCCAGGCTGGTATGAACGATCCATTTGAGCTTGCAATTTCTACTGCGTTATAATTGCGCTTTGAGCAAGCAGCATGTCCACATCAATGAACCGGAACTGTGGTATCTAGTAGATACTATCTACCTCAGTGGTGCTACAGTCAAGCATATATAGTTGTGAAATTCACGCACAGTTTGTCGATTTACAGTCAAGCGAGCAGCCAGCAAAGTTTTTGTCAGCGAGCTGCATGTGGAAGGAGCATGCACGAATCGGAAGGGACGAAAGACATTGTTCTGAGCGCGATCCAAGTATTGTATGGTGGAGCAAGTGATCAGCAAAATGCTGCTTCAGCTTTTCTGAGCGATGTTTGTGGGACATCGGGAGCTTGGCAGATCGCCTTGGAACTTTTGGATGCCAGCCATGCTCTGGAAATTCAATTTTTTGCGGCCAACATGCTTTTCAACAAAGCACGTCGTGATTGGGGTCGCCTGCAGGCATCCGAGCGCGCAAGTTTACTTGCATTGGTCAGGTGAAACTTGGGCAATGTTTTGACCAAGTTCTCACCCAATAATTATAGATCAATCATGAGATCATATTCACTCGCTAATCATTGCCAGCAAAAGTGAAAGAGACCATGTGAGGGTCAAGCAAACCCACACTGACATGAGTGCTTGATACTTGCGCCAGGGGACACCTGCAGGACAAGGCTTCAGCCGGGTCCTCCCACGTTCAGACATTGGTTGAGCAGCGGCTAGTCCTGGTCCTGGCCATAATGACCGCAATGGAAGGCCAAGAGGCTGCAGATGTGTTGATCAGCGATGCTGTCCGCATTGCTAGCACGGTGAGCACTACGCTTCTCAACTGACTTGCCTCCGTTGATGCTTGTCCTCTTCTTCAGCTGAGCACTGCCTATACTATCCAAGTTGCCTGCTGCCCATGCCTGTTGGATGACATGCGACTGGTTGTCTGCACAGGGGAAAGCAGTCTTGGGCCTTGAGCTGTTAGCAGCGTTGGCTGAGGAGGGGGACTGCTTAGATCGCAGGCGGCGTACTGCCTTGCTTCCTCTGCTTGCTCGCCGCTCACCGGAAGTTTCTGGTCTTCTGAGCCAAGCACTGTCTGGACATCTGACAGCCGGTAGGAATCCTGCTCCCTGCAGTCATATTCTAACCTGCATGCTTCCCAGTGTTCCCTTACAAAGATCATCCAGACCTGGTGCTCTGAGCAGTTTATGAAGTGGAGAATAAACGATTATCTGATGGTGGCTACAGGCGGACCAGCCCCCTATGTCCAAGCATTGAAATGCGCAAAGGCTTGGCTGCCTCTTGATCTTGATGGAGGCGGCAGCTGCCTGGTCTCTCCAGGCAGTTTGCTCGTGTCACAGGTAGGTACAGGGCTCTGAGCAAGTTAGCTTCAAGCTCTCTCCACACAACGATAAGGGTTTGAATTAATCTCTGGAACATGTCAAATATTGACAAACTATGCTTTGCCATATGATTGATGACTCACACAATTCTTCCTCGTGCTTTCAGCCAGGGCTTTTTGGTGGTTTGTTAAATGCACTCCATGTTGACGACGATGCAGCGGTTGCTCTCGCTGCCGAAGTCCTCTGCAAGTTGCTAGGTGAGAACTGCACCTTCTTTTCAACATGTAAGTGGTACTTTCTGCATGTTACAGCAGGATGTGGGCATGAGGCGAGGCAACTGAATTTGTTTGCAGGTCACCAATGCGAGGCCGATGATCCTGCAGCTAACAAGAGGGCCATTCAGGAAGCGATCAGGAGCATTGTAAGCCTTGCCAGCAGACCAATGGCCACCGCAGATGGCCATTTAGAGGCCACAGCTGCAGCTGCAGTGGGCATTGCATGTGCGATTGCCGGTCGCATGCCAGAGTTTGCTGTGGGAGACAGCGAGGAGGTGAGGCAAATACGTGGCGGCATATGTTGACCCTGTGCATTATTGAATTGCAGCAGCCTCCCAACATTCAGCAGAGAAGCCATGCATAATTGTTGGGGGTGTTGTAATAAATCTGGCAAAGCATCTCCTCTTTCATGCAAAGGTGGTGAATTAGAAGGACGAGCATTCCATGGCTAGAGCAAGTGAGAATACTTGTGCTGTGCAGGCTGCTGCATTGGGGGATGCAGTGCTCAGGTGCCTGGAGTGTCCTTTGAGGAATGTGGCAGAGACTGCTGTTGAGTATTTTGAGACGCTCAGCACGGTTCCTGTGGCAGAGCGCAGCCCTGCCTTCCGAGCCCCAATGTTCGGGCGGCTGCTGCCCCCACTGCTGCGTCATGCCCGCTATCCTCAGAGCTTCACGTCCTGGGAAGAGTGCATTGACGATGACTGTGATGAGTTCCATCGCTTCAGGTGGGAGCCTGCAGCAGTCGCGCAATGCAATCCTTTCATTGTCAGCGTGTGCTCAATCCTTGTCTTGCAGGTCTGTACTTGATGCTTAAGAAGCTCAACAATAAATCCTTGCCGCGCAGGGACCATGCCCTTGGGGATATTCTTGGCTGTGCATACGCCCTGCTCCGCATGGAGTATTTGCAGTACTGTGGAAGCTTGTATGCGGGTTCCTCAGCATGGCAAGATAAAGAGCTCGCCTTGTACGCTATTAGGTGCTCTGCTCGTTGCTCTGCTGCAAAACTTTCTGCAAACTACATTCACCAGGTTGCCAAGTCCGCTGGTGAATAAGAGTAGAGATGCATGCAGGGTTGTGTCAGGTGCGGTGCGGACACGCGCACTGCAAGCAGAGCCAATAGGGGACCCTGCAATACTGGCGGATGTGCAGCACACATCCGCCTTTCTGGCAGCTCTCTTTTCGGGTATCTGCACAGGGAACCCCCCTCACCCGGCGCTGGCAACCTCGGTCGCGCAGTGCGTGGGAGACTATGCGACCTGGTTTGGGCGTGTGCCGAATGCGCCCCTTCAGGCAGCGCTGCAGCAGCTGCTGGCCTTCATGGCGGTCCCACAGGCGGCACAGTCGGCTGCAACGGCCTTCAGAAACTTGTGTGTGCGATGCGGCAGCCAACTGTGCAGCCCAGCAGCCCTCACTCCCCTCATACATGCCGCCAGAGCAGCACTGTCCGCTCCAGGCATGTTCTTTCAACGAGCTTGTGGGTGTGGCATATATATGAGTGTGCCTCAACAAGGGCATGCTTTGTTGTGCCCACGCTCATTTAAGTTCAAACTCTGGAGTAGGAGGATATGCTTGCTGTGTTGGATCGCAGGGTCGCAAGTGGAGCAGGAGTGGCAGAAGTTGATGGTGGAAGGGCTAGCACGACTTGTGATTCTGTTGCCTGCATCAGAAGCAGCCGCTGCTGGGTTGCAAATTGCTCAGGCCATTGTGGAGCGCATCACTCAGATTATATCGCAAGCGTCCGGTGAGGAACCACCTGGCGGCTCACTTTTTGGACCATCGGCCTGAATGTGCACCATCGCAGTTCTTTCACATTTCATCATTTCAACACTTTCTCAGCGTTTCGGGTGTGTAGAATATGGATGCTTTTGCAGGAGCGCCGTCCTCCGCTGCTGCAGCAGAGCTGGCCGGCCGCCTGAGGCTGCTGGCAGTGCTTCTGCGATATATGGAGACCAGCAGTGACGCGCCAGCGGCAGCCGAGTCTGTGCACCCTGCGATGCCTCTTTTGCAGCTTGCAAATCCGACACTTGAGGCAGTTGCTGGCTGCGCCGCCCTGCAGGCCGATAAGAAAGTCTACAACGCTCTCTGCGATGTACGCATGCATCCAGTGCCTATGCTGTTGCCGCGCTCTCTTCCTGCTATTGCTGCCCCGCTTTTGAAATGCTTAATTGATGCATGCAGTAGACACAATTGGTTGTGATGTGTGGGTGTCTACAGGTGTTCCAACGCATACTGTGGGCGGACAAGGCGCTGGCAGCACCTTTGGTGCCTGGATTGCTGAATGCTGTTGCAGCAGCGTTAGAGACTCATCATTATCCGGCTTGCCTGGACACGTTGAGCATTGCTGTGGCCGAGTATGGCAGCTCTCCTGCGCATGCCACCAGAATAAAGGAAGCATTCTGCCGCGCTTGCAATGCTGTCTCTCCCTTGCTTCTGGTGCGCCCCTTTCTGTGCACCAATGTGCCTCTCCCCTTGGCACCAGCTTGGTTTCATATCTTCACGAAAATGGCATATGTGATCACCTCAAAGACACTGCTGTTGTGCTTTCCTTTCAAAATTAATTGCATTTACGGATAAAGGAAAAGCTGAGTGTGAATTTCTTGCGATCGGCGGCAGGATGGAGCTACAGGCGCAGCAGTGGATGTGAGAACGAGTGTGTATGCGCTGGCTGACCGCTTCCTGCTCCTTTCACCTGAGGAGTTTGCGGCCACCGGCACACTGCTGGCGCTGGGGGAGCACATCCTGCCCACTGTCATGGCCCAGGAGGCCACCGCTGTCCGCGCAGCGCTCTCATTTATCCTGCATGCTGTCTCGCCGCCCTCGCCCAAAGCCCAACAGGTAGGGACTGGTCACAGCTGGTCAGGATCTGAGCAACTCATCGGCAGATTAGTGTTAGGATTTTTTGGACATTCCCGCATGTTTATGTGCAGGTGCTCAGAGGTCAGGTGGAGCAGTGGATGTCCAGATGCGGCGAAGCCCTTGTGCAAGCCCTGCTGTTTGCAGCTTGTGACACATGTCCCCGGCACCTGCTCCGCATGGTGGCAGCACCAATCAGGGCGCTGCTGGAGGACTCAACCTTCAGAGAAGCTGCTCAACGGTGGATTGTGCATGCAGCTTCCCAGCCCGGTCTTCCTGGTACGATCTTGGCCTGAGATCTTTATGCGCATGGAATTTGGATGCCATCTGCCAGGTTAGTTGCTCGCAGGCTCCTGAGGAAAACTATGTTTACAAGGCTGCCTTGTTTCATGCAGGCATTTCAGAAGGAAGGCTCAGCCCAGAAGACTGCCAGGCTTTCCTTCGCTCTGCTACTAGAATACCTGTGCTTCCTGTATTCAGGTTTGGAGCACTGGTTGCAGATTTTGCCAGTGTTGCGCGAGGAGAAGGCACTTCAGACTTGTTGCTTGGGTATGAGCTGTAAATACTGGACCACACCTGAGGCTCAGGGAATAAATGCAGACTTTGGCAAATTCGCTGACAAAACTGCTTTCTATATCCAAGAATGAAGCACCTCATGGATCCATGTAGCATGTCTTTTCTCACCCAACAATACTAATATAAATTCCAAGAATTGAATGGGCACACCCACAAATGTACAGCTATATGCAACCATACAAGCCACGGCTCCGCGATCAATATTATTTTGATGGAAGGCCCTTCACCAACCACCTGATCCATGATCTGACTGGGATTCAACAGACTGTCAGCAAAGAAATTTATTTGTACTCAGGCATTACATTTCATTGGCTTTCACTACTGAACGATGGCCAGTGCCTCAGGGAAAACGTGCTCATGACTTCACATCACTGCTGCTGGTGTTGTGGTGCTTCCTGTGATAAAAAGGATTGATCTTCCCTACAAGACCGGAAGCTGCCTTGTACACTTTCCTCCCTGTTGACCCAGCAATGTACAATGGCTTGAAAGCTTCAACCCAGTGCACGCCATCCTCGCCGTTCTTGGTCTCCAGATGCCACTTTCCCCATGTGCCATCTGCACAAACATTGGATACAGTCAATCAGGTGATGAAAGGCTGAGCACGCATTAAATGAACAAATCAGCCACAATGGCACAGGCATGAAATTACTGGAGTGCCTTACCCAGCATCTGTTCCCTGTAAGCGACCGTGAAGCCTGTATGAATGACGCGATCAGAGATGGCCCACGGCCGCAACCGTGCGACAGAACCGCTGACTGCATCCCAGTGTGCAACAACAAGCACGCTCTCTCCGTCTGCCTCGTCTGCAATTTTCTGCAAATTTCCAGACCATGTTCAGTATCGAGCCAATCTGAGAAGTGCACCCTCTAGTGCCAGCCTCAATAGAACAGCTGCACCCACACATACCTGGAATGCCCGGCTGTAGCGCACTCTGGAGTTCAGCAAGTTTTCAGGGTAGCGGCCAAACTCCTTCTCACCCAGCTTCACCCTTGAACCATATCCTGCATGGCATGCTATGTGTCAGACAGCCATCACGTTATTATGCATCTTGCATTATTCTACAGTCGTCTACAAGAGATGATACAACGTTACAGTAATAGGTACTGATATCTGTGTCTTAAAAAAATGTCTGTGCACCTTTGGGGACCTTGGTCTTCAGAGTATCCTCCATGTTGCCCTTCTCCCAGAACCATGTGTTGATGTGCCCCTCTGGCAGCTTTGCGGGCTTCTTGACGAGGATGCCGGGGTTCAGAAACTGCGAGCGCCACATCAAAATTAATCACTTGCCCAGAGAACCAGCAATTAGGATAGGACCGCTTTGCAGCATGACACCATGCACTCTTACGCTAGCATTCGCACCTCTGACACGGAGCAGGTCACGGTCCACTTCTCTGGGGGGATGCCCAGCCCTTCACAAGCATTTGTAGCTGTCTGCAGGGTCCTGCTCGCCAAGAGTAAATCAGGCATGGAGTACCGCAGCCATAGTGCATGAGGAGAGCATAGGGCATGCGAAGCTAGCAGTCCTCCTACCTCAGGAATGGAGAGATGTACACACGTCCAAAGTCGAACTGCTTAAGTTTGGCAGCAACATCTGAAGCCTGCAAAAATAGACAGTGCTTTCAAAACTGACTCTGACAGAATTTGCATGCGCGTATCTGCTTATCTGAAGTCCAAACGAAAACCGCTTCACACCTGCTTTTCTCCCTTGGGACTTAGTGGGGGGTCCCATGGTCTCTTCGACTGCGCTCTCCAGCTGACATCAATTTCGTCTAAGCGCTCGCCGTGCCTCATGACAACCAAGTACTGGCGCTTTGTCCCTAAATCTGGCCCTGTTTCTTCTTCTTCCACTGCTGCCTCCTCCTGAGCTGCCAGCTGCTCTGGCAGGGGTCTGTTGCAGGTACACACAGCGCCCATTTCAGCCATGCAGAAAATTTGTCACAGGATCAGCTGTACATTCGAGGTACTGTTTGGGGTCGCACCTGAGGTCGGCACCCGGAGCCTCGCCCCCTTTGGATGTGTCTTGTCCTTCAACAGCAGCATTTGCTGTGGCAGCCATTGTGACAGTGACTCCCAAGGCCAGGACGATGGGCAAGCTCCTGCGGGTCACTGCGTGCACGTTGGTCAGGCAGGACGGAACTCGCTGCGGTCCGCGCCACGCAATGGTAGTAACTTTGAATGATCGAGTGAAGGGATTCATGGTCGACTCCTACCAATTTAAAAACTTCTCTTTCAGCTGGACATAAAGGATTGAGTCCTGGCCAGCTGGAAGGTGCCGGGCAGCTTCCCAGGGCTGGGCCAGCAAAGACCATGGACTCGTGAGCTCCTTTATCTCCGTGGGCTTGCAGGTGATTAGATGCCACTCATCGTCGCTGTAGGTAGTCATACGCACCTGGGCTCCAGTGCGTGCAGGCGTGCGCAGTCCTCTCGGCTTGCGCAACCCAGTCAGCAGCCCGTCTTCGGCAATAATAATAAGAGGCAGCACAGCCTTCAGCAGAGGCGCCGCTTACCGACGGTGGTGAGGGCTCAGAAGCTCGGCCAGGGACTGCAAGAACCAGGTAATTCTGCATGTTCCAAGTGTGATCCTAGAACTGCCCCACTTCTTGGCCACAGAACGCCCAATTCCCTGAAAACTCTTTTCCTCGTCACATCTGCCTCGATAAGCAACAGTATGAAGTGTTGGTTGGCATCGTCAAGCAACCTGTGACAACTATGAGCTCCCTGTTGAGCCCGCTTTGTCGTACAGGCACTCTTCCAGAACAAGGATCCCCAGCCTTAGCTTCAATCATGGCCCAAATCAGCAACAGCGGCGACGATGCAAAAGAGATTCTGGGAGAGAAGGGAACTTACGCTATAGATGCCAGCGGACAGACTGGCGAAGTAAGCATTCATTATGTGTCCAGAAAACAGATCAATTGGAAGTGTCATGTCGTCCTGCAACTGCTACTGAAATGCATATGTGAATGAAGGTGATCTACGTTGGAGACAATCTCAATATGGAGGAGGCAGAGGGTGCCCGCTTGACAGATGACTTGATTGTGGGATCACAGATTGCTGGAGGAGCGCAGGTGGGTCAATTTGCACAGTCTGATTTATCGACTGGATTTGTGGGTCAGAAGCTGGCAAGTGCTGGTGAATTGCGAAAGAGCAGCAGTCTATCCCCCCTAACCAGTTTGATGGATCTGCAGGGGGCTATCTATGAACTGAAGGCTCCCGGAGGAAAGGACAGCGGGAAGCTTCTCAAAGTCCTGAAGTTCAAGGCAATTCTCCCAATCACCGGCAACGATATTGGTGAGGAATCCAGCATTATGGTTAGAGTCCATCTGGCATGTTGATGTTTGAAGACATTCATCTTGAAATGGTGTTCTGAGCAGGCTTGAAGAGGGAATGGATTATCGGCCAGCATCTCAACAAGCTGCGAGGCCCTCGCGGTGAACTGGCAGGTATGCTTATCATTCTATTTTGTAATTCACAGCCTCATGTTTACAGCTGTCTAGCCTCAGCAGCTAAGTGGAGCTCTGCTCATGTGCAGGATTCATGGGCACGGGAGCGGCGCTCATCCGGCGCAGTGATGAAGGTCTGGAGGGCCTCATCCTGGAGAAGGTCAACGGGATGCCACTTGAGAAGAGGTGAAGAAATTGTGGAAAATGCCACATTCCTGGAGACTGTCACAACAATAGAGATGTCGGGAAGATTCATTCTCTGACAAAGCTGTATCTTGTCTGCAACAGGCTCCTGAAGGACGAGACATTCGCGGATGCCAACTACATGCTGGAGATGATGTATCAGGTAGGGACGTAGTCATTGTAGCATGTCGCACAGGGTGTTGATTTCATGGTCAATTGGCATTTGCCTACTTGTAGAAGGCTTGCAAAGCAGTATTCTGACCACAACTGGATGATGTGCAGGTTTTCAGTGCTCTGGATCGTGGCAACCGCGAGTTGGGTTATGTCCACAGGTGCGCAGACCTTTCCCAGACCCTGTGCTGCCTATGACAGCATTCTTGCTCACAGATTATGTAATGTTGGCATGCGAGTGACTTTTTATACTGCGGCTGTGCTTCCAGGGACATGCGCATCAGCAACGTTATGGAGCACCGTCCTGACGCCAAACTCATCCTGCCAAAGGGGTACAAAGGCAAGGCGAAGCAGTTCAAGCTGCCAGGTGGGGGCCCTTTCATTTCCAAGCGCTTTCCAGGAAAATTGGCCCAAGCTTGCAGTTGCCCTGAGCAGCGCTCGAATGAGTGAACCTATAACCAATGTTTTGGGTGCTGAACAGGTGACAAGAGGCCTGCGGTGCTGAAATTTGCAATCATTGACAATGGTACGAGCTCATTACCTTCCATGATCTGATCAGTACTGAAAGAAAGCAATTGTACTGTACTGCATCTGTCTTTCAGCTGCTGAGCATCTGTTATTTTCCACTTGAGCAGGCCATGCGCGCCTGCTTGGCTCAAAGGTTCCATCAAAGCTGCCGGAAGTCCCAGTGCTGGAGAAGATGTACCGAAGGTGAACTGCAGCCACCAAGCTAGTATTGTCTGCTTCAAGCTAAATTGGTGTTGCAACACCTGATGAGCTTTGCATCTGACTGATGTGCTTCCCCGACGCTGAAAAACAGGTGGTTCTCTGGCAAGAGTGATGTGTGGCGCTTGTGCCAAGATGTGGCGGACTGCATGGATGGCCGCACCTGGCCTGCCAAGGACAAGCAGAAGGTCAGAATTTTTCATGGTTCTTGTCAACAAATTTGGTGAATTTATTTCAGGTTCTACTGTAGGGGGCATGGGCATGGTGTATTCTATACCGTAGACGGTGTACTCTTGTGTGAGCTGTAGTGGCTTTCATTCTCAGGTGGACGCCATTGTGGGACTTGTGAAAGACGTGTGTGGTGCCCACATCTACACCTTCTTCGACGACGCTGCCAAGGGCCCCGCGAAGAGCCGTGGAGTACTGGGGAGGATGAAGCGATTCCTCACCCTGTGGCAGCACTCTGGCAAGCCTGGGCACATGTTGCGCCGGTACTTCATCAGGTGCGCATAAGAGTTGAAGTATGATCCCCTGTGTTTGCAAGGCCTCTCCTAGCTGCACGCCTGTAAATCGGCAGTGACTGGTGTCTTATATGCTTCCCTGTGCTAGGTTACATTTGCCTGAAGCTTGACCTTTGCAGGACCCGGGTGTGGTTGTTCCCCCGCAAGACTCGGTACACTGCAGCCGAGGCTCTTGACTACCTGCACAAGCAAAAGGTGCTGCCCGAAGGCGAGAAGCTTGTTGGAGCCGATTCAGCCTGATAGAAGGTGCCAACTTCAAAGCAACGTGCTAATCGGCTGTTGCAGAAAGGAGGGGGGATGGGTGTTTTTGTCCAGCTGTTCTGAGCAGTGTTTTAATCATCAGGAAAGCTGTCGCCAGGCACCGGCGTAGATGCGGTTGCTCAAAATCAGGAGGGAAAATCTTCCTGGGTCCTTGAAGTATGACTCCAATTCTGTCTTAGGACACGCACGGATAGCAGGAAAGTATTGCACTCAAATTCGCAGGCCCAAATGTGTCCTAATTGCCGGGATTGTGTGAGAACTGTCATGGGCATGATGATGTGAGCTGTGACTTACAGATAAACCCTATATGAGTTTGTCGGCTTAGGAGTACTGTGGCCTTCTGCTACCACGTCTAGTGCTGTTCAGATGTGGCCCAGTGTGCAAGACTCCAGCAGCTAGACGTTAATAGAGCATGTCAGAGGCTATCCTGTCAATTGGCTGAAAGGATCCCACGGCTTGTTTTCTTTGAGGAGTTGACCCATATAAATGCGCTTTTCTGACAAGCTCACTCCCGCACGTCACCCAGTGTCTAAAAGCCTTGTAAGTCTTGCATTCTTGGTATTCCTGCAACCTTGGTATTAAAAACAATAGCAGGATGAAGAGCACTATCCCGCAATAGCTCACATTGCTTGGATTAAGCTGAGCTGCTGCACTGCAAGTGCGCACTGCTGGCGGCAATTTGATATTAATCAAATCAGCGCTGCAGCCCACTATTGACATGTCTTATCGTATTTGTCTCATCACATGCCTTCTCATAAAGATTCCTCTGGTGCCTAGGTTCATCTTTCCCAACAACTACTAGCAGCATACCATCTTCTCTCATTTCTGAAGTTCAAGTTAAGCTTGGGTGGTGACGAGGGTATGAAGCTGCATGCATGGGGCAGCTGAGGTGAAGTTCCCCTGCCATTGCCCCTGAACTCGATCTGCTGTTACTCTCACATCCTGTTTCTCTACCGACAAATTTGGTCCACTGGTCTACATACTGATGCAAATTCTGATGCAAGTTGTTTTTATAATGCAAAGTCATTTTCTCGTACACCTTGAATAGGGCATCAAGTCACCACAAAGCGACTTCACGAGCCGACGCTTTTGCGCCTAGCAGCCAAGACATATCACGAAGATAGTTCTTATTTCGGATACAAATGTAGGACACGCAGTTGTGCAGGGCAGGTATGCTCACCTAGAAGACGCAATCAACAGTAATATATAAGCTCTTACCTTATACAGAATGACTGACACACATCTCTTGCCTTGGGGAAGGGATTATGTGTTGCGAGACGGGGGAACACCTTTGAGAAAATCAGCAGGCTCCATCAATGTTTCCCGAGAATAGAGGCTTGCTCAACTACTTCAGAAAACAGCCTGACCCAAAGGTATGACAATCATGGCACCTTACGGGTTGCGTGGTCAGCGTATCCATGGTCTGCTTTTGTAATGTGTTCGTGCAGATATCCTTGCCTGCTTGCAGGAGCTGGTGCGGAAGTGGCAGGCAGATATTCGTGCCCAGCAGCGTGCTTTGGACCGCCAGATACGAGACATTGAAAGGGACCGGAAGCTTGCAGAGAAGCAGGTGAAGGATGCGGCAAAGCGGGGCGACATACAGTCAGCAAAGACCTTGGCAAAGGAAATTGTCCACACCAAAAAGGTGAGGCTGTAAATGAAAGCCTGGAGCTCTATGGTCGCATAGCGTGAGACGCATTCTCATGACCAAAATTACCATTGGATGTGCAGGCCATTTCACGACTGTACGTCAACAAGGCACACTTCATCTCCATGAATTCTCAGCTTACAGAGCAGCTGGGGCTGGCTAAAGTGGCTGGCACGTTGTCCAAGAGCACAGAGATCATGAAGATAGTGAACGACTTGATGAAGGCCCCCCAGCTCATGCAAACAATGCAGCAAATGTCAAAGGAGATGATGAAGGTGAGCGACTGTGAACCCCCTGATGTGACTGACACATAGCATGACCGAGTCTTCAGAAGTGCGATAGCTGAAAGCATTAATATTAATGGTATTCTTGACGCTCAGGCTGGCATCCTCGACGAGATGATGAGTGACATGATGGACTCAACCATGGACGAGGATATTGAGGAGGAGACAGAAGAGGAGGTTGATAAGGTAGGCAGCGCCATGCTCCCAGTCATCACTCAGAGTCTTCTGCAAGCCCCGGAAACAAATCACCAATTGAACAAATGTTGCCGGTTCTTCTATGGAACATATGGATCCAGCTGGTATGTCTGCTGGCCAAGAAGTACACATCAGCTCAGACCTACTTCATTGCGGTGCCCCATTCTCTATCTACGCCACCCCCGCAGGTTCTCATGGAGATCGCTGGAGAAACATTGGAACAGCTGGCAGGTTCTGCGGCGCCCAGACAAAAGCAGAAAGTCAAGGTCACACAGGCAGCGGAGGTCGCTCCGGAGGAGGATGAAGCGTTGCAAGCCCGACTTGATGCTGTGCGGAGCTGACATTGGCATTGAGCGGTGGCATCAGGATGCTTGGCCAACACAACGACAACGACGGGGGACTTGTTGTTGATGGAGAAAGGGTATACACAAGCTGACAATGGACGAGACAACTGGTCAGTAAGTTGAACTGCCGTGACCTCATAGCGGTCAAATGTTCTGGGAGAAACTTATGTTAACTTGCAACAAGATTAAACATTTTGCTGGCATCTATTTCTTGTTCCAGCCCCTGCTCATAAGTCCACAGGGACTTTGCTGGGGCTCCAGGATACAGCACCCTATTTGATTCAACAAGGTTTTCAATGAAGAATTCTCACTGAACACGAGCATGTGCATAACATTCATTGCATAGCTGCGATTGAACACTTCTCCTTGGCAAATTGCTGTTCACACATGAAGTTAGGTTTCAAACAAGAGTATTTGCAATATTCCAGAATATATTCTAAGCACTTCATGGGTAATACCATCTCTGTCAGGACCTAAATACCGTAGAGAATTCACACTACACTCTACTGAATTCACTTATACTATAAATTATCCCTGCTGGCCTTGTTTGGAGTGACGGACTCCTCTGGGCTGCCCAATGCCCTCATCTCCTGCTCTAGCTCTTCTGTCCTATCATCATGATGCCCAAGGCCAGTGATGTCCTCTGCATCTGTAGCTGCTGAAGCACTTGCTGCAACTGGGGGCTGAGCTACTGGTTGGCCTGTTCGCTGCGTAGCTGACAGACCTGCTGCTGTCCTGGCGTCCACGTTAGCGCTGTGGCCACCTAGTTTCTGGCCGCTTCGCTGTGCAGTGACTGCCATGATGTCTGAGGGGTCTACAAAGCTGCCGTCATTGGTGAAGGCTGCAGCAGACTCGCCAAACAATGTCCGAGCAGATGTCCAGTCAAATGACTTTGCCTCCCGCAGCAGCTGCACACATCAACACACGCAATGAAAGGCCTTCATCCAAGGAATTACACCTGCATGTACAGGTTGATGCACAGGCAATTGAATCGCAGCAGAGGGCATCCACACCTGGGAATTCAGCTCCTTGAAGTTGTGGTCGTGCTCACCCCAGACCATGTGGGCCAACTCATGGATCAAAGTCTCCCGTATCCGATCATAGCGCCGGAAGCCTTTCAGATCATCCGTGCGCAGGCGCAGAGAGATTTCCTGCCCTGAACAATAAAACGGAACGAGGCAATTTAAGTCAGATGCAAACCACTACAAGCAGACCACGATTTCTCTCATTTGAGAACAAGCTTGTTATAAAAGAGGCCAGAAAGCTGACGATCCCAGCCATCTGACAATGGTGGCGAATACACAAAGCTTTTGCAGATATATTGTCGCACCGCTGTTAATGTTGACGCCAAGGATGCACACTGGGGATACTCCAACCTTGCCGGTTGGTGGCATCTCAGTTAGTGCGCCAACAGTGTACCTATGCTTGGCCATGACTCCGATAATGCCCTTGTCAGCTGCAAGGCGGTGCAGCAACTTCAGGGCGTTGCTTGGTGCAGGTTGCAACCCAGGCCTATTCCATGACTCGTAACGCTGGAAAGTGTAAGGCCCTGCGAATTCAACATTCCTCAGCACAGAGCAGACAGTGTGTATGACATACACAGACACTCCTAGTCGCAAGCTGAATGATACAGGAGATCCCAGCCTTGCACACCAGAAGGCAGTGTGCTGGATGAGGGCTGATTCTGCCGCCTTCGCATCACGGAGAGCAGCTCATCATCAAAGCCGCGGATGCGCTGATCGGGTATTGCCTGAAGCTGGGCAATCTCTTCAGATGAGGCTTTTGGAAATACCAGTATCTTGCTTCCTGCATGTATTCCTGCGTATATGCACCCGACAGAAAAAAATCAGTTTTGTTCTATGCCTCAAAGAGCCATTCATTCCACGTGCAGGTATTGAACTACCTACTCACACCCAACAAACCAGGTCTGCTATTGGAGTCTACCGCATTGTCACACCTGCAGCTTCGACAGGTTGATCAGGTGATGCAGAAGGGATTAATTGACGGCCCCCGACCACGATCTTCTGCAGATCTGGATCGAGATGCAACTCGGAAGCTAACAGCTGTGCAAGATCCTGGAGGGTGGTTACACTCTGCGTCCAGGGCAGGCTGTGCTTGCGGCCTTTATAAGTCACTTGGAGCGCCATTTTCTCGTTTACACGGCTCATATTTGACCTCTTGCCAAGACAATCGAGCTCGAAGTCTCGGGAATGCCGTAATACACTGCACGTGCGCGAAGCATGCAAAGCATGTTTCGAGAACAGGTACTGATTTGCCTGCAGGAGCAAGCAAATTGTTCAAGAGAAATTCTGCTTAGATCTACTCTTATGATTAGCTAGGAGACGCTTGAGCATCATGCACGATCTGAAACACTGGTGCTCCGCCAAGGCAGAATTTCAGGCCTTGCACGATTTCTTCGATTGTTGTGAGGATCAGAACAGTGACGTTTTGATCGACGGATTGTTTTGCAACGATTCAAGGAAGGTAAGTACCTCTGGGGCTTCTCTGTCATTGCAGCAGGCACCCACTAACGATTACAGGAAAGCATCTAGCTCAATAAATTTCTGATTTGCTTCACGATTGTGCTGCGTGCAGGATCTCCTTTGCCTGTTGTTTCGATGTCTGAGTTTCAAAACACAGGACCCCAAATCATCAGACACTGCACGCTCTTTGCGACTTGCTGCAGTGCAGAGAGGGCTCCAGCACCTGGCAAGACGCAGCCCACCTGATGCAGATGACATCACGGCTCTCCTGCAGAACAATCTGACCGAATTGATGCCGTATGAGGCTCAAGACACAGTACAAAAAATTCTGCAAGCCTTTGAATCTGGAGCAGTCTGCTGCCTTCAGCTCCTGCCTGTCCTTCTCAACTCCATGGGAGACTCCAGCACTGCACAATCAAAAGGTATGATCTATTCGTGTGGGTGTGCCTGGTGGCATTGACGACACTGTCAGCAACTCTCAATGGTGAAGTGCATTCATGCAGGATCAGATAGATCAGACAGTAGTACTTCCAGCTGCATAGATCACATTGTGCGGGTGGGATGGCAGCCTAAAGATACTGCTCGAGTGGTCAGCATACTTCGAGACATCAGCAGCTTGTACGTGCTGACTCAAATTGTTGCTCATCCAAAGTGATATCAACGGTACCTGCCAGAGCGGTGCATGTTATGATTCCTATCTGTGCTGCAGGGGAAAGCCACAGAAGATCTTGCTTATGCGTCGTGCATTGAAAGCTGCTTCAGAGGGGGACGTTCAGGATGTGCCCAGCGCTGCACATCAAATCCTGCTCTTGGGCTGTCAGGATCTTCCTGCAGAGACCCTGCAGGTATGAGGTCATGCTTGTACAATGAGAAATGCTCAGACGCTAGTGTCCCAACATGATGACATTACTATGGTTTTGGTAATGGATCTCTCACCTGGTTCTCTTACCTGTCCTGGCAGGGTCTCATAGAGCTCATTCAAAAGCAGGAGACAAGGTGCTCAGGGAATGAGCCAATGATGCGGCAGCTGCTGCAAGTGGCAGGCACCGTCCTCTTGGACATCGAGATAACAGTGAAGCTGGTCACGCAGAGCAAGGTGAACATGCGTCTCTTGGGCACCAAGAAGCTCCAATTGAAAAAGTTGCTATCTCAACACCAAAGACAATCAATTAATATGGTTGCCATGTGAGTAGATCTGATTGCTGGCAGGCATGGGTGACCAATTTGAGACCCCAAGGGTCCTTAACGCCATTCTCAGTGGCTGTTATTCTCACGCTGGCATCAGTACCTCGCCTGCAGCAGGCAGCCTGGGACAACCTCAAGGTACGCCACTGTCAAGCACCCCTTATCATCCAAACGAGAAGGCGTTTCAACTACCATGGGATGCTAGAGCCGATTTGTGGGTGTTCCTGATGGCGCAGGGCACAGTGCTGAAAGCTCTACAAGAAGCTGAGCACCGCCACATGTCCCGATGGATGTCTGCGCTGCCAAGCTTGCCCCACACAGGTGCAGCATCAATACAGGCCTGCACAATCAGGGCGCTTGAGAATTGCGCCATGGGCTGGACCATCATTGTGCAACCAGCAATGACTCTGGCTTTTGAGTTGCTCGATGGCGCTGCAAAAAGAAACAGCGGCTTCAGCACATCTTTGCTAGGTAACCTGCTTGTTGCTATGTGTCCTCAAGGGAGTCTGTTGCAATTGTGTGCATGCCAACATTGTTTTTGGGGTACATTTGTCCAAAGAAGGATTCACGGTTGCAGGGGATGCTGATTCTTCAACGGCTACAGCAAGGGCGGCGCATATGGGAGTGCAAATACTGATGAGCGTCTTCAAAAGCCATGCACCAGCGCGGCCTGTGATCCTCAACCATTGCCTGGCCAGGCTGACAGGCTCAAAAGAGGATCAGTGTCTGCCATACCTGTGCCTCCTAGCTCTTCTTATGCGGGAGCAGGGGGCTCTGGTCCTGAATCAAATGTCATGTGTTAAGGTGCGAGCCCCCCGTTACATATGGCCCAGATCTGCATTGTCGAGCGCTGGTGACGTTTTTGGGTGGCAGAGAATTCTTGGAGGGGTTGGGTGCAGGCACTGGTGGACCTGATCCCGTTCTTGGAGGTGAATCTGGCGCTTGGGCTCATGCTCGCCATTTGGCCTTTGTGCTCTGAGCAGAGGGCTGTCAAGGAGCAGCTCATAATGTGCCTGCGCAAGGCAATGTTCCGACCAGATGTGGGCGCCCGCCTCCTAGCAGTGCGCGGGTTCCTGTTCCTGGTGCTCCAAGAGCTGAGGGCGCCTGATGCCATGCCCTATGACAAAATTGCTGCCTCCTCATCCCAGGTGTGCCCCCGTGATTCACTCAATTTTGTGCATCTTCACAACAGGCTACAGTCGCGTTACATGATGGCAAAACGTTGTTTTGAATGACAGGTGTCCCTCAGTCAGTGCGACTCATTGTCAGCCGCTGGTTCTGGTGCAAGCCTCCTCCAAGAATTGACGGGTTTCTTGAGGCGATCACTCACACACCAGGCCCCGGTCCGTGAAGCCCTGTATCTGGTATGTTTCAACCTAAATTGGATCTCACTATGTCTTTGCTTTGCTCCTGAGAGAAGACATGAACAATATGAGGTGTCCTGGAACGCTATGTTGGTGTGTTGAAGTGCAATATGTGCTGAAACTGTCATATGAGCAGGGCATGCAGGAGATCGTCAGTGCAGATCCACTCGTACATGATTCTCTTGTGGAATTGCTGCTTCCTCGGATGTGCCACTACTTTGAGACAGACCAAAGCGCGCAGCCAATTATCCTCGACAGATGCGCAAGTCTGCAGGTGGGTAAGGACAAAATAAATCTTTTCACCTTTCATATTGGTGAGCTTCCCCTGATGCGGTTTTAACATCATGAATGCCGTTGCAGAAAGGAGAAGCGCGCTTGAATGAGCCTTTTGGGGTGCTGCTCTTAGCTGTGCGGGCAGCAATTATGGCTGGCCACTCAGACATCAAATCTGCATATTTGGCTGGCAGTGGCGTGCTTGATGGCATCAACAGGGATGTCCAGGAAACCGATGCTCCTCAGGCACGTCTGCAAATGCACCACTGGCATCGGCTGTCATTGGCACTTACTTGTTCCGATATTCAAGCAATGCCTCTGTTGGACACATGTGTCTGCTCCTCGTTTGTTATCAGCCATGGAGGTATCAAGGCAAAAATGGCTCTCTATTGTCCTGACAAGTGATGAAAATTGCAGGCACTGCAGGCTGTCTACAGTGACATTGCTTCACGCCTTCTGAGCAGCAACCTGGAGAATTGGGGCCTGGATAGCTCCACAGATCTTTCAGCAGGAACAGCAGAGGTGCATACCGTTCCTGCATGCAGACTTGATACCTTTAGACTGTGAAGTGACAAATCCTGAGCGTGTGTACCAATTGCAGGGCCTCCTCAATCACGCCATGGCTGGTGTTCTGCTTGGCAGCATTGAAGTCTACATGGAAGACATTATCAGTGGAGCAGGTGCGTGTGCAGTGCATTGGCCCATGCTTAGGATGGATGCAAGGTACAGAAATATCAAGTAGCTTTTTGTGCAGTGTCTGGAGGAGTGGGCCTGGGCCAAGCGGGCGAGCAGCTCACATCTCTATTTTCCTTTCATCAAAGACTCTGTCATTTGGCAACAGCGCAAGCAAAGAAGAAGAGCCCTGGAGCGGTGGGGCAGGCAAAGGTCAGTCTTGCTTTTGTCTGCAGAAGCCAAACGAAACCAAATCAGAAGTGCTGTGTCTGTCGTGTGCACACCTGACGATGAAGCCGTGATGTCCATCATCCGTGTGCAAAACAGGGAAAGAAGCGAGCTCGGTCTGGGAATGATTCAACTTCCAATGTGCCAGCTGTTGTGCCCATCACAGATCGACAGCCTGTATTCAGCGCCACCTGCCTCTTTCACCTCCTGCACATGGTGTCAGAGGATGGATGCCTCTTTTACCCTGAAGTGAGCGCCCACTATTCAGTCATCCCTGGAGTCCCTATTGGAATTGATATGTGTGGCAAACTGAGTGGAGCAGTGAGTGGAGCACATTTGCTCATACCTGCCATTTCCTAAATTGCGTATTGCTTGCAGGGGGGACCTGAGGCTGATGTGCAGGATGATACGGACACAGAGAGCTTGACCAGCTTGGCAAGGGATGCCAATTTCCAGGCATTTGTTCTTCAAAGCTGCTTGCTCTACCTGTGTTCCTGCAAAGGACAGCTGCCGCTGCTTGCCATCATAGCAGGTATACATCCTGCTAGTGACTGAACGTCTAACGACTTTCCATCTATCCTCTGACGAAAGTACTAAAGGCAGCAGTTGTGCTATCAATGCAGCATTGCCTGGTTAATCTGAATTGCTGAGTTGTACACTTCCAGGAACAGGAGGTGTTGAGGAGAGCAGGATATTGCATGCGCTCATTGGGGGAAGTGACTGGCACATGATGGGTACGAAATTCCTCCTGTAATTGCAAGACCTTGTCTTGGAGTCATTTCACTCTGCACATGTGTGACAGGTTGAAGGCGTTGTGCCTACATTGTGAATGATGTTCTTTGTGGTCATCAGGTGCGCAGCTGGTGAAGACTTGCCAGATGATTGTGCTTGCAAGCACGAAGAATGCCTCACGCACTCCGGGCAGCAAGAGGAAGGAGCACGATCCTGCTGGGGACCTCCCTCTCCTGGCTGTGAAATCAATGGCAGCCTTGCTGCACCTGTGCCCCAACGCTCTCAGCCTGCAGAAGTGCATGGCATCTTTGCCGCCAGCAGCAGACAATGGACCCACACCAGGTATGGAGAAAGACTTCTGGTTCGGACATTTGCTAAAAGTTACTGCATGTGAGGGACTCCAAGAACAGCAGAGCTACCTATATTAGAAATACATGGGCCCTCCTTGGCACTGTTTTTGAGAGAATGTGTTGTGCTGTGACCAGATGATTCTGTCGTGGGGGACGTTGAGTCACGCCTGCACCACCTGCAGCAACTGCTGTTGCGCCTCGTGGAAAATTGTTACTTTAAGGAGGTGGAGATCTTCTGTGGTGTACTGGGTCACATTGCCAGCATTCTGCCCAAGCAGACCACTGCCAGATTTTCAGACTGGGCAGTGGAGTGCTGCAAGCAAGAGGAGGTACAGGCATGGAGGCTGTCATAGTGCCCTTCTACTCACAGACTTCACTGACGGGAGCTTGTCCATTTTGGCCATTCACCGCTGCATGTTGCTGTTCTTCAGCTGAATCAGTGGTCTTTATGTGCAGGAAATGCAGCCACGTGCAATGAAGGCCCTCGTGGGCTTGCTGGTGAATTGTGCCGGTAAGAAGAACCCAAGCGCCCAATTGGAAAAGTGATTAGTGTTGTGTTCAATTCTTCTTCGGCATATTTCTCCTCCTGTCAGCAATTCAATCGGCGGTAAAACGCCAGCTTCATTGCTATACAGGGGGCCTAGACCTTACAGCAGCACAGCTCGTGGCAGATTCTGTTGTCATAGAGCTGGGAACAGAGAGTGACAGTCCACCTCCCCAGAATTTAGCGGTGTGTTGTCTGTCTTACCACATCAGTCTGCAACAGGGCGTGACATTGTTAATGATCTCAGTTGATTTGAATTTTCCTTGTGCCAACCCTATGTGACCATGCAGGCGATGACCAAGGCTACCGTGTCATCTGCTGCATTTGCTCTGCTGTCCTACTTGGAGAGCAATCTGCAAGATCTGGAGTGGCTGGTCAGCACCTTGAGGAGCAGCCAAGGTGAGCCAGGTCAAAGGAACTTCTTCTCGCTGTGTCTTCTTGCAAATTATACAAACTCAGTATTCAAATTTATTGCATGCAGGCATAAGCACTGCCGGCACTTGCACAGGTGGGCGGGCTTGTCTCCTGACACCCTGACATTTTCATGCGGATGCTCTACACTTCATTGACTAGTTGTGGTAGCTGGGATGAAGATGATGAGCGCAGTGTGTTATGCAGAGCTTGAGGAGGCAACTTTTATTCGCCAACGTGGAGTCATTGAACTGACTGCAAAACTGTTGGAGGTCTCATCAGTTGGTAATCTTGGCGGCGGTCTGCTGCGCCTGGTGCTGCTGACTTACAAGGTCTTGACAGCTGCTGCTAAGCTGCACATTGTGGGGAAGGGTGAGCAGTTCTCCATGCCCAGCATCTGCTGACTTTCTGAGCAATGCTAACACTGTCTCTTGACTGATCAGGGGACATTTCAATAAAAGTAACGAGTTTCTTGCACAGCTTTAGCAGACCACAAGCACATGGTATATGTGGCATGCAGGAAAGACGCGTTCTGCACCATGCCAAGCATTCCAGGACATGGTGACACTTGGTGGGTCTTCACGGATGTCCAGGCTCTTCATCTACACTTCATGTGTTTTTCTGGTTGTTGGACATGTTGGAGTGCTAAGGGATCTTCTTGTCTGCCCTGCAGTCCTCAAACAATTGACTCCTGCAGTTTATGAGTTTGTCACCACCGTCCAGCAACAGCCTCTGGAGAACGGTGCAGATGGCAGCACAGAAGCAGCAGGAAGCCTGAAGAACGAGGAGCGCATCATTCCAGACATCATCTTCAATCTGGAGGACTTTGAGAAGCACCTTATCCAGATCTCTTGCTATGGCAAGTTCCCTTCCCACCAGCCACACACTCTTGATGGACTGTTGCAATTTGAGATCTCTAAGGTGCATGAGAGTCTGCTGTTGAGGGGTTCCTGAAGTATTGGAACATGTGCAGGTCATCTCAATCTGATGCGCTTTGCAAAGCGCAGCACCAACCGAGATTGGCGAACAGTGACCAGGCCGCAATCAGTCCCTAGAGAAAACCAGGTCTGCCTGTCTAATTAATACATGTCCTCTTGCTTATGCAAGCTGGCTTTTCAGCTTGCCCGCTTCTCTTCCTTCATGTGCACCAATATGTTGTTATAGTTGAATTGAGCGATACAATGTCCCTGATGCATGAACACACTGACTGCAGGCAGTAATTGCTAACACCAGAGCCTGAGCAAGCCTCTTGAGCGACCTGAGCAGGCTGGGCACCGGCATCACAAGAAACCCGTCATCCTCAAGAGCCCACGCTTCAGTCAGGTCTTGAATGATATTGAATGTACACGAGTGAGGAACTCTACGACTGAGAAATTCTTATAGTTCTTATGTGATATATGGACAAACTGTTGTCTCAAGTAGTTGCATGCTTGCCATTCTCGTGAGTGCATAGAAAGACTTGCGCATTGTTTACGCACAAAGTATGTGTGGGTGACGTCAGAGCAGCGGATCAAGTCCCGGAAGGCTGCAAAGAAGTGGAAACTGCTTGGGTTTGCTTGAGACTGATGAATGCTGGTGCGGAGAAGCCACTGTTGGTTCCTCCAATGTCTGCTTAATTGTAATGGTCCATAGAGCTTACCTCCTCACCTGGCCATAGAGCTTACGGTTGCTGTGAAATGAACAAGACGACATTGGGTCGAAGTCTAGGTTACCTTTGTGTAAGCATCCTCAAAATCTTTGGTTTGACAAAGTCACTGTTTGAGCGCACCGCTTGATTGAGGCATTGCAAGCATTGCAAGAGTCTAGGATGTCAGCAAAATGTGTTCGATGTCGCGTCCACGAGTGTCAATACTTCTTGTTGCCTTCGCCTGGCGTAAGGGCTTTGTTTCATTTAAACTCCCTTACATGATTTTTTTTTTTTTTTTTTTTTTTTTTTAAGGGGGAGCCCCCGCTATTACATAGGTGCCAATCGCACGCTTCCCAGCACGCATGCAATAGGATATTTGGGGAAACCTGTGAGAGTTGGGGCACGCAGAGCACTCCCGCAGGAGGATAAGGCGATACCGAAGAGAAGCGCAAGCATGAAGGCATACCACAGAAAGGCAACAGAAAGGCGCCTAGCGATGGACATGTCCCAAGCACCAGAGGGTAACCTCATCCCCAGAGGCGCACTCCAGCCCGCCGGCAACGCAACACCGCTGAGGTGACGTTGGAGGACCCACGGGGCAAGCCTAGGGCTTGCAGCTGGAGGCAGGGGTCACAGCAAAGCAGGCAATCATCAATCACTGGTAGGCAGTTATGGATGTGCGGGCAACCAGTGGTGGAACAGACATGAAAGGCACGTTTATATGGTTGGCCGACAGGGATAGAACAGGATCGCGTTCGGACCCATTACCACTAGGGGCCGCTCGGGGCTGGCAATGTGACCCTAAACTATGCCTCAATCTGCCAGCAAGGTGGGGCACAAGCAAACGGTGGCATATGGGAGATACGAAGCCGCAAATGAGGCGAAAAACAGGTAGGCTGGCGAGAACTCGACCAGATACACACACCCACCACATCGGAGGCGGGGATAGGCAGGAGGCATCATGTCCAAGGTCCTAGACACCCGCTCAGGTTCAAGGGTGGATACTGGGGTTGGATGATCTTAGGGTTCTCAGCTGCAAGCTATAGAACCACAGATCTGGGATTGCCTGGAGTGGCTGGCAGGGCACACTCACTTCTCCGCCAGCGCAGCGATCGCAGAGTCGCAGCGATCCGCCTGCTGCATAGCGAAGCACCGCTTTGATGCAGTCTAGAGACTCCCCAGCAGCCAGAAATCTCAGGATTCTCAGCTGCAAGCTGTAGAATCACAGTCCAGAGTATGTCCCGTTTGAATTCGTGTTTTGGCCTCTGCCTAATAGCTCCAGGTAGAGGGACGCTGCTGCAGACAGGCGTCATGTTGTCTAGGGCAGATGGTGCTTGGGTCCTGGTCAGGGCCGCCTAGCAATGAACATGTCCCAAGCACCAGGTGGGGATAGGCAGGAGGCATGATCGTTCAAAATCCAAGATACCTGCTCGGGTGGTGCACATGAGACAACTGCCGAGGAGGCAACCGAAATCTCCTTAGGCAAAGGGCCACGGATGACGATGATGCAACGGCCATGGTCGAGAAAATGGCTGAAATTTTTGGTGGAACAATCGGAAAGGCCTGGTGAGGCTCAAGGTGAAGCATGCGAAGGTGGAACAGCAAGAACTGACTGCCTAGAGCCCTGGGCATGGTGGTATGGGCTTCTGCGTACTGGCGACGGCGCTCCGGCGATCCGGTGTTGATCTCCACTGGTAGCGGGGCCCACGATTGAGCCGGCTGGCCGAGGGATAGCCATGGTGTGAGCAGGGTTGGTGAGGGGCGAGGCCACCAACACTGGGGGGCGAGGCCAGTGTCCCGGGGGTGGAGGAGGGTGCACCCCAGGGACCGTGCAGAGCTGAGCTCGGCGGGTCCCTCGAACGGTGGTACCGCGTGCTTGAGGCCCCATTCCGCGCTGGCAAATGGTGTATGCGCAAGGAGGTCCGTTGCGGCAATCTGTGACCCCAGGGCTCTAAGGAAAACATACGGGCTGACCCGGGGTGGAATTGCAGGAGCGAAAGCGGTCATCCGTGCCTGATACAACCCAAGGGGCCCTTAGCGCCCAGATGTCCATTGAACCTGGCAAAAAACTGTGGTGGTGACCAAAGTATGAGAAGAAACGAGCGGGCGTCATGGCAAAAGGCCAGGAGAGCATGGTCACACAGAGTGCCTGTTTGAGGCCAAGGCAGGGTGGCGCTTCCAGCGTGACGCTTCCGATCCACCATTCACTGTACCCAGCCGGCCACGGCTCTAACTTGGCTATCTGTATGACCATGCTCTCATTTGGCCTTCTGCCATGACACCCGCTCGTGTCGATTCTTTTTTTTTTTTTTTTTTTTAAAAGGGGAAGCCCCCGCTATTACACAGGTGCCAGTCGCACGCTTCCCAGCACGCATGCAATAGGATATTTGGGGAAACCTATCAGAGTTGGGGCACGCAGAGCACTCCCGCAGGAGGATAATGCGATACTGAAGAGAAGCGCAAGCATGAAGGCATACCACAGAAAGGCAACAGAAAGGCTCCTAGCGATGGACATGTCCCAAGCACCAGAGGGTAACCTCATCCCCAGAGGCGCACTCCAGCCCGCCGGCAACGCAACACCGCTGAGGTGACGTTGGAGGACCCACGGGGCAAGCCTAGGGCTTGCAGCTGGAGGCAGGGGTCACAGCAAAGCAGGCAATCATCAATCACTGGCAGGCAATTATTTTTTTATTTTTTTTTTTAAAGGGGGAGCCCCCGCTATTACATAGGTGCCAATCGCACGCTTCCCAGCACGCATGCAATAGGATATTTGGGGAAACCTGTCAGAGTTGGGGCACGCAGAGCACTCCCGCAGGAGGATAATGCGATACCTAAGAAAAGCGCAAGCATGAAGGCATACCACAGAAAGGCAACAGAAAGGCTCCTAGCGATGGACATGTCCCAAGCACCAGAGGGCAACCTCATCCCCAGAGGCGCGCTCCAGCCCGCCGGCAACGCAACACCGCTGAGGTGACGTTGGAGGACCCACGGGGCAAGCCTAGGGCTTGCAGCTGGAGGCAGGGGTCACAGCAAAGAAGGCAATCATCAATCACTGGCAGGCAATTATGGATGTGCGGGCAACCAGTGGTGGAACAGACATGAAAGGCACGTTGATACGGTTGGCCGACAGGGATAGAACAGGATCGCGTTCGGACCCATTACCACTAGGGGCCGCTCGGGGCTGGCAATGTGACCCTAAACTATGCCTCAATCTGTCAGCAAGGTGGGGCACAAGCAAACGGTGGCATATGGGAGATATGAAGCCGCAAATGAGGCGAAAAACAGGTAGGCTGGCGAGAACTCGACCAGATACACACACCCACCACATCGGAGGCGGGGATAGGCAGGAGGCATCATGTCCAAGGTCCTAGACACCCGCTCAGGTTCAAGGGTGGATACTGGGGTTGGAAACCCTAAACCCTTCAGATAGCCTTCAATGAACTACTGTGAATGGTGAGGAGGACAGACACTAAGGCAAAAGGCCACGGATGACATGAAGGTTGGAAGGTAGGGCGGGCATGCTGGCGCAGTTCGGGTTAGCCACGGGGATTGTTGGGGCTGCTGGTGAGACAGAAACATCGGAGGATCACTGGAAAACTATTGATAGCCTAAAGCCCTGGGCAGGGTGGTCTTCTGTAAGCTTGCGCCAACGCTCTGGCTCTCCGGCACGGTACTCCACAGGTAGCGGGGCGCACGATGGATCCGTCTGGCCGAGGGATACCCAAGGGGTGAGCCGCGCAAACACGTCCGGTGGTGGGCGAGGCCACCGGCACTGGGTGGCGAGGCCAGTGCCCCAGGGGTGAAGGAGGCACCCCCGGGGCCGTGTTGGGCCGAGCTCGACAGGTCCCTCGACCAGTGGAAGCACGTGACTCGGAGCCCCATTCCGCGCTGGCAAAGGTTAAAAGTAGGAGAGGCGCAAAGCGTCTGGTAGGCAATCTGTGGTCCCAGGGCTCTAAGGCAAAAAGGGGTCTCAGACAAGGAACGACAGGCCGGGCTTTGCCGGGGTGGGATCGGGACTGGTGAAAGGTGAGTCATCCGTGCCTGACTATGGTATGACGAAGGCTCTTAGCGCCCAGGTGCCCAGAGCACCTATCGCAAAGGCCCCCCTAAGAGAGGGTGTGAGTTCAACACAAGAATCGACACGAGCGGGTGTCATGGCAGAAGGCCAAATGAGAGCATGGTCATACAGATAGCCAAGTTAGAGCCGTGGCCGGCTGGGTACAGTGAATGGTGGATCGGAAGCGTCACGCTGGAAGCGGCACGGGATGCTGGGCACTCCAGTGGATGACAGGTTGCGCGCCCGGCAGCTCCTCCAGCGCGCAGAGGACCGCGCGGTGGCACCATCGCGCCGCGAACTGCTCCCTGGTGATCATCGGGTCGCGTCCGCGAAGCCAGTCGCTGAGCACACCTGCTGTCTGCCGGACGCTGACGGTCGCGAGCCGCCAATCGGCAAGCAGGGCCTTCTTGCAGGAAGACAGGATGCGAGCCGCAACCGCTCCGGGGGTGATCGCCGCCGCATCTGGCTGGTGGCGGCCGCGCTGATATGCTGCCCACAGCTGACAGATTGTAGCGAGCCGCAGGCGATCCCAGAGCTGCCTGAGCTGCCGCGGCGGTCCCCAGATCCTGGTGTCATCGGCGAGAAGAAGGTCGGCGCTGCGCGGTGGCGCGTCGTCTCCGGTCACCGCGGCCCATGTCGCTGCGAACCAGTCCCACACCCCGGCGGCGAGAGGGCAGATGATGAAGACATGGGTGAGTGTGGCCAGCTGACCTGCACAGCTCGGATGCGGGCAAACGTGACCGGCGGGATCGGCGCGGTGGACGTGACGCGCGAAGCCGCCGACGAAGAGCTGGCCATGCAGCAGCCTCCACGCTGTCACGCGCTGCCGCCGGTCCAGATGGGAAGCGTGCACCACTTGCCACACATGAGCCCAAGGTGCTGATGGGTCTGCTGTGGCAGCAGCAGCAGGATCAACAGTGACAGCTGCTCCCTGTGGCACTGGTGAAGGGCCCGCTGGCGCGCCCGCAGGCCCGCCGCGGTCCCGCAGCGGAACCGGACGTGGCTGCGGCGCAGCCATCCAGATCGCCCAGGAGGAGGGATCAGGCTGCCCTCGAGGCCTCTTGCCTAAGACCTGCGACGCGGTACCAGCAGCTGCAGCCCTGGCCTCCCATCGCGCCTCGAGCGCCCGAAGGCCGCTGCGCTGATCATCTGTGGTATCAGCCCAGATGGCTGGTCGCAGCGGGCCCGCCGGGCTGGCCTCCCCCTTGCTGATCCTGTGAAGCACCTGTCGCCGCGCGGTGGCCTCCCTCACTACAAACTCATGTGCCGGCCGCGTGCCGAGCCCCCAAGCCTGAGGGTCCTGTACCTGGGATCCCCAGAGGCCAAAGAAGTATAGTGTGGGCGGCGGTGGTGGCGGTGGCTCTGGCAGCTGCTGCTCCCACTCCAGCTGCTCCCTTGGCTGCTGCTCCCCTGTCTGCTGCTCCACCTGCAGGTGCTGCTCTGGGTGCAGCTGCTCTGCGTGCTGGCGCTGCTGACGTGTGCCGCTGCGTGGATGCCAGGGCCTGGTGATGTCCCAGTGCTGAACCAATGCAGGCTGCGCGGCCGGAGGAAGGAATGCGTGCATGGCTGCAACGCCTCCTTCCACTGGCACAAGGGCTCCTGTGCTGCTTACTGTGTGGCTGAGAAGGTAGGTGCTACCTTCGGCTGTGCGAGACCAGACTCGGCGATCCGACGGGTCCGGCAATGCGCACCACATAGCGGCCGGTGGCTGCACCTGAATGAGCGCTCTCCAGGCTGCTGGCAAGGCAGCCAGGAGGATGGGCACGCGCTCTCGCACCACCCGATCCGGATGCTCCGGGCCGCGCACGACATCGCGCAGGTGGCTGATCCTGACCAGGCCAAGCCTGGCCCAGTCCTCCCAGGCAAAGGGCTGCCTGACTGCATCTGTGAGCTGCCTGTTGAAGAACAGGGGCTCACCCATGACTGCGTCGTAGCCGATCGCTTCCGGCTTCCGCAGGTGATGGGGCCGCAGCTGCTGGTAGGCATGCAGGTACTGCCGGACGCGCTGCGGTGCCTCCACATGCTTCGCTGCAAAGGTGGAGAAGAGCAGGAATCTTCCCAGCTGCCAGATGTGCTGCCGCCGCGCTGACACCGTGCCGGGTTCCTGCGCTGCCAGCCAGGCTGTGCTCCTGTACAGCCAGTGGTCGAAGTAGGCCTTCCAGGCCAGCTGCTCCGGCTCCAACAGCCTGCCCACCACCTTGGCCTGGAGAGCCAGGATCTGGGCCCTGATGTCCACCAGCGCGATGCCGCCGTGTGCGGCCGCGCGGAAGCAGACGTCCTTGCCTGGGAACAGCGCCGCCGCTGCGCCAGGGGTCACCGGCCGGTTCGCCGCGACGAAAGTGTGGATGGCTCTGCAGAGCCTCTGTAGCAAGTCTTGTGGCACCGGTATGAAGGTGGCATGGTAGGTGACCATGGAGGCCAGCACCTGTTTTGCGACGTACGCTCGGCCCAGCAGGCTGAGTCTGAAGCCGGACCAGCGGGCGATGCGGGCCTCCACCTTCTCAATGATGGCTGTGTATAGGCCTGTGGCAGCTGCAGCTGGCTGGGTGGACAAGGGAATGCCCAGGTGCTTGACGCCGTCGCTCGAAGCCGCGAAGGTGACTCCTGTGACTGGATCGGGCCCGGCGAGATGGCTGAGGCTGCCAAGCCCTAGGGCCTGGCTCTTGCTGCGCTGCAGCCTGGCTCCTGTGGCTGCGCAGTGGAGGCCCACGCTGGCCCCCAGCACGATCTGAGCATCCCGGGGAGTCCGCGCGTGCACGCTTTTTTTTTTTTTTTAAAAAAAAAAAGGGGAAGCCCCCGCTATTACACAGGTGCCAGTCGCACGCTTCCCA